TTAACGCATCCACCGAAATCGATCCATCCACAGCAACTTTTTAGGACGATCTCCCAAAATTTTGAAAAAAATAACCCAATTTTATTTCAAGTTCTCTATTTTTTGTTTTAGTATACTTTTAATTCAACTACCAACATAAAACTATACTTGGAATATCGGAATACATTTTGTAGATCGTAGTGTAAATTACTTATCATTACAATGTATCATTAACAAGATCGTTTATCTGATACCGCTATAAAAAACAATTTAAAAAACAGTTTTGTTTTGATATTTTTAGTATGTTATTTAACGAGTTATTTTTTTAATAAGGAGCAAATATTAACGAACAAATTTAATTGAAATAAATGTATTCAATTAAGTAAAAAATTAACGATAATATGAATAAATTAGCGTGTAAATTAAAAAAAATGTTAAATTAAAAAAAATGTTAATAAAAGTATCATAATTACATATTGAATGATAATAATAACGTAGTAATGTGGCAGATGACAACATTTGGTGATATTATTTTTTAAAAAAATTTTTATTATTTTAAAATAAATGCTTTTTTTTTAATGACAAAATTGACTTTATTTTACTAAAATATATTTGTATCCAGCAAAAAAGCGTGTATCCACTGGATGGACGCTTATCCAGTGGATAGATGTCCATCCACTAGTATGCCCTAATATAATAATTTCGATATTACTGAATGATCTTGAGTTATTTGATAGTAAATGACTGTGAAATAAATATTCTTGGTGAATTAAAAAATACAATAAATTAATAGTTAAATAATAATAAATTAATTGTTTTACATTTCAGTTGAAACACAAAGAAGTGTTATTAAGTATTTTGAAGACAAATTAATGAAAAACAAATTATTAAAACATAGTAAAAATAATTATTACAACTAGTTTAAAGAACAACACTAGATACAACCATGAAATGAACTTGAGAACTCCAAAATAAAAGTATTGATGAAAAAAGGCTTTGATAAGAAGCACAGTCAAAAAGGAGCCATTAGTTCGACACTCAACGATGTGACTGATGACTTGGATAACATAAACACATTCACAGAAATATTTTATGGGCAACGATCGACAGCGACGTTGTCTGGTCAAAATGTTGAAATAACACGGATAAGTAATAGGAATTGGACAGCCGAGGAGATTCAAAAATACTTTACACTTCAGTCCGAAGCGCGATTTAAAGGAATGAAATATTTAGAACAACCGATTGGGTTGTATCAGATGACAAGTGCTGATGAAGAATTGTATTGGGGTGTTGTCTCTCAAATCACTGAGTGCACGCTCTTCAAATACATATTTGAGCGTAAGAATACCATGTGGAAAAATCAAAAACTCACTTTAACAGACAAATTTGAATTGGCGTTGAATTGCACGGAGGCAGTGACATCCCTCCATCGACTTAATCAGATCCACGGTACTCTCGGCATCGACTGCTTTTACTTGGACGACCACAAATGCGTCACTTTAGAACACTTCGGGTTGCCACCCAAGTTCTATAGAAAGTGTCAACTCTCGCCAACTCCTTCATACGAGTCAGATATATTACAATTGGGGGTGGTCATATACCAGATATTCACTGAAGAATACATCGACATCGACACTGCAAAGTCATTACCAACACTTCCTCGCCAACAAGAGGAGATTGCGCTCAGTGAAGCGCGCGAGGACGAAGTCGAGAAGGTGAAAGAAGAACTTAAAAATGATGACCAATTGCAAAACCTCAAAAAGACGGTGCCGTTCTTATTGGAGAAATTACTTGCGGACGCTTGGAACAGTGACCCATTCCAACGCCCGACTGCGGAGGAGTTTTTGATTCGAATGGTCGATTCCTCACTAGTGAGTGAATGTGGTGGGTTCTGGGGTGCAGACTTCTGGGTGTATGCGTTGAATGAGAATGGGGTTATACCAGAGAAGACGATGCCCTTTGATACATTTGCGAGTAAAGTAGCGGCGTCGTCTGCTATTCCAATTGCGGATATCAAAGAGACTGAAAAACTCCTTGGAAGTGGAGGACAAATCACAACGACAGAATTTGGAAGAGCAGTCTTCATCTTCGACGACTTCTATATGAACAGCGAGAAGATGCAAGACATCGTGAATTTGTGTAAGGACGGGTGCTTGATGTTTGTCGACTCGAAAGAAGCACAAGCGAAACTGAACGGATGCACCGATGGAGTCTTCTTAATTCGACCGAGTAAGACGGACCCGAATGCGCCATTCACGTTGTCGAAAAGAACGGATGGGAAGACTGTTCATACAAGAATATCGAAGAAGGAAGGGTTGTTTGTGATTGAGACGAAAGCACATGAATACAAAAACATGTTATTGATGGCGTTGATTGAAGACTTGAAGACAAATAAAGTCATCACAACCTCCGTCGATGGAGGAGACTCAATTTACTAATATCTTCATACTCTTGTTTGGTCCTTTGTAACACTTAATCGAATATTAAAACACAATGAATAACGACGGCAATTGCTCGAAATGCTCTTTGAAGTTGAAAGACTTGACATTTTGCGTCTGGTCGTAATTGCTTATCTTCATAATGTGGTCTGAAAAGTCCGGAGAAAACAATTTGGATATCTTGAAAGCAATGGACTCCATTTGTTGGACAACATTGATATAGTATGACTTCCACTCAATCAGTGTTGATCGAAGGTCGAGAAGGGTTAAGACCTTTTTGTACGCGCGCCCGAAGCGAATGACGTTACCCAAGTCTGTTTTGTTGCCTTCATAATTCTTTTCTATGAGTGTGGTGAACGTCTTGAAAGTGTCTTCGACCTCTTCCGTCGATGCAGAAGAGTCTGGGAGGACATGCACTTTAAATATTGCTTCATTCCCAAAAAATTCGAATAAATTTTGAAGGGTTTGAGGGTTTGTATATATCTCGTTTAAAGTATATCCAACATAAAACGCTTTCGTGTATACCTCTGCAGTGATCTGTCGTTTATTTGAGCTTGTTTGAATGGATGACTTGATACTGAGTTGTTTGATGTCATTTTGTTTTGTATTGAAAAAGGAAGGCAATGATGTCCCAAGTGATTTTTGCGTTTGGTGCCCAAGCGAATTTTTGAATGATAAATTTTCTCTCTTTTCTTGTGTTTTTTCAACACAATTTGTTGAGGAGAGGCAAAGTGGTTTAACGGGTAAAGCCGTTTTGGGAAGACAGACGTTTGGAGAGTCACTTTTCAAGGCAAACCCTCCCGTTGGAATTCCTTCGGATGATTTTCCAAAATTTGAAGACTTGAATCGCGGAAAATTGCCGATGGGAAGACTTTGAAACAACGATCCTTTAAACTTGTCTAACGGTCCAGACTTGAAAAGTCGTTTTTGTACTTTCGATGACTTTTTACTGCCGTTTTCGTGTGGTGCCAGTACTGGCATTTTGCGTTTTTGTGGGAGGGGCAAAACGAAATACAAATTTTTGATGCAATCTCTGCTATTCCATAAGATCTCCTCTATCCCATGAATTACTGTTGCAAAAACCCATTTGGTATTCTCGTTTTTGTATATCTGAAGGACTTTGTTTGAGAAGTCATCATATCCAATCCGCACTAATTTATAATTTTCGTCGTTAAAGGGCAAATCCAACGAAAGTGAAATGTCCTTGACTTGGTGTGTCACACAAATACACTTCACTTTCCGCGGAGACGTGGCAGCCGCTTTCATATAAACGCTTTGACCCAAAACGAGGCGAGGGCTAATACTTTCCATTATAATATAATTTGTCAATTTAGCGTTTTCCACTCGATGACGTTTTCATTTCTTTCTTGAGTTTGTAATAATATGTATTATATCTATTTATATATTTAATTAAAATTATAATACAGTAAAAATCATTTTGAAAATGTCTTGACCATTTGTAATTATTTTAACGGACAAATAATACATATTTTTCAAATTCAGTTACCGATATATGATTGTAGAACAAATATGATAAATAAAGTTAAACTGGAACTAGAAAACACACATTACTGATTTAGACTGAGTTGGTTCTCCACATGCGTCATGACTTCATTCAGGTCTTGGAAATCGTTATTCATCGCGAACCTAAGGACCGACGTAATAAGTCCATCGCCCTTTTCAACTGCGATGTCGTATGCCGTTTTCTGTTCCTGATTCACAACATTTACTTCACATTTGAATTTGACCAAACACGCGACTATACCCATTTGCAATGTTTCCGTTGCTATATGCAATGCCGTATTTCCATTTTCATCAATTTCATTCATGTCATATCCATTCACTGTTAGGTAACAGGCAATGGCCGTATGTCTCAATCTAACCGCAGTGATCAGTAACTTCTTCCCATACAATGTCACTATTTGAATGTGAGCCAACACTTTCACAAGGTCTTCTATCGTGTTGTTTTGAACTGCAGACACTGCTCTCTGTTCCCAGTTAGTGTCTTCGCTTGCGACAAATTGCTTTCGAATGTATTTCCGCGAGATGACATTCGACCGTTCCTCTGTAGTACTGTCAGGGGTTAACATATAGTGTTGCTGATAGACCGAATTGACTTTGTCGTTCCCCAACGCGTCTAATATTCTGATCACATAGTCTTCAATATTGTCAAGCGTTGTACTTTTGACACGACTAAATGCAACACCAAGACTCCGGTGTATACCACTACATTTGATACAAAAAAGGATTCCAAGGTTCACAGATATCCACTGCGGGTCTTTACAACCACACTCGGAACATTTTGTGTTGCCCTCTCGTTTCATGATTTCATTCAGTAACGGATTGATGACTCGGTCATTCACAGAAGTCCCGTTTAACACGTTTTCCTTTTGTTTCTCAACCATCAATTTCCATTCCATCGCTTCCTCTTTTGTCGCAGTGTAAAACGTGAATTTTCCATTGATGCCATTACACTCCAAAGTGTTGTCAACGGGTTTAAAATTGGTTGTGATGATATTCACGCGATCCATTTCCTGTAACTTGTCATTTAATTGTTGTAACCCGAGTATACAATCATTGTCGAAGATATAATACAAGCGTTTGTCACACGCTGCAGACTCTTTGCGCGTCAAGAACCCGCCGAGTGTGTGTGGGATGATGAGGGGTTCTCGTGCGATGGCAATACTCGAGCGAAACGCATTTGCCTGCACGATCAATGAGTTCACTTTTGGTGTTTGTGTTTCTTCGTCGAAGTGTCGTTTTGCGGTGTTTGATATGTACTTGGAGTACATGTTAAATAAGTGAACGATGTTATCTTCCGTGAGTAATGTGAGCAACTGAATTTGTTTGTTCAACGTGTTTCCTTCTCGCAAAACAGCCAACTGGTATTCTTTCTTCTTCTCTTCGAGTTGTTCTTTCTCCTGATACTGAGTTAGTTGTATTGATTAATTGAAACAAACGAAATTGGGGTACTGCCGAATACACCTGTTGTATGTTGCTTGGAACCTTCTTCGTGTCTGTTTGCTCGACTCTTTTGCAGCCTTTCTTTGCTCAGCAAACCCGCCCAATCCATCCAGAACTGTCTCTCTCCATATTTTGAGTTCGTTGACAATCAGCATCTGATACTCGAAGTGTTGGCGTAGATTCATATACAGTGAGGTGATGTCCTCTGAGATCGGAGTGACTTCACTCATACTTCCCAACGTGGAAATCAGCGCAAGCCACTTATTGAAATAGACTATTAAATTAATAGAAGTTATATCTCTACCCTTACTCAATAGAATAGAAATAAGAGTAATTATGTATTATTAAATGGTAAGAAACAAACGATCGCCACACTGAATGATGGACGGTATTAAATCTAATATGTCTTCCCATTGATGTTCGAAATGTTCAATAGAACTCCTGGTCTGATATATCTGGTTTTGAAGGTATGGGTTGAAGGCATCGAATGGTTTGTCTGTTAAATCGATGAGGACTGGGAGTGACATTCGTCTATTTCTTTTTGAGTTTACTTTCTCCCTTTATTTCGACTCAAAAATAGTCGGAGTTATTAATATATTATTTGTATCAATTCTTTAACTATATATATTGTTTCTAATAGCTCTGAACAGTAATCGGTGGTTATTGAGAAATAAGGTATCGAATTGAAAAGTATCAAATGGCGAAAAGTATTCAACAGAGCGAAAAAAAGAGTTTTTCATTCTTTGACTCATGGAGACAAAACACTCCAAAACGACAAATACCATCACAAATATTTGAAGTTTTTTCGTCAAACAAAAACATCATTCGTATTATACACAATCAAAAAAATTGTTTTCGATTATGTATAATTAATTTTAATTTTTAATAACTATTCGAGTAACTTTTGTTTAAGTGTATTTTTTTGGGAATTGTATAGTTCTATTTTAAAGAAGATACAATCAAACAACTCGTTAATTGGATAATACGTTAAATAAAATAAATGTATAGTAATTATTAAACTAATCTTGATGGTATTAATTTACTATATCACCCCATAAAATATAATAAATAATAAATAGCAAATAATTAAAATTAATAAAAATAAATATCTAGTTTTTGATTAGTTAACAAATGCTTTTTTTCAACACAATTTATTGAAAGTAAAATTATAATAAAAAACTATAAAATTATAGTAAAAATAAGAACTGAAGAAGCTCGAAAAGACAAATGAAACTTCACGTGTTTGGAGGTGGGCAGAGTGTAGGATGTAGTTGTTTTGTTGTAGAGGGCCGGGAGGATGCAGTTGTATTAGATTGTGGGTATAATCATGTCCGGAGCGACATTGGGATTGACTTTGAGAAAATGAATTTACTTGCACCGAAAATCCGATGTTGTTGCATTACGCATTACCACGTTGACCATGTCGGTATGCTTCCGTGGCTCTGTAAATTTCTTTCAATTCCCATTTTCATGGCTCAGCCAACACTAAGTGTTCTTCCAATGATTTTATCGGACACCCACTCGTCGTCTTCCTTCATTTTACCGTCCGATATCGAGAAGTGTGTGAATCAGTGTTCTGTGATACAACCGGGGCAATCCATACGAATCACAAAGAATGTATCGCTCCGATGCTTTTACGCTGGACACGCGCTTGGTGCCGTTTGCTTTGAAATATTGTTTGATGGGAAGACAATAGTGTACACTGGGGATATCGACAACCAAGAGTCTTTCCTCATTAGAAGTGCTGAAATAACACCACACTCCATCAACTATTTAATATCCGAGTCAACTTGCATCTACGAAAGAATTAAAAAAAGATTTGACATAGAACGTTACGAAAGACCGATAGTGGATACTATTCAAGCTGGTGGGTCTGTTCAAATCATATCGAATAGCGCAGGGAGAGGTCAAGAGATCTTTGGAATTTTATATCATATCATCGAGAAGTACAAATTTGATATTCCCGTGTGTGGGTCTGGGGGCGTTTTGACAAATTTGGCTCAGAAATACGCCGAATGGAAGACATGGCTTCGGCCAGAGATCACCACAGAAGTGTCGAAATTTCGCGAGATAGAGTTGCTTTCGCACCAAACCCAATTTATCGTGGTGACAACCCCCGCCAATTTAGGGCAGGGACAGTCGAAAGAAGTTTTTGAGAGGATAAGAGCGTCGGAGAACAATTTGTTGATACTTCCGTCATATGTCACTTTCAATAAAAAGGACTTGACACCGAAATTGAGGAAATGTAAAGTCGTGCAGATAGAAGAAAACAATCATTACGACGGCAATGGAATTCAATCCTTAATCCGAGCGTTGACACCAAATGAAGTTGTACTTGTCCATGGCGATGAGGAGAAGATGAAAAAGGCCAAAGTGTTCTTTGAACAGTTGTTCCGCATGCCTTTTTATTTACCAGCAAATGGCGATGTTGTCACATTAGGACTTGCTCCTTCTCAATCAAAGAAAAGCACACAGAGCTCCAAAAGATGTGAACCAAAGCTCCCACCTTCTGAGAAAGAATATCTTCATGATATTGGAAACAAAGCACCACATAAAGGTAGTTATAATACACGTAATACTAATACTCCAAGTCGGGGATTACCAATAACAAAAGCTAAAACATTAGAACCTTTATAATTGTGAACTATATGTGTTTTGTTGGCGTTTAAAACTCATTTCAATTTCATAAATAAAACTCATTCGATAAATATGAAGTACAATAAATAACAAATAATTACAAGAAAGCCGACTTTGGTATTTGTGTGTTAGTCTTGAGATAATTGCAGCCGAAGAAGCTTCCTTCGCCAAATGAAATGGATTTGTTCTGGAGCGACACGTTTGTGAGGGAGACACATTGATAGAAACAGAACTTCCCAATCTCTTTCACTGAGGATGGGATTGATATCTTCGTCAAATTGTTACATCGTGAGAAACAGGACCCAGCTAACGAACTCACTACCGATGGGACAACAAACTCGTCAACATTTTTGTAATGTGAAAGGACTTTGTTGTTTAAAGTGAAGTTGAGGTAATTAAGTTCGATAGATACCAATGCATTTGAATTGACAAAAATAGCTCTCCCACCACAGGCGACGATGTTTTCGTTGACTGTAGCGATGTTAGTCAGTGAAGAACACCCTTTAAAACAGAAGTCTCCAATACAAGTGACTGAAGATGGAATGTCAAATGTTTTTAGTAAAGTACAGTCTCTAAAACAAGACTGCCCAATCATTTTAAGTGAAGTGTTTGGCTTAATTTTAGTGAGTGAAACACAATTATCAAAGCACCGCATTCCCAGAGAAGATACAGTGTTTGGGATGTCTATTTTCTGGAGTGAAGTGCAATTGGAGAAACAGTCTTCAGGCAAAAAGGCCATTTTGTTTGAGAGACTGATCTGTGACAAATTGTTACACCACATGAAACAAGAATGGCCCAAATAACTCACATGTGATATCGAAATCTTTTTTAAGTTACTGCATAGAAAAAAACACAAGTCGCCAAATGCAATGATACTGTCTGGTATGTAGATATCAAAGAGTGAGGTGCACTGTGAAAAGCACCGCTTCCCAAGTGAAGACAAACTGGTTGAGAGTCTCACAGAAGAAAGATTTGAACACTTCGCAAAACATTGTTGTGGAAGCGAGTGCAATGCATTAGAAGCAGTGATCCCAGTCAGACTTGGACATTCATAAAAGGACGACTCTCCCAGAGCAGAGATCGTGTTTGGAATAGTAATAGAATGGAGCGTCTTGCACTCTTTAAAAGACTCGGAACCTATCACTTCGACATCTTCTGGTATTTTGCTGTGTAATTTTAAACGGTCTTCTGATGTGTATTGGACTGACTGCATTTCACACCTTTTTTCTTTTTTTGAACTCGAATAACTCACTGGGTAACACAAGACTATTTTAGTGATCAACCCATCTTTAAATTTCTCATCAGAAGGGTTGTAAATGTTCAGTGTTTGTATTTTAGGAAATAGCTTTCTCGTTTTCTTTGTGAGGGCAATTGGGTTGTAACGATACTTTTCTGGAAGATGGAAATACTCTTTGCAGACCATCTGGAGATGGACGAAATCTTGAGCGTATGTGAAAAACTTTGAGACAACAAAAATAAGCTCGAAGTCGAGGTGTGACATCGGAGTGTGTTCTATTTGAGTTGGTTGATTGCCAACTACCCTTTTATATTTTCAAACGGGTTAAATGTTATGCTGTTTGTTTGCCATTTTGGTGGTGACATTTATTGTTCCCATAAATGCAGGTTATCAATAAAATTCATTTTATATATTCTTTTAGGGGGGTGTTTAGTAAATAAAGATTCTTTGAAGTAAAAAATCGGGGACTCCACTAGTGACAATAACAATTACATTTTTTATATGGATTCATGTAAAAATATCTTTTTTTAGAACAGTTTCTCTGAATAAATGATGGATTTCATAATTGGGACGGGTTTTCTCTGTTTGATAATAAAACAACAAAAATCATTTAATTTAATAATTGTATTAATATAATACTATTTTATTTTAGTATTATGTAATTTAGAATATATTTTTTGAATATGGTTGACAATTGAATTGGAATTGCCGTTTTTATTCCAAAAAAAAACTGGTTTGTTGCACTTTGGCAATAAATAGCCTTTCTAGTTACAAAACACTACTTTTGCCTAAATATGAGTGCTAAATTATTAATAAATCATAAGAGTAATTTATTATCAGTTAGTTTTAAATAGTTACATTTTTTTATTATGAAACTACGATTTATTATAATTGGTTTTTGATAGAATAGTAAAATTATTCTCATTTTACAATTTTTATAAAATCGGAGTATCCATAAACTTGCAAATAAGTTACAAGTTATGAATTTAAATCATCATTCCCGTTTATTAAACATATTTATTGCTAATATAAAAAACGATATGTTAATTTACAATTAATACTTTTTTTGACACTCTGACGAAATAAAATAAGTTACCATTTAAGGTTTTGAAAAAAAACATTTATTTTTTTTATAAAAACCATAATCAACAAAAAATTTTTACAATTGAAAACTAAAAAAATAGAAAAAAAATTATACATTTTAGTTCACTACTATTATTATTTACTAAAATATTGAGAAACAATTGTTAAACCCAAAAATACAATGGGGTTAGATTTCAATTATTTTTCTGATATTTTATTTTTTTTAATCAATTCATTTTATAATTTTATAATAAAAAAATGGTTTTAAATAAATTAAGTGCTATAATTGATAATATAATAAAAACATTTTTATAAATTTATAAAATTCCTTTTGTTTTTTGTTTTCATTATTTTATTTTACTAAATCAATTAATTTTTTTTACTTGATCTTAGAAAAGTAATATTCTATTTTTAATTTTTTGTTTAAATTAGAAAACATTATGTCAATTATTATAGTAATAATATAATATTATTTATTATACTGTTACTATTTATATATAATAAAAAATAACTATATTTTTTTAATTTATTAACAATACAAAAAAACTATATAAGTTCAGAATAAATTATAATATCAATATAATTATTTAGTAATTAAAATAATTAATGATTATAATTTTTTTTTAATAAATAATGAACTAAATCAAATAACATATTTATTATTAATTTTTATTAATATATATAGTCGGGGGATAAATGGCATTAAAAAGGGACAAAGGTAGTTAATTTTGATAAATATAATTTTGAAACTATAATTTTTAAAAAATCTATTTAAAGGTCAAAATAAACATAAAATTAAAATAATAATATAAATTATCGTTTTTTATTTTAAATGATTATAAATTGAATAATTATAAATTTCTATTTCAAAAATAAACAAAAACACCTCAATTTGTTCACTTAAAAAATGTGGAAGTCTAAAACGCAGCACTTTTTATGGTTTGTCTGAAACTTGTTTTGTTAAAGAATTTTTCCTTTGTTTTTTCCTTTGTTTTTTCCTTTGTTTCATTTCTTTTCTGCTCTTTTTCAACTCCAATTGTTTTTATGTTAAAATGGTCTTTCTCTTATCTTTTCTCAATGGAAATGGTTCAACAACGAAAGATTGAAAGATTGAAATAACAAATGATGATTTTTCAGTGATTCCCTGACACTTTCAAAAATTGACACTGTTGTTAATTCATTAAACTCTGGCATTTTAACCATATACATCGTGAATATATATTGAAATACAGTTTTTAAACTGGTTTCTTGTATTTAAATTGCTTTTTTATGTTGATTGCCTGTGGTTATTTCATCAAGGGTTCCTTTCTCTTCTTCTTCCATTGTTTTCAAAGATTGAATAATATCAAAAATAGAAAGTTATGGTTTTCTTTTATTATTCTCAAAGTAGTTAATTGAAAAAACCCTTCTAATACTTTTATGGTTAAATAAATTATATTTTATAGTTTTTTACTCAAATTAACTACTTCTGTCCCAAATTAACCCCCTTTATCACCCGACTATAAAGACAATTCTCTAATAAAGTAACCACGTAATACTAATGTCGAGTTAAACGATTTATTAAGGTAAATCATCAAGTAAATAAACCCAATTTTTATTACATAATAGTCGTTTTAATTCATAAATAATCGGGCATACAACTCAAAAGAAACAACATGGATATTTTTTCTTTTTTATTCAATCGCATTTCCATCACAATTGATCCACTTTTGAATGAACAACTATTTAAATATTATAAATAAACTGTCTTATTTAAAATAATCAAAAGTAGTCGACCTCTTAGCAACAATAACTAACTACAAAAACTCGAAAAGGTATTGAAAGAGCGAGAAAACGTCAAAGAAGCTCACCCAGAAATCGACAAGGCAATTCGAAAAAAGAAAAAGTGTGAGAACTCGAAAAAAGAAAACAAGATGTCCATATCAGCCCTGTTCATTTTAGACGCAAAAGGGAGGACGGTGATCAGTCGAAATTACCGAGGGGATGTTCCCATGACTGCGGTCAACCAATTTGTGACCAAAATCACCGAAGAGGAAGAAATCAATTTGTGTCCGGTCCTTTTAATCCAAGACGTCACTTACATGTACATTCGTCACAACAACTTATACTTCATGGCGTTCACCGATCAGAACATCAATTCCTTATTAGTCGTTTCCTTTTTGTCGAAACTCGTCGATGCTCTTAAAAGTTACTTCTCTGTTGTGACTGAAGAGACCATCCGTGACAATTTTGTTGTCATCTACGAGCTCCTCGACGAAATGATCGACTACGGGTATCCTCAAATCACCGAGACAAAGGTCTTACAGAACTACATCACACAAGAAAGCCATAGAATGGACATGAAAGAAGTCCAGTCCCTTCTACCCGTCGTCACTGGTGCTGTATCATGGAGAACACCTGGTATTAAGTATAAGAAGAATGAAGTCTTTGTTGATGTCATCGAAAAGGTTAACGTCTTAGTCTCACAAAATGGGTCGCTTCTCCGATCGGAAGTCCTCGGGACAATTAAACTGAACTCGAAGTTATCTGGGATGCCCGAGTTACGACTTGGTCTCAACGAGAAGATTAACATAGGGAGTCGAATGGAAGGGAATACGGTCCAGAAACGCGCTGAGATGGATGACGTGAGTTTCCATCAGTGTGTTCGTATGAGCAAATTTGATAACAACCGAATCATAGGGTTTGTCCCTCCCGACGGAGAGTTTGAGTTGATGAATTACAGACTGACGTCCAATGTTCGACAACTGATTTGGGTCGAGTCGGTCATTGACAGGAAAAAGAGAAATCGTATTGAAATACTTATCAAAGCTAAAAGTTTCTACCGAGAGGCAATCAACGCGAATAACGTTCAAATTCGAGTCCCCGTCCCTTCGGATGTGTTTAACCCACAATTCAGATCATCAAATGGAACGTGCACATACGAACCACAAGAAGACTGTGCACTGTGGAGTATCAAAGTCTTCCCAGGAAATCATGAATACATGATGAGAGCTTCCTTTGAGTTGCCCTCGATCAGAGACGAAGAGACGGACAAAGAAAAGAAGCCCATTCGAGTCAACTTTGAAATTCCGTATTATACCGTCTCTGGGCTACAAGTCAGATACTTGAAAGTCGTTGAAAAAAGTGGCTATCAGTCATTCCCTTGGGTGAGATATATGACGTTCGCAGGAGACTATTGCTTCAGAACATAAGCGAATGTAAGCACTTTCTATGTTGAGTTCTATTTACTATTGAAGAGTTAAATTAATAGTAGAATGAAAAGTAATGGGTTAAAGATAAAAACATTAATTAAAAATTTGGCAGGACTTCACACGTTGCACAAAGTCACATCTCATGTCGGTGTGGAACTTTGGTAATGTGACTTGACTGTGTTGATACACATGTTTGATTTTTAAGGAAGGTCTTGCTACAACAGATGCCCACATTCGTGTCGACATCGAGTGTAACTGCTTCTCTTCATTGGCAGTTATCACTTTAATAAACTCATCCAAGAAATACCCCTTTTTCCCATTGATGTTGTCCACCACCATTTTGCACAACCCATTCGAGTCGTTTTCTATATACACATTGAGCCATGAATTTTGGCTCTCTTTCTCGCTTTTCCTTCGCTGGCATTTGACAATAAACCCTTTCGACCGCAGTCTATTGGCAATACTTAACAGCTTGAACGTACTCTCTCCGTGTAACATGATTTCTAAAGTCGGTTTAGTGATGATATACTCGTCCGTGTCTTTAGTCAAACTCTTTGGTAATACAACTTCGCCATTCTTAACTCCATGCCCCAAATGTGATTGAAGAAACTGGCTAAACACGTCGTTCTCCTCTTGACTCTCAAGTTTGTAAAACATCGTTTTCAATGGGAACGCACTGTTTGTAATGATGAAGGAATTGTCTGTTAACACACTCTTGTGGACATCGTAGATTTCACAGTTTCGATCAACAAAAAAGTCTTCCGAAAGTGCTTTATGAGGAACCGGAGAGTCTGTTTTGAACGAGAGACCTTCGACGAGAAACGGGCGTATGTAGTGAACAAAGTCGACAGAGTGGAGTGTCGAAGTGTTTGTCAAATAGAAAAATTCAATGTACTTCGCGAGAAGTATTTCAACGGTTTTCCACTTTGAGACGAAGATGTCGAATAACCCGACCCACTTCGATACCGATTCTGGAGTTAGAAGAGGTTGTGCAAGATATGCCATTAAGAAACTCACAAACAAAGAGTTTGTCTTCTGTGTTAACCACTGTATACTCTCTTTGTTGTTTTGTTTCAATTTGTTAATAAGATCCATGGCGTCGCTATCGCTTTTAATTCCATTAACTAGACGGAGAGCTATAATAGGCAAATTCTCTAAGTCACTTCTCTGCGACGATTGAATGTCAAACTTCCCACAAAAAGAAGGGAAAGAACCTAATGCAATATCACAGAGTGTTGGGTCTAAGAAGACGGAATTCACACTCAAGTCCCCATGAAACGAGTCGGAACTGTGGAGCAATGCAACAGTCTCTACCAAGTGTAGAAATATCTTACAAAGCTGATTGGGAGTCACTGCATTCTTCTCTTCAACAAAGTGATTCACCGATATCGAAGATTGAAAGAGAGAAAACCGAAGAGACACAAGTTTGTCACTAACTTCATTCAAATAGCAGTGGACGTGCGATGAGTTGCATTGTTCCAACGCTTCGAAGCGGGATGTATTAAAAGTGGACTTCTCGACTTCAACAAATTGATAAAAGCAGTGATCGAGTGAATTGAAGAAAACTTGAGGATATGTGTGATATATGTAATTTGAATTCCTTCGCACACATTCCATCAATTTCTGGGGTTTTGAGTTTTCTTCTTTTTTTTTGAAGAGGTGACGGAGCAAAAAATCGAATACCTTTGGCTGTTTTTTTTGATTTTTGCCTTTCCATTTGATTGGGAGAACTTGATTACACAATCTATTAATCACTCTGTTTTATTAGTATTTTAATTTACGTTTATTACTTTGAAGAGTTCGGGATTTTTGAGTGAAGGTAAGGCTTATTTGACGGGAGTTGTTCCTATTTCGGGGTTTTGTAATTGTGTTTTGGAAAATAAAACTATTTTGGGAGAGTGGTGTATTTTTTTATATTCTTGTCGGTTATTTTTTTACTCTTTACATATTTTTGGGTTTTATTAAATTTAGTTGATTTGTTATTTTAAATAGAAAAAAGTATTTGAAAGAAATAGTATCTCCACAAATGTAACAAAAGAAGATTATTTAAAATACAGATAGGAATCTTCGTGTGTTTTTGAGGACAAATAAATGATAAAGCACTTTTAGGAAGATAATTCTTGATGGTGGTAATTGTTTTTAATTGAGTTATTTCGTCGTAATCCCGAAAAATTAGAGTGAAACAACAATATACAAGAACTCAGAAACAGAATTTTTGAAGTGTTTTTAAACAAAAAGATGTAAGACATTGTATGTGAAAATTCGGGAAATATGACAACTTGAATCGTGGATTGTTTGTAAAAAAATAAAAAAATTGTTAATTTTCGGGATTGATAGTCAAAAAAAATAACACTTTTTTAATATTTTTTTAATAAAAACTATTTATCTTTTTTTATGTAATTCTAAGATCACTTTTTTGAATAAAAATATAATTTTGATCATTGTTAGTTTAATTATTATAAATATACCAAATATTTTATTATGACCAGTATAGTATAATTAAATATAAAATATAATTAATTTAAATACAAAACAATAAAATACAATTAATAAAAACTTAATTATTTTTATTATATGAAATAATATTAAAATTTTTTATAAAGAATACTAAAACAGTAATATTATCATTTTTTTTAGAATTTGTTGAAAACAAGTATTTTATTCTCAAAAAATGTTATTAAATTGTTATTATATATATTTCATTAAAAGAATGACTTTATCTTTGTCAAAATCCCAAATAATAGTTTTAAATTGGCCCAATTGTTTAGTAAAAAAAGGAATGACGAAAAAGAACCAAATTTTCAATCTGATTAAGATAAGTTTGATGTCCACAGATGTTTCATTCATCAATTCTACACCTCCTTCAATCAATTCATCTTGTTCCGATTTTTCTCAAGACATCAATTTCTGTTCGGAGACTCCATTAAAAACAACGATGGACACAGAGAGAATAAAACGGTATAGGATTTACCTTGGTTTAGACACTTCGGAAAGTACCACAGAGCTCTCACCTCAGTCTTTAATAGAACACCAATGTATGAACACTAATATCTGTTATTGGGAGTATCTAGCGCTTATTCAGAAGTATTACACATTCGACAAAAAACCCAAAAAGCCATCGAACATCGCGCTCTGTGCCTTTTCGACGTCATTTTTGAAAGCTGTGAGTGGTGGTGATCGCTACAAAAGTTCGGACTTTACTAAGTACCCTTCCGACAAAAGAAAGGTCTTAGAGGCGATTGATACAGACTTATCACGAATCACAAATCGACTCTTTTTTCCCAAAAACTCGAAGTATAGAAATGTGTATTTACTCGCCTCACTTCGAAGAATATGTTTCATCATTTGTTACACTGAGAAAGGTTGCTTATATCGTCAAGGGCTGATTGACTTGATAATACCATTATTCACGTTACTTCGCGTTGAAGATGTTGAAGAGAACCCAAGTGTCATCCGTTTGTGTGTAACTCAAATTTTTAATTCCATTCACAGCAAATGAATTCACTTGAAGCATTTTTTGAGCCATGTGTGTATCAATTGGGATGTTTTGTATACAAAATAATTAACCAATTTTTTTACAGGCAGAAAGCTTCTGAATTATTTGGGATGGTCGTGTATGAACGCTTATTAAAACATATTAAACCAGACCTCCAACAGCACTTGCATGAGATTAATATCCACCCAATTTATTACGCATTTGAACCAATATTCACCTTATGTTCGAGGTATTTTAATGATGGAGATCTCTTTAAATTGTTGGACAGAGTATATAATTCCCCACAATTCTCGTTTATACATTTCTTTATGATCTCCGTGTTGTTGTTTGTTCTCGGATAGAGTTATGTCTATAGTTTCTTGTTAATAAATAATTATAATTAGTATAATAATGTGTTGCTTCATATAAAAGTGGACTAACGCCGTAGAACAAAACAGTCACAAATTATGACCGCAACTGACGAATGTGAGGCTATGCCTTTTTTAACACAATTCTTCCCTCTTGAAGACTTTGATAGTGTTTTTACTACGGCTGCAGTTTTATACGAACACAATATTGACAATTACTCATCGATTGTAGAGCAACTCAACATTGAGTGGTCTGCGTAAAAAAGATATTACCTTCGATGATGTTGTTCTATTGTAATATAAGGTAATGAACTTTTCAAATTCATTTCTTTTATTAACATATATAACATATTTGTCGCGACTTTTGCATGCACCTCTGTTGATAACTTCAAAGTCAAGTAACCATTTTTGAATCTAATAATTTATTGTATTATAATAATATATTTAATAATTTTTAAACAGCATTATATTAATGTAATGCTCTCCACGTTGAAATTATTCAAATAATATTGAATTATTTGTCGACAATTTGTTCTAAAATGTAATGCAAATCAAATAACAAATACTATAAATAATAATATATGTATTTATAACATATAGATTAAGTGTATGTCGTCTGAAATATTTTTTCATTGATTTCATTACTCAAAAAGTATATCAAATCATATGGAAGACGAGTCAGTCAAAATATGCTTGGATAATCTTTTGAAAGACAGAGAATTGGTGGTCGACTACTTCCAACATTTACTTGTCGATAATAAACCATCTGAAGTTGAGACGTGGCTTAAGTCAATAGATTGCAAAACATGGATGAAAGAATGCAAACGCTTTCCCAAATTTTTCCATTGCATTGTTGCACTCGCGTTTGTTTGACTTATTACAATAAAAATAATATATAATTATAATGATAGTATTTGATTCTATAAAATATAATAAATTGAATTAAACTAACTTTAAGACCAATCAAGTTAGTCCACCTTGTTATTGTATTATTTCCTACCTTCATCGACATTAAAAATGTCAAAGGATCCACTCCAATATTTACTGCTATGGAGAACAGAAGAGATGAAACAGTCAAATTACTAGTGGAGGCGGGAGCAAGTTTAGTTGAAAAAAACGACGAAGGGAATACACTGTTGCACCTTTTATCGCAACGCTCAGGTGCATTTGTGAATGACATAGTTACCGATATCTTACAAGTCAATCCTGAACTCATTAATACACAAAATATCTATGGAGAAACTCCACTACATATTGCATGTTTAACAGGGAATACTGAAGTGATTCAATTATATCTAAAGAATAAGGTTGATGTCAATAGAACGACTGAATGTGGTCAAAGTGTATTACAATATGCTCTTGAGTCTCCACGATATTCTCAAATTAAAACCCTAATTGCCCCATTCCTCGAAGAAAAGAAGGAAAGTATCTTTTGCACAGAAACAGAAGAAATGAAAATGATTAAAAGTCTGAGTTTTTTAAAAACCACTAAACCACCTAAAAGTTCGATGTTAAAAAACTCCCAGTCGGACTCAAGTGTTAAACATACACAATCCACACACTTCGGGTTTGTGTCACCTCTGAGACTTCTTGGCACCGCGGCGAAGTTGTCTGCGTCGAAAATCTTTGGGCAGAAGGCTAAAGACCTTTCCTCTGAAATCGAGCAATTGAAGAAAGAGGAAAAAATCATCACTTTTGTGTTTGAGCCAAAACTTCGGAAACGGGTGATTGTAGTAAATGTTAATAATATGAGTATTGGACAGTTTGCAGAAATCATTAAAAACACAACAAAAGTATTTAATCAATTAATTAATAAAAGTGAATCTATAGTATGCTGTGTTCAACAATGTATCGTACTCAGCTCGATCTTGACTAATACCTTTGATGTACTATACAAAACTATTCCTTTAATTAGTGGCATCAATTTTAATATGGAGCAACTCCAAATAGTTTCTGAGGAAATCTTCGAAAAAACTCAAGTCGTCAATTTGCCAAGAGAATTTTATGTGTGTTGCGATACGAAAGAGAAAAATCAAAAGGTCAGTGATATCTGCTTATCGGCTTTTGCTGAGATTTTCGAACAGAAAAAAATGACTCAGATATCTAAAAACTATTTGGTCCAGCGTTTTGGGAAAGGTGCGTCGTATATCGTTTTGGGAGAACAGATTGACAATTTGGAGAAAGAAAGTGGAACTATTTTAAACGTTACAATTGAGGGTGGGAATATCAAAAGTGATTTCGAAAATGTTTTGAAATGGGTTGAAGTAAATTGGAGATAATAACTTCATTCGTTTTTATAGTGAGATGGAATGATTTGTCAATAATTCACTGTAAATATATATTATTGATGTGTAACCAAGTTTTAATTGTTTTTATTATATTTTTATTATAAATGAACCATATATCATCATCACAAAAAAAATAAAAAATGTTATCTATATTATATATTTTACTATTAAATATAGAATTTGTTATAAAAAAATAGAAAAAAGGGAACGTTTTTTCAAAAATGTTATAAAACTTATTTCCCGAAATTACACGCAGATTACAAGTAAATAAAATGTCGTTTTACCCGATTAAAATTATTAAATGATTTATTTAAGGCGGAATGAAATATTTTTATAATCAATTGAAAAAACACCAAAACGAATTGGAATGGTTATTTTATATTAAAGAAATAGTACAACCTTAATAGTATCTTAAACCTTTACAACGAGTTGTACCACTTGTTCCCTCTACGTTCCCTTCGTTCCCGTTATTCTCAATCGCGTTGTTTAAAATTGATATATAAAGTAATTTCAACTAAAAAAATACAAAAGAATGACGAACACCATGGATTGGAAATTGGCACTGTACATAGTAGCGTGTTTTGCTGTTTCATTAATAGGAGGATTCATCCCCTTTCTCATCAAACTTGTTAAACATCAAAAGTTAGCAGCAAGGATAATTAACATTGCCTCAGTTGCTGCTGGGGGGTTATTTTTAGGTGGTGGGTTAATGCATATGCTTTCTGAGGGTCTTGAGATGATTGAAGAGTCTGGGTATACCTTCAAAGGGTTTCCTCTTGGGATGTTTATAACTGGTGTAACTTTCATGTTCATCTTCTTTGTCGACAGAGTTATTGTTGAACATTCGCACACTTCCTTTGACGAGACTGATGCTAATATCATGCAAGTTGAGTCGTTGACAATAGTAGAGTTAGAGAACACAGACAGATCCGATAAGACTGAAAATAGCGAGAAAGTCGAAACCCACACCGTCCACCATTTGAATGAAGTCCACGAATTGCATACAAAAGAAGAAAATGAGACAAAAGAGATATCAACACCAAACTCGACTAGTCCTCTTTCTAAAGAGAACAAAAGTGATCAAAACTCATCCGAGTCTTCTGAAGTAGAAATGCCTGAAGATGTCCAAACCACTCGAAAGAATAAAGGAAAGAACGTTGGACATTCAATATCTAATTATATGAACGTTATCGTGTTAATCACTGCTCTTTCAATACACTCATTGTTTGAAGGATTAGGGTTAGGTGCTTCTAATGACCCATTGTTGATATTTATTGCTATTGTAGCACACAAGTGGGCAGACTCTGGATTAGCTGTCTTATACTTAATGCAGAAGATCCGACGGTGGGTGGTGTGTGTTATTATATTATTCATATTCAGTTTATTCACGCCAATTGGTGCATTGATAGGGTCCTATATCATCGCTTCGCTTGAAGACGAAAAACAAAGTTGTTTAGTTCAAGGCATTATGTGTTGCATTGCCGCAGGGTCGTTCTTGTTTGTTTCAATAGTAGAAATACTCGGAGAAGCATTTGAGGAACACCACCATAATGAATACGATTCACATACACACCACGGAGGAAAGGAAGAGTGCTCAAAGTGTGAAGATGAAGCTGGAAAGGGGGATATTAAAAGTAAAGAACACAGAGACTTTGTGATTGATAAGTATATCAAATTTGGACTCGCCTTTGTTTTCTTTGTGGCGATATCGTGCACTACTTTGATTGAAGGCGACGAGGCACACGACCATTGAGAATTTCAATATATTTTTATTAATTTTATTGATCTATTATTTCTAATTTTAAAATTTATTTGTTATAGGATTTGTCTTTTTGTGAACAGTGAATTCGTTGTCGAATATTTCAGCGAACCTCGTACGTAACTTCTGTATCACCTCTGTAGACTAACATGTAATTTTAAAAAGCAAATAACATTTGGTTTCAAAATGACTTAATACTGTTGTTTTGCAGTTCTTTTTAATTCTTTCTTTTTTCTCTTTTTAATTTCACTGAGACAAAGAGCAACTAAACAAATGCTAAATAAATAGTAAATATACTATTATATAATAACTTAAAGAAAACCCAATCTGAAACTCCATTTATATAATGGACGACCTTTTTGATATGAACTTCTTCTCTTCATTTCAAACGATTTCATTTGAATTTATCCGGGAGTTTGGCCAACTTCAATGTGTTCTAAGCGATTACATTTTCTTTTTAACGGAAAATCAACTTTTTCCACCGCCGAACGAATCAACAAATCAACGGTTACTCCGCATCTCGCGACAAACACAATTCACTCCGGAAGCCACAACAACACGAAACAAAACATACCAACTCGCGAAAACATTATTCCTCAACTTTCATAAATTCTCGACTATGTATAAAACATTGGAGTTGGCAGTCAATAAAGTCGTTGCGCCAATACAACAGTTCCAACAACCAACATTGCAGAGTACTTCACAAACGACTTATCCAATTCAAAGTATTCCTCAACCTAAAACAAGCGCCGTTCAAAGACAAAGCACCACGACATACCCACAGGGATATCAACAACCAGTCTGCCCTTTTGTTACCCCTCCTCTTTTACCGTTAAAACCTTCACAACCCGTCGGAGTGCTCATTAAAAACACACAAAAGGGAATGTCTTCTGTTCTGCCACCAATTTCTCAACCGTCGAATAATCCAATTACCGCCGCGAACATTTTCCGGTTGGTAATTCCAGACTCTTTGTCGTCGTTATTAGAAAAATCGACAAACGCAAGACCTCGCACGGTACTATTAGATAGGACAGACAACTTCTGGACCGACAAATCAATCCAACGGACTAATTTGTTGAACAAGGGGTGTCTCCTTTTTGTTATTCAATGCACGGATGGGTGTATGTCCATCGTCTATTTGAAAGAGCCTATTAAACGAACAAACACGTGGGTATCCGACAAAAACTCTTTTGTCATTTTTAGAAGCGAAGGTGTTAAGCAATTCCTCAAACTCACTTTTAACGCCAACCAAGCGCTTCGCGCTTTTTACTTGAGCGAAACACAAGACGAAAATATCTTCAAAATTGCAAACGCGTGCTTCTCATTGGCATCAGACGGCACTGGAGCAATTTTCAGAAACACAAGTTTCAGCAAAGAAAAATCGTCCCAGCCGACACTCCACACCGTGTCGAGGTTAGTGGTGTTTGAGATGGAATTGAAAAAGTAGTATACAAATTAACTTCATTTTTATTTTATTGAAGTTTCGATGTTGTGAAACAAGGCTGTTCACTGATACTTTTAACTCACTAATTAATACACTCAAAATTTTAAACTATATCTATAGTATATTTTACTTTATATAACAATCGACGAACTAAAGCACAAAACCAGTTGAGTAACACATAAACGAAACGCCAGACTTATCTGTATGTATTAAGAGGTTCTTAAGTTTTCAGTTTACAAGCGACTCATCGTAGTACCATTGTGAAATCGACCCATCAAACGCAGCAGTCCAGATATATGGTGAATATTCCGTTTCATTTTTACTCAAGATGCAAAGAACCCCATCTTTGTTACCTTTCTCTATTTCTCCAATTTTTCGTGTTGTCTGGGTATGAGTTAAATTCCATAAATAGAGACTTAATTTGTTGGGCAGTCATACTTGAAATAAACAAGAAAACAAACTTTTAACGAGTAGATTCCAATTTTCCCGTACCTCGATGCCAACAAGGCTACATCTTTCATGCAATACATCGTGTTAATCGTCGACGTCGAGTCGTTGAAATTAACAGACATGTTTCCCAAAATTGAGAACGTCTCTGGTTGCATGAAAATGACTTTTCCACACTCGTGTGCGATACACACACAAAGGCCACACGAATTGTTTTCAGCGTCTGTGATTCCACATATTTTCCCTCTCTCGTTGAACGCGACTATTGGCTGCGACGTCAGTTGCATAGTCCTCAGTGAAAATGCGAAAATTTCGGAATAATTTGTCCCACAAAAGACGGTGTTCCCACAAAAATGGACACACGTCACAATTTCCTTTGGATTGCCCAACGGCACTTTAATGGAAGAATCAATTGTGAACTCATCCATGTCAATCACTGAAATTTCATTATCAGAAACGACTAAAACGGTGTCCTCATTATCGTAACAAACTTGGACATAAAATCCGTCGATTTTGTTTTTCTGTTCGCCCTCAAAGGTGTACTGATAAAGCCCAGTCGCGGTGGCAAGTAAAATAGTTTTATCGACTGAAATGATTGAGAAAATATCCAAATTGGTTGTTATTTCCTTCACATTTTTCCCTGTGACTTGATCGAATATATAAATCACTCCATTGTGATCCGCACCGACGACATAATGCTCCGAAATGACTCGACTTCCTTCGTAGATATCTTGTTTCGCTAAACACAACCCACTAAATGGACTTTCTCCAAACGCTTGCACTTTCTTTTGTATGCTGAGTATTTGTTTAGTCGGGTATACGTCGATAAAAGGTTCGGGATATAACACGTCATACTCTGAGATCATCACACTCACTATTTTATTGATCTCTGTCGACAAAGTTGCAATAGACATTATTGCAACGGTGTCGACTTCGCTCGCCTCCAACCAACTTCTCCAGACCAAATTAGGCCCCCACACAACTCCCAAATTATGAGGAGTCATCATGTTGATATAATTATTTGAAGCAATGATATTTAGGGTGTGTAGTAAGTAGTGTAAGACCATTTGATTAGCTTTTGGCAATTGAGTGATAAGACTTTTTAAGTCACTCAACACACTCTCTTTGTCCTCGTCGTACCTCCCCATCAACTGAATTAAGACTTCAAAATTTTCAGTGAGGAGCAATGGTTCTTTTTGGTGTCTAAAAAAGACCTTTAGTAAATTCGCCACAACCAACGGGTCGTGGTCTGGGGGCTCAAAGCATCCTTTCATGACACTTTCTTTATATTCACTCAATTTTTGTCCAGCTACAGAAAGTCGAAAAATACCTTCGCTACACAACCCATTTGCGATGATGTAGTCACAGGCAAAGTGTAACCACTCGGGGAGGTATGGCTCAGTCGATAATTCAGACAACGGCGTTGTGAACAAAGCGTCCATCTTGAAATTCCAATTCAGTTCTTTTTTTTATTTCAAATGAAGAACAAAGTCCTTGTTGGAGTTTTGTCTTTTTCGCTCCTTTCTGTAATCTCTTTTCGCACAAACAATCTTATTTATCGGAAAAAAAATCGCCTTTTCACGTTTACCTGTTTTTTAAAACACTTTCATAAAATGAGTCTCCGCTATCTTTTTCGACTGGTTTTCAAATGAAATCACGATTTCTCATTTCTGATTTGTGATTTCAAAGACAATCAACCGCGTTCTATTTCAAGCTTCTAAAAGAACTATACGAATAGCAAAATTAACCATATCAAAATTAGAGAGAATCACGCCTCTCAAACAGTAAAACAGAAAAAATCCTTATTTTTCGTTTGACACAACGCACGTATCCCACAAGGATGGGTTGCTTTCATACTCTGCCTTCATTTCCTCCAATCGTTTGAACACTTCACTTGCTGAAGGCCTTCCGTCTTGTTCTTTGATCACACAGTGTTTAATAAGACTCACAAGTAAAATCGGTGTTGATGGGGGTATAGTCGGACGCACGCCCATCGTCGCCGACTTCAATATGATTTGGACGTCCAATTTAATATCGGAGAACTCCTGTTTGTGAGTCATTTTTCTCAACCCAACAAATGTTTTTCAAAATGTTTTTCAAACTCCTCAAACTATTTTTATTAGTACCGAATCTATAAAAAATAGATTGGTCTGTGGAAGTAGTGAATACAACAAACCTGATACGGACGCATATATTTCTGATAGACTGTCCTGTACGTCATTTCCCAAATGATAATCCCCAGACTGTATACGTCTGACTTCTCAGTAAAAGGTTGACTGAAATAAATTTCAGGTGCACAATACGCGTAAGTCCCTCGGAGTTTTTGTAACGTATTCAAATTTGCCGTATCGTCGAACCTCGACAACCCAAAGTCACAGATTTTCAAAATGTCTCTCTCGTCCTTTCCCGACTGGACAAGGATATTTAATGATTTCAAGTCTCTATGTAAAATATGGAGCTTATGTAAATACTCCAACCCTAAAGTTATTTGCGTCGAGAAGTCGATCATTGTCTTCCAAGTAATGCGTTGCTCACTTTTCGACAACACATCATACAAACTTCCTTTGTCGCAATATTCCATCACCATCATCATCTTTTGTTCTTCATTCTGAAAGACTCCATAGAAGTTCACAATGTTCTCGTTCTTCAATTTACTGATCACACCAAACTCATGCTGAAACTCCTCAACTTCCTTCAAACTCCCCGCTTTCAAAGTCTTCACTGCAACTACTATCTTCTCCCCCAATATCCCTTTAAACACTTTCCCTGATGTCCCAGTCCCTATCAACTCAGTGTATTCGACCTTATATACAAACTTCTGACTATGTTCGATCGTTTCAAGTAACTTCTTCCTTTCGACTTCTTCCGACTCGTTCTGATTCGACTTGTCTAACGCCTTGACAGGATCGACGTCCGTCAATTTCGAGAAGATCTGAAGTAACTCCCTTTGTCGCCCAATAGCTGTGATCCCAAGCTTTTCCATTTGCTTTGCAGTCAATTCCCGTAACTTCCATTTGAACAGCCGATTGTGAATGAATATTTTGGTCTCATTCTGGTCGACATTGATCGTCTTCAAATACTCGCAGAGGTCTTTAAAGTACAGAACAGAGTTTTTGAAGTTCGTGTTTTTCGAGTGCATCACAATGGAGAGGGGCGTTTCTTTCTTGTTATTCATCACGGTGAGTGACGCGTTGTTTTCAAGAAGAATGGAAATCAGATCGGTCCGTTCCATATACACCGCGTAGTGCATCGCAGTGTTCCCATTCTCCGTTTTTGCGTCGACGTCAGCACCTTCCTTCAAGAGCATTTCGACTAAAAACATCCTCACGCAGGTATTAAACACGGCCTTGTGGAGTGGAGTCTCTCCTATCTTATTTCGTTTGTTAATATCTGCCGATCGTTTCATGAACAGGTTGAAAGCCTCTTCGCAACTAGGGTTAGAGAAGTTTTTACAGAACAAATGGAGGGGTGTGTTATCGTCGGTATTCAAGATATTGACGTTGACTCGTTCGTCCTTTAAGAGTGTCAGAATGATGTGTTCATTCGCTGATTTGTCAGTTGCCAAGTGTAATGCGGTGTTCTTTGTCTGTGGGTCTTGGAAGTTAACATTGACTTTAGGCGCTTCCAAGGCCGCCATAATTAACATTAAATCGGATTTGTCTGTTGCTATATACAGTGCGTCTTGGTGTTTCAAGATTTGTTTCTCTGCTTTAGTGTCTCGTTCCAAAAAGAGGAACATCGAAAACGTGAATTTGGGTTTGATCTGGTCGTCTTTGTTCGTTTCGTTCTCAAATTCAATTTCTTTGACGTGGTTTGAACTATACGGTAACAACTCGTTGAGGGGTAATGTCGCAGTATAGTGTTTGACCGTTTGCTTTTTCTCAGAGTCTGTAAACTGAAAGGAAAGGGCATTATCCCCTATAGTGATTTTCCCAATTTCAAATTTATTGTTTGGGGCAGGCATGAAGTAAGGCGGCTTCCGTTGCAATTTCAACTTTTTCTTCTCTTTCAGTATCGTCACAGTCAACTTCCTTTGAGTCCTTGCATACTACATCGATACTATAATAAAACTATTGGGTATGGTTTATGGTATTGAGTAACAAACAAGTGCCTCTCCTGTGGTGTTTTCAGCCGCAAACGCGTCCTTCACAGACAAAACTAGAAGTGAGAAGTCAGGTGGTGGGATCATAGAAACAAACGTTCCAAACGCACCCGATTGGTTTGCGTTTCCTTACTCATCAAAGGATTTGTAGATCCTTTTTGTTTTGTGCTTTTGAAGATGCAACAAGCGAAATCGCCCGAGGCAATACAAAGGAAATGGCTAAGATCTGAAAAGTTCAGTAATGCGTTCATGGTTAACGGAATTTTGATAAAAGGTTCGTATAGAAAATTGCACTCCAATTTCGTTTGTACTAATTTAAGTGTTGATATGTATTGTTGAAGAAAATGGTGTTGAAAACCCATTTTGATGTTTTTCTTTACAAACTGAAATATGAAGAGGAAAAACTTGACTCTTTTAATAAACTAATAAAGTATAGTTTTGTAATTATTTAATACTATTGTAATACTATTCGAGTCTAAACTTGAATAACATTTTTATAAATAAATGTTATTACTTGATTGTAAAGAAAAACCAAAAATATAATTTTCGTTTGTTATTTTAGTAAATAGTAATTAAAATAATAAGTTTCTAACTAATTTCAACAACTTTTCTTGTATTAATTATTAAGTAAATAGTGTTAATATTCAATAGAAATGACTTTATTATTTACTATTGGTGTTTACTTAACTATTCGATTAGTATTAAAATAGTACATAAAGAAAAATAACAAGACTGTTCTTTATTTTTTGATGAATAAAAACTCAAAAACAAATATGATGAATTGCATCAAGCAGATTAAGACATTGTTAGTTGAACTGATAAGTTCTACGGATGATTCTGGGTACTGTAAACTCAAAGAATTAATAGTCGATGAATACACTGTTTGTTTTCATATAAGAAACTTCTCACAAGAGAATTAACAAGTAGAATGCTATTGTTCAATCTGTTCTTCCTTATAAAGAAATCAATAAAGTTGGTGTTTTAATAATACGAAGAATAGAAGTTATTACACAATCACATGTTGATTTTCAAGACTCCAATGGAGTATTTCTTTTAACACCAAATACGAAAAGTATTGACTATTTGAAATTGTTATTAGCACACCCACCATATCCAAGATTCTCATTATGTTTGTTCATTATAAATAGAAAGAAATGTGCTCAATTCTAGTCTTCACACAAACAGGAACTATAACTGATGATATATTAATGGCACTTAGTATCGCAGACTCTTTCAATGTTATTCAACACATAGAAGCAGTGGATTTAGACTGGAATTTTGTGACTCCTCACTCCTTTACTAAAGCGTCTAACAACGTCACTTCTTTAATTTCATTTCTGCGTTCTCACAACTTCTCTGTTAAAAATGTGATATGTCAAGACTTACCAGAGACACAGCAAATAACAAATGACGTTGTAAAAGAGATGAACAGTGACACTGGTAAAAATTGTACTTTAATAGTTATTGATAGAACCGCCGATGGGTATTCTCCGTTGTACATCAACAGTTATGTCTTTTCGATCATTCATGAATATTGCACTATCAACAACTCGCTCTACATTTTCGATAACAATTTGTGCAAATTTGACTTCGATGAAAGTGACACAGAAAAGATGTATCGAATGCCTGTTTATAGTCTTGTTCAGCATTTAAAAAGAAAAGTCGAAGAGCACTCGATGAACACATCGACTAAAATGACTTTGAAGAAAGAAGTGTGTGACACGTCATCTGCAATTTTGCCGCAATTGTATTATCACCAATTCTCTATAGAAACTAAGTTTAAAACGATATGGGATAAATACAATACCGTTTTAAATTATTGTATGACTCAATTATCATCTCAATTCACTACTGATCTCATTAAGTCTCTTTTAGACCTCCACACGACAAAAGAAGTTATTAATACACACAATAAAAGAATTCGAATGATGGTGTCTTTAGTCTGTAATCAAGATGTATACACTTCTGATAACATAAAGAAGTTACTTGAAAGATGTGGTAAAGAACATCAGCCAATCGACCTCTTTGATTCTTCTATTTTTGATGACAACGAATTTCATCCACTCGTCTCTCAAATCGTCAAAAAGCCTTCTCTTCTCAAAAACAATCACTTTGTAGTATCAAAAGGAGGTATACCTGATGTCATTGACTCAAACACAGTCTTTTGGATCAATGGAGGATTTTGTCCTTTCGAAGAAATCGACTTAATGAACACCATCGACTCCATTAACAAAAACACCCCAAAAGAAGTCGAAAAGAATGTTTATATTGGCGGGGATATACTTCAACGCTCAGAAGTCTTTGAAACCACCTACACTCAATGAATACAATTTATAGTTCCTTATAGTTTCATTTTACTAATATTGTATACCATACCAATTAGAATAAATTATAATAAAACAACTACAAAATATTATAATAAAACAATGAACACAATGAAGCTAAACTTCGTTGTGTCTAATGCGACTTGATTTACACAATAACACAATTCTTCGCCTTCTTTTGTTTCTTTACCTTAGAGTTCTGTACGACAAAAGTTTCAGTCTTTTGTGGACGAACAAACTTCAAGTCTAAGATCTCATCGAAAAGGTCTGTGACGGACTCGACGTTCACTGCATCACACAACAAACAACTCAGTCCAAACTCTTTAATCTTCTTTTGAAATTTGTCGATGTTCTCCTTCTGAGCAATGTCAGCGTGTGTCCCAATAAAGAGAACGGGAATCCCAAATTTCATTTCTTCTCCTTCAGAAACGGACGACATCGTAGTGCTTGAATAACTTTTTGCACTGCTCTTCCGCAAGACATCGCCGAGACACCACAACGTGTCATCTGTTTCTGTTTCGAACTTCTTCGAAGAGACGTCAATGGTCAAACACAAACAGCTCATCGTCGCAAATAAAGCACGTTGTATTGACTCTTTCACACTCACCCCTGGGGTGTCCAATATCTCAATTTGAATGATTGTGTTGTCGCTCTCGAACTGCGCGGTGTCGTAACGGTCTGTAGTTGTTAATGAATACACTGAACTTGGTTTTTGTGTTGTCAGCGAGTCGAAGATGGATGACTTTCCCGATTGAACTGGCCCGACAAGCGCAAAGGAGTAGCGATTAAGGGTCTTCATTTTGTGATTTTTCAGTGTTGTGAGTTTTGAGTATTTCCATTTTTAGACATCAACACCCATTAGCTCTTCTTGATACCATTTAAATACTATATATTTTACTATACTCATTTTTTATTTTTTGTGGTTGAAAGTTACTTAACTTCTGCGGTATTTGTTATACTATATTAACTTATATTTAATTTTATGAATAGTTTACATCATTTTCATCAAATAATGGGGGAGATTTTTATTGGGTTGAAATAGTTGGCGAAAGTGCCGAGTAAAAAAATTCTTTGTTGTCAAAATGTTTTTGGACTCAGACCTAAAAATAAAGTAACACAAAAGCAATAGGTACAGGGGTTTTGGTACAATAGCGGGAATAATAGGGGTATCGGTGGTTGTATTTTTAACTTTCCGCACCCTAAAAAATGAACTCAATTTTGATTAGAACAAAAATGATAACAATACTATATTACTAATTTTATTAGAAAATATAGTTAAAGAATTATAACCAAGGCGCACTTTATATTTTTGATTAATCCATTTGAACAAAAAAAATCCAAAAATGCTTTGTTTTTCAGTTTTTATATTTTTGTGCTTTTTTTATGGTTATTTTATTATCAGTTATAGCATTTACTAAACTTATTGGTAATTATAATAGCAGTTATCATAAAATGATAACCAATTTTATAATGACTTTCTTTTATGAGACGTTTCTGATCATATTAAAATAAACCATTTCCTTCTGTATGATTCTAAAAAAATGTTAATATATAAATAATTATTATCATGGTTGTACAATGATATTTTGAGAACTACCCTTTATTAATATTTAACTATATATAACAGAGTTAATTTTCTGTTTTATTTATTTTATTATCAAATTATTATAACATATTTATAGTTAAATATTCGGTATTACAGTTAGACAAGTTTGACTTAAATGATTCACATTAATGGTTTAAAACCTAATTATAATAGTAAACAGTGGGTTAAACTAGAAAAAAATATAATGGTTAAATAGAATAATATTTAAATTACTATTAATTCCATTGTTTTATGTAACAATCAAATCTTGAAAAATAAAACCAAAACACATGTTAAGTATTGTTTTTTATAATTCATAGTGTATTTCTCGTTGAGTTCAAACACGTCAAAACATTTTCCCCTCATTCAGAAACGTTTGTGTTATATATTTTTATTGCAAATACGTTAAATTAGCAATATTTCCTATCGCGATGGAAAAATACTGCTTTTGACTTAACCAAATAATAATATCCATAAAACAAATTCAACAAAAGGGAATACTACCAAACCTTTCAAGAGTGGGTTTTGTTAAGAATCTCTGCTTGATTTTAGCCAATAAAACGTGGACCCACTTTATAAAGAGCATGTCTATCTTATCTGGGTTTGTTCTTAAGAAATGCTCAAAGAATTTAGAACAACAAAAATAATAATTACACACATTAGGGAAATTAGACTGTATTTATAATTGAATTTGAAATGTTATGGATACTTTATTCGACAAATCTTAATAAAATTTTATTGTTTGTGATTACATTAAAATGTTGGTGATGATCATGATCGTGTGATAGTTTATAGTTATCTTTACTTTTTTCATTGCTTTCTTATTCTTTATGTATTGTGTTTGGGTTTTTGACTTGCTTTTAATTATTCAATTTTTTATATAAACTTGATAATAAAAAAGCAATTAATTAGTTTAGGTTATAGTTCAAATTTTTATTATAATTGAATTATAATTTTTACCATTTAACCCAAACTTGTCGTTTAAGTCAAACTTGTCATACTGTAGTCCTATTTTCAGACAACTCTCAAATGATTATTATTATTATCACTCTTTACTTTCGATACAGTGACTAAACATTGAGTGCAAAGCCACTAACTATCACTAAGTTAAAGTGTGTCATTTGTGTTTAAAGGCCACTCAGAAAAAGATTTGAATAACAATCATGGGTAATCAAACATTGTTTTTCATCATTGTGGCAACTAGATGACAAATTTTTTTTTAAACCCAAGCTTTGTTTTTTGACAAAAATATTTTTAATTATTTTAATACTATTTAAACTATACACATTTTGATAATACCAACTAAAAACGAACAAAAATTTTTTTTAAATACCTTTTTTTTCATTTTTTTTCTATTTCTATTTAAAAAAACAACAATTTTAGTTGTTGTAATAATTTTATTATAAAATAACTACAGTCAATAATGTATATTTGTGATACAACAAATAGATAACTGGTTTGTCATTTAAAACATATATTCTTGAATTTGGATTGTTTGTGGAATTAAAACCCAATTTAACTTTTAAATAACTTGCAATATTAAAAATTTATAATTTCACATTCTATTTTTAGGCAAATAAATGTGTATTTTTTGATTATGGACAAAGAGACACTGCTATTGTTGATTTACGAAAATGTGTTGGAATTTATTATCACTTTATTGTATTATAATTAATTAGTTATGTTATTATTAAATAGACAATATTTAAGAATTGAAAAAGATTTTTAAATTACTTTGGCTAAAATTTTTTAAGGTCTTTTTGATGCAAGTGTTCTTCTTCGAACGAATGCTCACCTCATTTCGTCCGATGGAGAAGGTGAGTTTGTTATTTGTTTTTGTCATCCGTATCTCTTAAAAGAGTCGTTTTAGTTTTAATTTAATTGTTGTTTTATTAGTACTGTAATTTACTATAACGTACTATTAATTTATACAATCTGATTAATTAACAAAAGATATTATTTGGATATATATATATATGTTGTCTTTATCTCATGAGATAAAGACAACTGAGATTAATAAATCTGATTACTTTGAGACAACTGAATGTATTATAAACACAAACTTAATTTTACATATTAATAAATCATATATTATTTTATAATAAAATAACTATTAAATTTAACTTGTTTTTTATTCACAATTTAAAACCACTTCATCTTTCGTTCCATAACAAGTAATCTCACATCGGATGTATCACATCACAACTCAAACTTGAAAATCAATGGGTATTGTGCTTTGTCTGCTAGCTCTCTCTGTATTTTCTTATCTGAAACCTGTTGTTTTGGTTCCAGGTATAATGTCTTCAGTGTTGGAAGGTTCTGGAGATGTTCCTTCTTCTATTCCGACTTTATATCCATCATACTGTTCAAAGAAATTTTCTCTTAAGACTCTGTGGCTCAGTGTTGAGTCCTTCATACCATTTATTAACGAATGCGGCTTGGGGTATCTAATTTCTTCTTGGGACTCTTTAACACAACACCAAGTCGAGACGGGAAATATCAAAATCAATGCACAGAATTATGGAAGTGTAAACTCGATCAGGTCAATTGTAGGGACGTGGCCTTTGAATCACGTTTCAAAGGCGTTTGAAGAAGTGGTGAAGAACTTGGAAAATGATGGGTATGAAGACAATGTCACGATGTATGCGGCTCCATTTGACTGGAGATATTTCCGATTTGACGAGTATTCACATGTGAGCAATTGGTATTTGGATACACAAAAATTGATTGAGAGGGCGTTTGAGAAAACAAAGCAAAAAGTGGTGATTGTGACACATTCGATGGGCGGGCTACTCTTGTATAAATTCCTCGACTTTGTGGGAAAGAAATTTTGCAATAAGTACATCAGCCACTGGACAGGTATAGCGACGCCATTTTTGGGATCAGTCAAAGCACTGTCGGCCACTTTTCAAGGAGACAACATGGGTATTCCAGTGAAGCCAGTTTTGTTGAGAAAAATATCACGATCAATAGAAACAATACCACTCTTGTTTCCTTCTGGTGGAGTGGAGAGGTGGGGAGACAAAGAGGTGATGCGAATTGGAAATATGACAATCAATGCGGACAACGTCGCTGATCTGTTCAGTACATTAGACACAAATTTTTATGAAAAAGGGAAGTACATGTACCGTCACGGTGTCAACGAGTTATTCAAGAAATACAACTACACAATTCCATTCAACGTTAGCTTCTCATGTGTGTATTCTTCTGGTGTTTCAACTCCTCAAACAATCAATTTTGAAACAAGTGATTACGACGGAAATTTTAATATAGAAACCGGAGATGGCGATGGGACAATAAACTTGCAGAGTTTGGAGTTCTGTAGAACGCTGACGGCGGATTGGAAAGAATTCCACGACGTCAACCACTTGGATATACTTTTATTAGATGGTCTTTATGAATACATCAAACCACACTTTTTATAGTTGTCTGTATTAATAAACAAACTATATTGTATTGAGTTGTTTACTGTATTATATTAATAATATATTATTGATTTATTGTTCCCAAATTATTAATATAGATTCTTCTTATTATTATTATAGTATGATACAAACTAAAAATAAAGAAAAGAATTACTTCCACAACTGCTGCAACGAGATACTTGCGTTATCATCCTTCTTCATTACCTTAGCGGCGGCTAACTCAAAGTCTTCCTGAGTAACATGTGATCTTCTTTCTCTCAACGCAAACATACCCGCTTCCGTGCAAGTCGCCTTAATTTCAGCTCCACTTGCACCATCCAATCTCTCCGCGATTTTCTTCAAGTCGATTCCTCTCACCAAATTCATTTTTTTCGAGTGGATTTTAAGGATATCGAGTCTCGCCTCTTCCTTTGGGTTTGGGAATTCAATTTTTCGATCAATTCTTCCCGGTCTAAGAAGTGCAGGGTCCAAAATATCGATTCTGTTCGTCGCCATTAACACTTTAATGTTTTTCGTCGGCTCAAACCCGTCGAGTTGATTGACCAACTCGAGCATTGTGCGTTGTACCTCCGAGTCACCTCCGTTGTTTCCTTCCACACGAGTGGATCCGATTGAATCGATTTCATCCATGAAGATGATTGATGGTGCGTGTTCTCTCGCCATCACAAACAGTTCTCTGACCATTCGACTTCCCTCACCAATGTATTTTTGAACCAATTCCGTCCCGGAGACTCGAATGAAAGTGCAGTCGGTGTGATGTGCGACTGCTCTTGCTAATAACGTTTTACCAGTCCCTGGTGGTCCATACAACAAGACACCCTTTGGTTGAGCTATACCAAGTGATTCAAACAACTCGGGGTGTTTAATAGGAAGTTCGATGACTTCTTTAATTTCTTTGATTTGTTGGTCCAACCCACCGATCATATCATAAGTCGAGTCGGGGACTTTCTCGACACGCATTAAAGATACCAACGGATCAACTTGGTTTGGTAAGACTTTAGTGATCGAGTACGAATCCGCCTTTAACGCGACTCGTTGATTTGTTTTCAATGACTTAATCTCAATGTTGGGCTCCACAGAGACAATGTACTTGCCCTCTTGTGCACTTTTGACTAACACTTTGTCTTTCCCAACAGCGCGAACGACTTCACCGACAGAACAAGAAGGCTCGGAAAGAAGTTGAATCTCCTCCTTCATCTTACGTACTTGTTCGTTCAGTTGGTTTCGTTTCGAGACTAAACGACGTTGGTCTTGAAGTTGTGTAGAGTACTCGTAAGTCATTGAGTCGATTTTTGAGCGGTAATATTTGACTAAAGCAATCTCGTCTTTCTTCGGCTCGATCTCCATTAAGTTTTGAAGTTCTCCACTTTTTTGTATTTTTTTTTTTATTACTGCTTATTTCATTGAAGTTTTTTATTCACTTTTTACTATGGATTTTGGGATTCTTTTATTTGGGGTGTTTTAAACGATATATCGGGAATCTATATGAATTGGTTACTTTTTAGATCTTCAAACCTCAATAATTATTTGTATCGATTGAGTTATTATAGTATATCTAAGATATTTGTTCTTGTATTAAGTATTATAAAATAGTATATCAATTTAAATTGAAAAACAATTAAAGTCTGTCTAAAAACGTTGTCCATTTGACAAAAAATTACACAAAATAAGTTGAAAAATTTGGGAATTAGCAAAAAATGTTGAAAACCCATTATGAAAAATTATGAAACAATGTTTTGGGAGTGTTTAGAACTGTTTCCCGAAATATTACAGTTCTAATGGTCTAAAAATGCACAGACAACATTTTCAGACTGACTATACTATCATAATAAATAATAAACTAGTCGTTCTAAATATAATAATTATTATGTATAGTTGATTAAACTATATAAATTAATACAAAGAAACATCAATAATTAAAGAAATATAATTATATATAACAATTCATATTTTTATAAATTGTAAACAAGAAGTTTCAATTCTATTTCAGTGTTTCGCAGTTATTTTAAGAAATATAGGGAAAAAAATAACCATATTTATATAATAACAAAACTATATTTTATTGTTTTACAATTAATATGAAATAAAAATAAATTAAGTAATTTTTTTTCAACGAAACTGAGAAAAACAAGAAATGGGGATAATCAGAGTTATAGATGGCAGTGAAAGGGTTATTGGATACAAAATTGACATTGGTTCAATCGTTCGTTTTGTTTTATCATATGGGTCTTACCCACACGATGTAGAAGTCGATACCAATTACTCTGAGAACCCTTACAACGCAAATACTTTTTATTCTCTCAAGACGTTTGTCACGTATAGTTTTTTATAGTTTAAGAATGTTTAGCTATTTTATTTACTATTTGTAACTACGTAAAACTAAATAAAGGAAAGAAACGATTGAAGACTTTCACCCACATATATTTTAGTATAAATAATAAAAATGAATTAATCAAATAGAAATTGTCCACCACACGTTTACCAATTCAAAAGCGAATTTCCCGTCACGAAGGCTGGTGTCTTCCAATTCAGAATAAAGAAAATAACCGGCGAGGTACTGAAAACGGTTTACATGAATGTCTACCCACTTGTTACTTTTCCTTCTAAGAAGGTCCCAGTGTCTGGCTTGTCTGTGCAAACACATATCACACGGTTAATGGGTCAACTTTCTGGGTGGGAGAGTCACTATAAAACGATGTCACAGTGTGGCTATAACGCAGTTCATTTAACTCCACTTCAACCGATTGGGCCAAGTGGAAGTGCTTATTCATTGATCCAACACTTAGACATTGAGGACAGTCTTTTTGATGAGAAGTTAGCAACAGAAGAGAAGATCAAAAGAGTTGGAGAGACCATCAAAACCCTTCGAAACAAATACGAAATTGCCTCGTTGGTGGATGTCGTCTTAAGTCACGTTTCAAGCTATTCTCCAATGGTTATTGAACACCCGGAGATCTGTTACACCACTGATAATTGCCCTCATCTTAAAGTAGGGTTTGCGTTTGACTCATTGTTACATCGGTGCATTGATGATGTGATTAACTCGGATTATAAAGACAACTTGGGCGTATTTAATCACCCCGACGATGTCAACAAGTTCATTGGATACTTCAAAGAGAAGTACATGATACCCATGCACTTCTGGTTGTACTATGTCATCAACGTAGAGAAGCACAAAGTGTTGTACACGCACTATGAACAATCAAATCCACACGCGGAGAAAGGCAAAACCGGATCACCAGAAGAGTTAGCGAAACGAATGGAGAAATTTGTGAGATCTGATGGGACGTATGAGAAGGATCATATCACGGTGCCTATTGAAGATGTGTACAAGCTTGTACCAACTCTTGAAGACTTTGTTAAAGCACTTGATGTACTCAATGTGGACAATTACAGACATTACGACAATGATGTGAATGCCGCCATTCAAAATTGTGTCAACAACTTGATGTACAGCTGCTTTGATCCCCATGGACCTCACTTGAAACGATTTACTAAAGAATCACATATTCTTCCTTACTACTTCCAAGTCATCGATGGCATTAACTCGAAGAATGAAAAAGTCCATTTGGTTGCGGCGCACCACGGGTGGATCTTTGGAGGCGACCCGTTCTTTGACTTTGTTGGGGACAAGTCGTCGAAAGTGTATATCAGAAGAGAGGCGATAGTCTGGGAAGATTCTTTGAAATTGAATTATGGATCGACATATAAAGGACATGAGTATATTTGGGACCACATGGCCGAGTATGTTTGCTTGAATGCAAAACTGTTTGATGGACTTAGACTTGATAACTGCCATAGTGTGCCCCTTCCAGCACTCGAGTACATATTAAGCAAAGCTCGTGAGATCAATTCCGAGTTAGTTGTATTGGCGGAGTTGTTTGCTGACAACGCAGACGCTGTTATTCAATATGTAGTGAGATGTGGTATACAAGGGCTTGTGAAGGAAGCGTTAAGAGGGAAGAGCCCCAGTGATTTGAATGGCGTCGCATATCAAAGCAGTTGGTTTAAGCCTGTTGGAGGCATCTTAGAAGAAAGTGTGTATGATGAACTCCCTGCAGAGGCGCAACCGATGGATGGGTGGACATACGATTTAACACATGACAATGAGCCACATGAAGGGAATAGAAACTCGAATGACAGTTTGTCGACTTCAGCTGTAGTTGCGATGACTATAGGAACGACTGGAAGTGTTAGAGGGTATGATGAATTGATTCCATTTAAGATCGATTGTGTCAGTGAGAGACGATTCTATAAGAAGTACGAGTGGAGTGAAGGACAGACTGTAGGGATCTCTAAAGGGAAGTTTGAGTTGAACAAACTTCATGAACGACTTGCTATTGAAGGGTATTCGGAGTTTTATGGAGAGGTCTTTGGGAATGTTCTTGTGATGACACGAAGAAATCCGAAGACACACAAAGCTGTTATAATGTATGCACATACCTCATTTTTGGGAAACAATTCTGTTGTTCCTGACACGAAGAAATTTACTATACCCGATTATAAACTCGACAAGTTCTTGTTCTTTGGAGCTTTGACGACGGGGATGTTAAATTTGAATTTGAATAAAGAAGCTGTGTTGTGCGGCAATCAATGCATTTGTGACGTCTCAAGTGACTACGACGTCGTGTCCAATTTCTTAACTGTGTCTGAGTCTGTCAACAAGTTTGAGATTAACATGACACAATTCCCAGCAGGAAGCATTGCATGCTTCCAGGTGGAGTTAATCACCCCACCAAAGCCAAATTGGGAGATCCCAAAAGTCACTTTGACGCCACAAGAACTTTGTGAGTTCTTCTTTGAAGTACCTGACGAAGTTGGGTTAAACAAGTTTGAACTGACGGAACACAACTTTCTTAAATTTGTGGGGATTGGTGGCGTTCTCCCACTGTTGGCGAATGACTTGTCCCAGCCGATCTATGCGAAACTTCGCGATGGAGTCCTTGAACACTTAATACCTTATTTGGTCCAAAAATCGAAGACAAATGCGCTTGGGAAGTATTTAGAGACAGAACTGAAAGAAATAGTGAAGTACCCGAAATTTTTAATTCCAAAGTACTTTGCATGTGTCATGAAGAAAGTCTATCAGTCGTTGATACAAAACACTTTTGAGTCGCAACTTGAGTTGACCTCGACACAATTCTACTTGAATTGCACAAGCGCACCGCTTGTTGCAGACGGGATTATTCCCGCCAAATATGGCATTGACTCGGCGAGTTTGTGTGCTGGAATGCCACACTTTTGTACGGGATATATGAGGAATTGGGGAAGAGACACTTTCATATCGCTTAGAGGCCTTTTGTTGAGAAATGGGCGATTTAAAGAAGCCGAGAACACGATCCGGGGGTATCTCTGTACGACACGACATGGTCTTATTCCGAATCTTCTTGATGGATGCAAAAATTCGCGATACAATGCAAGAGACGCGACATGGTTCTGTATGTCTGCTATAGTTGATTATTGTGAAATGGCGCCCCATGGGGAAGATATATTAGAAGCCACCATTCTCCGAGTTGAAAGTTGCACAGAAGGAGTCACACGAATTAACAAGAACAAAAAGAAGGAGATGACGGTGGGTGAGTGTATGCAAGAGATCTTGAAGTCGCATGCGAACGGGATTCATTTTAGAGAAAGGAATGCGGGACCTCAAATAGATGCGGTGATGACGAGTAAAGGGTTTGACATCGATATCACTTTTGATGTTGAGACTGGCTTAATTTCTGGCGGGAATGAGTCGAATTGTGGGACTTGGATGGATAAGATGGGGAGTTCTACGCGAGCGGGGAATAGTGGATATCCTGGATCATCACGTGATGGAGCTGATGTTGAGATACAAGGTCTCTTAATGAAAGTGTTACACTGGATCAATACGAAGAAAGTGTTTAAGTATGAGAGTGTATTGATTCACAATTATGGTGAATACTCATATAAGGAATGGGAAACCAAATTACAAGAAAGCTTCACGAAATGTTTTTATATACCAAAGAATATAGAAGAGGACAAAGGATATACTATTGAGAGTAAAATAGTCAATAAGAGAGAGATCTATAAAGACGTGTTTGGCTCGGCAAAGAAGTGGCCGGACTATCAATTACGACCAAACTTTTTGATTGCACTTGTTGAAGCGCCTTCGCTCTTTATCAACCACTTGGAAGACGCTAAAAGTGCACTGAAAACAACGCGAAAATATTTGGTAGGACCTCTTGGGATGAAAACATTGGACCCAACGGATTGGAACTATAAACCAGACTACTACAATGAAGACTGCGATGATTTTAATACAGCAAATGGATTGAATTATCATAACGGACCGGAATGGGTATGGCCATATGGGTATTATGTCATGGCAATGTTGATGTATAACCCTGACAATTTGGGAAAGGAAGAGCTCAAGACGTACTGCAGATCACTCATGTTCAATCATTTCAAATACATGAAAGAAGATCAATGGATGAGCTTACCGGAATTAACAAATGGAAATGGAAAGACGTGCTTCGCATCCTGTGCATCTCAGGCTTGGAGTGTCGCCACTATCATCGACGCAGTTAAGAGAATCGAGGAGCTTTAATTGGATTTTTTAACTATCTTTTATAATTTGTTTATTAATGATATATAGTTCTGTTTTTTTAGATATCTTTTTCAAATGGTTTAAAACATCAAAGTTTCAAATATTAAAATTAACTAATAAAATTAACTAATAATCATTATTATAAAAATATAATAAAATTATAATTAAAAACAGTTACTTTTAGGAGAAGTGAGCCAAACATGACAAAGAATGAATAGCGTTACGATAGGACGAAATAATTACAAAATACAAAACTGGTGTTAATTTACTACCAAATTACCAAAACAAGTTATCGAAAAATTAAAAATGCAATTTGCAAAAGAGGGTTCTATTTAAAAAGAAAAATACTCCACGAATAAACACCAATTTACAATGGAAAGCGTTCAAGGCTACGACTTTTCGAAAGGAGTGAATTACGAGGAAATTGTGAATAGCTATATGAGGACGGGGATTCAATCTTCGGGTGTGGGAAAAGCTATTGACATCATTAACCAGATGCTAACTTGGAAACCTACAGAGGAAGAAAAGAAAGCATTTGACACTGATGACACCCGCCCGAAAAATTGCACCATTTATTTAGGGTTTACTTCTGAAATGGTGAGTAGTGGTCTGAGAGATGTTATTCGTTATTTAGTTGAAAACAAATTGGTTGATTATGTAGTAACAACCGCAGGTGCTGTGGAGTCTGATATTATGAAGTGTTTAGGTGACTTTAAAGTTGGTGATTTTTATATGAAAGCAAACGAAGTTGAAGGTGAGAGACACGGGAATATTATCTTCCCCAAAGATCTTATTGAGAAGACAAAGAAATGGATCAAAGAATTCTTGTTGAACATTGAGGAATCGGAAGACCCAGACATTCCATTTACTCCATCGCAACTCATAGAGATGATGGGACAAAAAGTAAATGACAAAAGGTCGATTATCTACTGGGCGTCACGAAACAATATCCCAATATTCTGTCCTGCACTTACTGATGGTCTCATAGGAACTTGTTTAGTCGAGTTAAATGCACAAAGAAGAATGCATATGAAAATCGATATAGTACAAGACTTACGCCTTGTGAATTCATCGACTATTCATTCAATAAAGACAGGAGTTATCATTTTGGGGGGTGGAGTGATGAAGCATCATATTATGAATGCCAATTTAATGAGAAATGGGACAGACTTTGCAGTCTATATTAACACTGCTGGGGACTTTGATGGGTCTGATGCGAGTGCAAGACCAGACGAAGCGATATCTTGGGGGAAAATTAAGGTAGGAGCGCCGTATGTGAAGATATTGAGCGAGGCGTCACTTGTCTTCCCACTTATAGTCGCAAAAACATTTGCAGTGACTAAGAGAAACATGGGGATTAATTAAAAGTGTTTTTACGACCATTCTAATTACGAATTTAAATATTTATTTATCATAAATAGATCATAATTTATGATACTATACTATCTTTTATAAAATAGAAGCTATTGTTATGTAAAGACTCAACTTGGGTTTTGAGTACAAATGTTATTAAACAAGCAAACAAACTAAAAATTAACTAGAAAGGTATGGCTCAAGTTGAAGACCGTGGTATAAAATTTCTGGTGGATGAAATGCATAATAAACTGTGTGTATGGCTCAGGTTATTGGGGTATGATGCTAAAGGAAGTAAAGATTATGAAGTGAAGTACGGCCCAAGTGTTGCCGACAAAAATTTGATTGTTGAAGCACTTGAGGAAGGAAGAGTTTTACTCACTGGTGACAAGCAAATGTTTGAAATTATCACAGACAAAGCACAAAGGCAGAACAAGCAGTTGACATACAAGAACACCAACATTCCACATGCCGTTAAAATCAGACAAGATGTCCCAGAAAATCAACTCATCGCACTGCACAAAGTGATTCCACTTGAATACAATTTAAACTTCGACGCAATGTGTTGCACAGACTGTGGCGGCAAAAATGTTAAAGTTGAAAACAAAGAGGACGTCAGAGGAAAAGTGGTTGATGGTGTCTTCAATGATGTTGATCAGTTTTGGAAGTGTTCCAAATGTGGAAAAGTGTTTTGGGTTGGTTCGCAGACAAAGAACATTGTTGCTTCCTTCGACAAGATGATGGAACTTCTCAAAGAATCAAATTGATTTTTTTTCTTCATCTACTCCGTCACCCCATAACGGAGTATTTTATAACGGACGTTTTTATTTTAACTCTTTATTTAATACAAAGTCAAATTTAATTATAAACAATAATAATATAACTATTAAAATATAAAACAATAAAAACCAATGACCGTTGAGGTATTTTATTTCGATTCGCTTTCATTATGGATAATAAATTTTAATTTTAAATTTTAGAAGTTGAGAATTCTAAAATAAAGACTTCGAAACGGTTCTCAATTAGCCGAAATAGATTGACGACTAAAAACTGGTAATACGAATCAAAAAGTGTCGATAAAACACACCATTGAATTCCAAGTTTATGAATTTTGGTCAAACACACTTTTGCTCCATACAAAAACAACAATGATAATTGTTACTAAACAAAACTATAAATAAACTATAATAAAAACACCAAGGAAATAGACACCCAAAAGAGTGTGTTCCAGTCATTCCGTGTGTCCACGTGTCTCTCCAAACACGTGTCAGGACCAATAATCGAACGAAACAATAACCAAAGAAGTGACAAAAAAATTAAATAGAGCGTATTTTGCTAAACTGACGGGAATAGAGGTGTTGATTGGCATTGGTGTTGGGTTTGTGCGCTTTGTTCTGTGTTTTGTTGAGTTTGTTGTTGTTGAGATTGTTGTGTGACGGGTTGTTGGACCTGACGAATTCTTTGATGGCACCTCTCGCACCCGTCTGCTATTTCTATCAGCTGACAATTGATTCTTAACACGTCGTCGTACTGTTTCCTTAATTCCTCGAGTTGTTGTTGGAGCCCAACAAAGGCTTCTTTACTCTTTTGTCGACTTTTCCTCGCGCTTTCTTTGTTCTTGAGTTTTCTTTTAATCTTGTTGAGTGTTGCTTTTTCCAATTTAGTGACTGTCCTTCTATCTTTAAGTTCCGTGACATAGTCCTCGAATTCCTCTATTGTCATACTTTGCAAGTCGTCTTCTGAAAGGAGTGTGTGGTAATCGATGTTTTGGAATTTTTTCTTCCTTCGATGTAAAGGGGTGTATACCTGGTCATTAAATGTTGTTGTAGGAAATTGTGGGGGCGCTTGTGTAGGAAACGACACTGATTGTGGGACATATGGGGAAAATGTCGGAAACGCGGTGAATGGGGCGGCTGCTGTTTGAGGAAAAGGGGTTTCTCCCTGTGCTGGAGAGACGTATCCCGAGTATACTGTACTATCCTCCACCTGCCCTGATTGGTCTGGTTGTTTCGTTGGGTCGACGTTCATTTGCATATAATTTTCAGATGGTTCTTTGCTCTTTTTTGTAATTAAAAAAAAATTCAAGAGAGTGGAAGATCATAGGTGGATCTGGTAATAACTAGGTTAGATCTGAATAATAACAATGCGGCACAATTGTGCCAATGGTATATGAAATGCGCGGGGTGCCACTTCGGGACTTTTCTGTGTTTTCAAAGCCCTTAGGGTTTTTGGAGGGGTTGGTTTTTCTCAAATTCGAGGAACTGTATTTTGATGAAGTATTTTGGGATTTTTCTCTTTTTTCAAAGAATTTGGTGTGGGTTGTACAGAAGACGAGTGAGTGTCTTCACTGTGGTATGGCTGCTGTTGTCTCCATTTTTTATTCTTTGTCAGTTCTGTCAGACGAAGCAACAGCTATCACACACGTCCTCAAAACGCGGATTGTTGTGGATTTTTCTTGGATCATTTCCTTTGGAGCATTCTTTTGTGTTATTCCTTTTGCTATTCTTGTATTATACTGTTAATGGTATTTTACCATTAAATTTACTATGAAATCGGGTGGGTATAACTGGTCTTGGTATAGTATTAATAAATGATTTTTTGTAGTATATTATAATTATATATTTATTTATTAAGTAATCTATAATATAATTATAAATAAACTAGATAAACATTAAGAAGAAGAATATTACACATTCCATTAATTATAGTGGTATTAGATATTACTATAAAGTGTTTCTAACCTTTTAAGCATTTCAACGATTGTAAGTCTCTGTTTTGGGTCTTGTTTCCACGCGTCACTAATCAAATCAAACATTTCATCACTCATTGTGTCTGGCTTTGAGAGTCGTCCACCGTCTGCGACAAAGTTGGCGATGTTCCATGGGTACTTAAAAAGACTTCCTTGATATGGTGCGTCCCACACCATAACATTAAACATAGTAACAGCAAATGAGTATACGTCTGCCGCTATTTTATACTTTTCTTTCCTTAGCACTTCAGGGCTCATATATATAGGTGTTCCAACTCCTTGTGTGAATGACATATTTGTCATCATAGCGTTGATATTTCGACTTGAACCAAAGTCAGTCAACTTTGCGTTGATATCGACATCCGTTTCCAATGAAAATATGAGGACATTGTCCGGTTTAATATCTCGATGCATTATTCCATTACTATGGAGATATTCTATACCTTTTGCAGAGTCGATGACGAACTTAAATTTAACCTTCGTTGATACCTCTTCTTTCTTTCTTTTAACTATTATATCCTGTAACGACCCATATTCAGCAAATTCAGTGACCATACAGATCTTGTTTGGTATCAAGACAGCTCCATAGAAGTGAACGATGTATTCATTCCTGAATTTGTCGAGCATCGCTACTTCCTTCTCAAACTCTTTCATCATCGCATCAACCATTTGAATCTTCTTCATCTTCTTGATAGCAACTTTGTTCCCCTTGTATAGCCCAACATACACTATCCCAAAGCTCCCTTTTCCGATTTGTTTTTCTATAATTATTTCATCAGAGTCTAAACGACTTGATACTTCCGTTAAGGCATCTATGCACAAGGCTTCTATATACCTCTTCCCATTCTTTAAGTCATCTATTATCATTTGCGTCTTTCCTTGAATGTGTGTGGAGCACTGCGGTTCTAGATAGACTTCGACCTCACACCCCTCTTTTCCTTTGAGAGTCATTTTACTCGGGACAAATTTGATTTTGTAATTTTCATTGGAGAAGTCTTCATCTGGAAGAGAAATTCGAATGTTGTGATTCTTGTAATTTGCAACACAAAAAAGTACCCGTGTTGGCTTCAATATAGGAAGTTCGCCTTCTTCATTAAAAAGAATTCGTTTGTCCATTAAAATTGGTGTTTTTCCATCGACGTGTGACCAAGTGATGTTTGTTTGACTTAATTTGAAATGCGCATATTTCTTCCGTTCATTAATTTCGTCGTGTTTCTGTGAAATGGCATAGACAATCCAGATGGTTATCCCAACAAATGATACCATAAGAACAACTACTATAAACAATGCACACAACACAACAAGTAATAGCACCCACCACACAGCTTTTGTTTCGCATGAAGTGAAATCTTGTCCTACTTCATACCAGAAACTACACCCAGAACACTTGGAATTGCTTGATCCTGTACAATGCAATACAGTGGTATAATATACACAAGAATGGTTCTTTAATATGTAATTGTCTTCACAACTCTGACACGACGCCGTGTATTGATCACATGCAACACAATGTTCCGTTGACTCAGAACACAACACACAATGCTTCTCATGGAGGTAGTAATTGGGTAAACAAGTTTCACAACCATCCACTTGAAAAGAAAAACACCCAATCAAGTCAGTTTGAGCTTGACAAGTATTATTGTCATTCACAAAATAGTATTCATCACATATTACACAAATGCTATCTCCAGTACACAAAGCACAATTTGTGATGCACTTCTTACAACTTCGTTGCGTAAGGTCGAGATAATATCCTCTCTCACAAACAGCGCATTTGAGTGAATACGGAATTGTCTGTTGACATCCTTGTAAGGCCGTTTTTGATGTCTCACAAACACCATTTTGAAGAACAAATCCTTCAACGCATTCATCACAAGAAGTCGCCGTTTTGGAACATTGAGAGCACATGTAGTAGCATTTTGTGCATTCATTGGAAGAGTTCAAAAAATACGAATTTTCACATAAACGACAATGTCCATTTTCATATAACAAACAATGTGTTCCTTCTTGTTGACTTGGTAACACACAAACGCCTTTGTTAGTCGGTAGCTTTTTAACCAAAACATAATCTTTTAAGCACCCAAAACACTCTCCATCCGCTCCACAAGACGAACAATTTGGCGTGCAATATTCACAGGCTTCCCCGTTGAAATACATCCCTTGTGGGCATTGTGCGCACGTGTTATTTATCGAATGCATACACTTCGAGGAGTATGTATCTACACAACTTCCTAAAGAATTCAACACATTATCTGAAGAACATAACAAACACTTCTCTGTTTTTGTCGTGATATCAAAATAACATTTCTCACATCCATTTGAACAGAATATACACTTATTATTGATGCCATAATAGTGCTCCAAACATTCCAAAACTTTGTTTTGAGTTACCTTCTTAAAGTTGTCAACAAATTCACACAAAGTTGAAGACGTGTTCTGTGTATACCCAACCGATATGTCGCAAAAATCACAATTGTCTGGTGAACTACATTTAAAACAACCCTCTCCGCATTCCGCCACACATTTTGATTGTGTCGACTCCCATAAATGGTTAGAAGAACATTTCAGACACACATTGGATGTCGCGAAATCACAATTTACACTTTTTGAATTCACACAAGTGTTGTTGTCCAATATATAATCTTCCTCACAAATGTCACAAACGGAATTTGAACGACACCATTTGCAATTTTCACCACATGAAAGGCAGTGTGTTTTATTTGTGTAATAGTTCTCTTGACATCTAATGCATGTTGCTTTGTCTACACTGTATATATCACAATTACTTATTGTGTCAATCATTTCTGAGCACATATCGTCAACTTTCCCAAATCTACACTCTTCACAATAAAATCCACTTCCATTGTACAATCCCGCTTTGCAAAGACCGTTCTGTGAGAGGTCTATTTTGTCATCAGTGTTTGTCAGCCCATACGAATCCCCAGCAAATAATAAGTTGTTATTCTCAACATCAATTTCAATTGGTTGATTATTTTTAAGAAAAACATAAATCAAGTTTTGGTCTCCCTTAATATGAAAATTGAAATTTGAAATGACAACCATTTCCTTCTGAGTACTTTCCAGTAACACGTTTTTGTTTATTATAATTTGAGTATAAAACTCTTCTGTTTGAAGTTGATAAGTAGTAACATTTTCAATCACTAAAGTGCGTGTTATTGAAGGAGAATTGTAACATGGGCACGAGTAATCATACACTCCTTTGTCATCAAGATACTTTCCATTATTTTGTGGAACACACACTTTCACTTTATATCCCAACGCCTCACAACTCTCATCTCCTACACTTTTTAATACAACAATTTGTCTGTCACATATGTAATACGGTTCATTCAGAAATTTAATTGGACGAGTTTTACAGGATGTGTAATATACCACACTCATCAATTTTGTTATTGGAACATTCATTTCAATGACGTTATAACTCGGAATTAAATTCAAAAAGGTTTTCTTTTCATTGTTAGTACTCATTTGTTTCACGACTTCTTCGATTATAATTTTAGTGATGGTTGTTTCTATCGTGAATGGGTTGTCCAATGATACTTTTCCAAAGAAAATAATGTTTGGGTACCATAATAAAGTCGACGCAGTTATGTCTATCTTATACTCATTTTGACAGTTTAATACTGTTACTATACTTTTACTTTCAATTTTACTTATCCCATTCACTACAAGTGTTTTGATTAATACAGACTGCTCATTAACAAATGTACTTCCACTTTCAAGCTGTACCTCTTCAAAAGACCCTCTAAGGTTTTTTATTATCAAAGTGTTGTTGATAAACATCTTGTTGATAGTCATCGTTTGACCACTAATTCCTCCTATTATTGTGACGTTATAACCGTTGCTGTTGAGTTGATATGCACCAATAACTGCTTTATTTATTAGAAGAAGAAAACTGTCTCCACTGAACATTATCTGTTCACAAGAAAGTGTCCCATCCAGTGTAACATTTCCACTCAACTCACAAAACTTTGCAGTGACTGTTCCCTCAAGAGTCACTCCATTCAACACTTCAAGACTATTCCAGAACACAGCACCCTTTGAGTATATCCCACTCTGTATTTTAAGTCTCATGATGTTGTTTTTGTCCTTTGAATTTAGTGTACAATCGTTGTGATTGTATTCATTGTCACTGGATTCACATCCACATTTTACAACACTCCCAATAACACCATACCGCGTGTTATTTCCATTCACACAAGTTGCTTCTATACCATTTGGTATATCATCTTTGTTTTTACCAACAAAGATGACATCATTAATTCCAAAATTTTCAACAACTATTTTGTTGATTGTCCAGTCATTCAAATTGTACACCCCACTAATTGGTTTACTCTTAATTATCAAATATGAAAATTTCACCCTCCCTTCGAATTTCACTGCATTTTCTGGTAGTGTTGTTGTCTCAGTAAACTCAAGGTTATTTGTTATCACTATTTTGACTTCAGAAGTTCTTGATTGAAAGAGAAGAGAAGTCCAGACATTTCCTTTTTCAGAATCAAACAAGACTTCATTGTGTCCACTTTTGATAGTGAAATCAAAGAGTGTGTTATTATATAAGCAGTCTGGATAATTTGTCCCAAAAGATTTCATCGAAGCTGTTGAATAATCTGAATTGATATAACACGAGCAGTCATTCACAAACTTTTGGTTTTTAGGGCATGTGATGTATCTCGACAAATTACGTTTTGTACATACTTTAAAAACGTTGTAATTTGTCATGTTATTGATTTCCACGTTTTGATTTGCATTAAACGCATATGCACACTTATCACACATTAAATTATCATTGATATACAACTGATTCAACTTTCCAGTTTGTGTAATTTCTAAATAAATATAAGGCCTCGATTGTTGGCTTGTATATTTTATATAAAATCTTTCTTCTCCGGTACTCATTATAACAGCGGGTTGATCATATACATAAATATTGTCATTGATATAATCATTTGGTTTTTGTTTTCTATTTATAATACCTACAAAGCCTTCTCGAATGTTTTTCAAATGAAGTGAATAGTGTTTTCCCGGTTGACTTGGGTTAAAGGTCAGCACTTTGATTGTGCTCCCATCTGAAAACTGTGCAAGCTTCTCCGCTTCATTTGAGTAAGGCGACACGCTATAATAATCTTTTCCATTCCCACAACATTTAGAAGTAAATGTGAATTTATCGATTAATGTTCCTTTGTCATATTCCATGGTTACACCTTCAAAATTATTACACATATTACTATAGTATTGCCCCCATGTGATATCATTGTCTCCAGTCACTGACCAGCACATTTCTCCACAAACGACCTGCAGGAAAAATACGATAAACAGGACCATTGCAATTGTAAAAAATAATTCAGTTGCTTTTCTTTTTGCTGATAATTATTCGAAATTTCTTGGTGGACAGTTTCTATATTTTTATAATTTTTAATAATAAAATATATTAGTGACTCTTCCATTTGAATTCGAAGTATTTTTCTTGGCTCTATTTTTTTGTTCAATGAGCACAGTTAAACAACTCCATCAATATGATTAGTTTTATTAGTTAAAATTATTATATAATTATACTTGGAATTAGAGCGTTTCAGTTCTGTTATACAATGTTCGTCTATTTTAAGCAAAAAAACAAATGCGGTCTTTTTTTGGGAGCGAAAAAGTGACGACAAAAAACAAGTTGTTGAATTTCTAATAAAATGTACTAGTTGTATAGCTTTTACAGTCCAACCACAAAATCAGTGAAAAAAGCACTACGAATTATTTGAGTAAATTGACAACATAGTCCTCCTTGAAAAGTTGATTGAAGGTCTCTCTTTCATTCTCCTTGAGCGCAAGCATTTTTGTGACAACCTCTCTTTTCTGGTCCATAAGTTTGTCGTTTTTGATTCGTTTTGGCATGAAGAGTCCCTTCTTCTTTTGGACAGCCTCCTGGATCTCAGTTTCATTTTCGCCGTACGGAATTTTGTGTGTCATCAGTCTGTACAAACAGACGCCAAGCGGGTATAAGTCGTGGTTAACTGTTAGTGGCGTTCTCTTCGCGGAGTTATAGTCCCGTGATGTTCCTCTGAGAACTTGTGACTCGTTAGCGAAGCTCCTACAATTTCCAAAATCAGTCAAAACTATTTTTGTGTTTCCGTCCTTCTTTGAGATCAGGAAGTTGTGATGCTTCAAGTCTCCGTGTATAAACTTTTTGGTGTTCTGCAAATACTCCATCGGTGCAATCATTTGTTTAAAGAAAAGGTCAAGTTCTTCGCTTGTCATGTGTTTTTTTATTTTCCTTTGCTCCTCCACAAAGTCGTTAATGTTGCCAGCTTCATAATAATCGAGCAATAAATATAGGTACGTTCCGGGCCTTTCTCTCTTCTTCTCAATCTTGGTCGAGATTGAACGCGTAGCAGATGCAATCCCGTGACTTTTGATGATGTTCGGATGGTCGCACCACTTCAAGACCATAGCCTCCTTCTCAATCTCCTCTTTTTTACTCAAATCACTTTCCTTCAACGCATAGATTTCGCCTTCATATCTTACCTGTACCATTAGTTATAGTTTATTTATTGATATTGTATACTACAAACTTTGATGATTTTACCATAAGCCCCAGTCCCGACCATTTCAATTGGTTCGATCTTATTAAAGTCGAATGTTGGGAATTGGACGTTCTGGTAGATTTCATCGACGCCCTTCATCTTTATCACGTCCAAAATGGGCTTTTTTGTTCTGAGAGCGTCCAACACGCACTTCCCATATTTTTCGGCATCGACGAAGAATTCGATTTGTTTGCAAACGTCTTGTCTTAAGTCCTGAATAGTACTTTTAATGAGTGGCAACAAAATTGCAGTCGGAAGAACTCGAATTGTTGGACAAAATGAGTTTGCACCCGACTTGACCAATACGTCAAAGTCGTCCAATTGCATGCGTTCTTTTCTTAACTCCGCATACCGCACAACATCTAATAACTTTCCTAAGAAAAAGTCTTTCTCCTCTTTTCTGATTTCAACGTGGTTGATGAAGATTTTTAAATTGACGGGCTGACACTCTTCACACACCACCCACAACTCCTTCCCTTCTCCCTATCAATGAATTTGGAGTGACCATTTAAAACTATTCAATTAATTAAAATACTATACAAACAAACTACATCCCCTACTTCGATTTTTTCAATTTGCAAAGCCCAACTGAAGTACTTCATCTCTTCTTTGAGCCTCTCCGCCCTCTCTTGAACAACTTTCAGTTTGTCTTTGCTAAGTCGGTCGACATTAATTCGAATCAAAATTTTGTCTGCAGTGTCTTTCTCATTCATCTTGACGTATGTGTATACGGTCGTCTCACCTTTAAAAAACGGTTTGTCGCTAACGCTCGCAAAATGTCCCTTGAACCCTTCCTCCATATTATTTATTAGTTACTCGGTTTGAACTCTTTCCATTCCTTAAATGGACAAATACTATAGTATATAATTTTTTATTAGTTGGATAAACTATACACGTGGCAATGACGACGTAGCGTATTTTTGCCAGTCAGCACGCATTTGAGTTATTTTGTAATTACTATTTATTTAAAAATAATTACTATATAATAATAAATAATTTTATTAAAAAAACAAAGTTTTCTATTTGAATTGTACTAAAACAATTGAGCAGGTGGTATGAAAAGCAAAATCAGTTAAACATAGACGCAACAACTCTCTTTGGAATAGGCTTCTCGTCGTCCGAAACAGCGTCGAAGAGCATGAAATTTTGTTCGAGTTTTTCATTGACTTTCATTATGGACGCAATGTTTCCACATCTCCCGCAATAGTTTGGCGCAGACCACACAGTAACCATTTTTTTGTCAAACTGATATTTGTAACCCTCCATCACCAATTGGTGGGCTCTCGCAATGAGTTGAACATTGTTCACTCTGCAGAATTCTTCGACTGGTGCTTTCCCAAATATGTACCCAGCGCCTCTGCAACTGAGCCTCATTCCCTTCTCATTCTCTTCTGGGTCAGACCACATCAAGTCACAGAATGAACCCTCGTGTGGGACTTCTTCATTTCTGTTGATACAGAACCTGACTTGGTCGATTGTTCTGAGTTGTGGTGACAAACCCCCATGCACACAGTAAATTCCGTTGTCAATTACTGCAGATACCGAGAAGTAGTCGAAAACGTCCATAAAAATTGTCCAAGCAGCCGGGTTACCATATTTCTGAATGCACTCGTCGTAAAACCCATAGTCTTGTGTGATCATCCGAGACTCATGGTTCCCACGAAGTAAATGAATCCGCTCAGGGTATTTCACCTTCAAAAGGAGAAGAAACGAGATCACCTCGATCGAATAAATGCCTCTGTCGACGTAGTCCCCCATGAATAAGTATTGAACGTCAGGGAGTTGCCCGCCGATCTCGAACAATCTGAGTAAGTCGTAGAATTGCCCGTGAATGTCTCCACAGACAGTTACAGGCGATTTGATTTCAATTACATTCGACTCGAGCGACATAATTGACTTTGCCAAAAAACAGAGCTCGAGGAGGTTATGCTCGCTCAGCACATCTCCGTTTTTTACTTGTGCCATACACTGGTCCACATCCATTTTGTCTTCATTTTTCAGTTCCACTTTTTCTCTTTTGTTTTTTAGTTTTCTTTTTTTCAAGTTGTTTTCACAGTATTTTTTACGCTTAAATATCGGGTCATTACGCCACTTTTTAAATATGGTTGTTTTATAGTAATTTTACAATATGTAATACTTTTTCATTTGAAAATCTTCTCAAAACTGTTTTTATGGTTTTATTATGACTCCCTTTAATTTTTCTTTTCTTTTCTCCAAATTAAAAATTACTCTCCAAAAATTCAAATGGTTGATGAATAAATCTTTGATAGTAAATCCTCTTGACTAATTTCAGGTACTCACATCATATTCATAACTTTGAGATTATTAATTACAGAAAGAAGAAGCGTTTATTGTGCAAACAAACAATAATTTTTACTTCATTGAATTATAAAGGTGGTCATGAATCTTTTTCATTCGATCGATGTCGACCTTTTCAACACATCTGTCGTAAGTTATCAATCCATTCGTTTCAGTCTCAACATCCGAAAGTTGTGTGTATATAGCACCAGCCAATCCTTCAATGTGTTCAAGTATTTCAACATACTTTTCATAGACGTCTTCAACTGTATCACTCTTGACATATCCCCAACTTCGCGTAACCCAACTGTGCCCTTCTACCTTCTTTCCTATACCTCCAAACTCTCCCACAACACGAATACGCTCGTCGACAACTCTCATTTTTGGCGCGGGATATGCGTGACAGTCGCAAATATCTCCAACGTTTTTGAAATGATTTCCACCGCTCGCGGCGTTCACCAATCTTTGTGAATCTTGCGACAACTCACAAATTTCACTCGTATCAAATTGCCCCCAATTCTCATTAAATGGCACCCAACACATCACCGACGGACTCATTCGAACACTTCGCCGTATTTCACTCCACTCTTCTAGAAACAGCGCTTTAGTCTCGGGCGGTACCGTCTTGTCTTTCTCTTTAAATCCATCTTGGTCCCACCCTAAGAACTGTCCAATACCCCACCCACATCTCGAGGGCATATCTTGCCAGACCAAAATACCCATTTGATCGCAGTGGTAATACCATCGCAATGGCTCGACTTTGGCATGTTTCCGCAACGTGTTAAACCCCAATTTCTGACAGAACAACAAATCCGATTTGAGCGCTTCATCCGTTGGCGCTGTGTATAAGCCATCAGGCCAATACCCTTGGTCCAACAAACCATACACAAAAATCGGCTCGTTGTTCAGTAAGAAACATGGAAACCCGTGGTGAGTCCCTTTCGAGAATTTCCTCATCGCAAAGTACGAAAAGACGACGTCGCCAGTTGCGCTCGTTATTTTGGTGTTGTACAATTTCGGACTTGATGGACTCCACCTCACTAAGTTCTCCGGTACCTTAAACGCAACACCCATTGCAACACTTTCAACCGTTAAGATCGGCGTCGTCTCATCAAATATTTCGAGCTTGAAATTTGTTGTTGTGTTCCGATCACTACTCTCGCCGGTCAATGTCAGAGTGTTCTTGTCGATGTCTGGGATGAACTCTAAGTAGTCGACATACACTTCTGGGACAGGTTCCATCCATACTGTCTGCCAAATCCCAGTCACTGGGGTATACCAGATTGTGTATGGCGTTTGTATTTGTTTGCCACGTGGTTGGTCACTACAGTCTGTTGGGTCCCACACTCTTAAAATGATCTCAATGGTCTTGTTCTCTTGAATTGTCTCGCTTGGGATTTCCACTTCGAATGGGGAATACCCCCCTTTGTGGGTGAAGACCTCTTGTTTGTTCAGAAAGATAGTACACTCATAGTCGACTGCTCCGAAGTGTAAGAGAGTCTTGTTACTCCACGGCATCTCGACTATTTTTCTATACCACAAATATTCTTTCTCTGAGACTCTTCGTTGTACTCCAGAGAGTAAAGACTCGATAGGAAATGGGACAGTGATATGTCCTTCTATTTTTGTTGGAATGGTTTGTTGATTCTTTGGTGTCACAACATACTCCCAATCACCGTTTAAATTCATCCACTCTTCACGTCTGAGTTGCGGGCGTGGGTATTCGGGCAATGGATGTTCTCTGTCCAACTTCTTAGAATACTCTGTTATCATATCTACAATCTCGAGATTCTCAGTTCTGTTCTTCAATGAGTTTTTCAATGGTATTTCTCTTCATACCATTAGATTCTTGTTCGATTCAAATTTACGGCATTTCCCGATATTTTGCGTGATATTCTTATTTTTACACTGAAATGTAATGACTACCCACATACTATATCTAATAATAAAACAATTAAAAAGAAACTAGAATAGAGGACAAAGGAGTAAAATATAAAGAAGTTCAATACCCACCGACCTGGTTCATCATCGCGTCGATGACGTCTCTGTCCTGAAGACCCAAGTCCGACGCTGTTTTGTCAGGAGTGATTCTGACGCCGTCTGACAAGAAACGGACAGATGACATGTTCAGGCCTTGTTTGTTACAGAACGCCTCCATCAATTTTTTGAGTGGTGTGTTTTTCTTGATTTTAAAAAAGACTTCCGTCGAGTCTTGAGTGACGACTTTCAAATTGATTTGTTCGTTATTGACGGGTTTCTCGGCTGTTTTGTTGACTTCGTCCTTCACTGGATCTTTTTGCGGTTCTTTCTCTTTTTGGGGTGATTTTGGTGCGTCTGACATGTTCGTTTTAAAGTTGAGTTGCACTTGGCTTTTTATTATATCGGAATTATTCGGAAACTATTTATAGAAAAGGGCCCTAAAGAACATTTTGGACGTTTCACATTTTTTCACGGTTTTTTTCATTTTGATTGGACAATTTAATTTTTTCTCTTTTTTATTTTATTTATTTCATTCGTCATCTATTTTTTAGCCTTAAAAACAAAATTTATTTGTCCGTTGTTAAATACTCGATTTTTGTGTTTTTATTAAAAAACTTGGTTTTTATTAAATTTTTGTTTGTTATTATTTTATTTTAAATCAGCTTGACATTTTTTTATATTTGGTCACAAATTTATAACATTTCGGCATATTGTTCTTCTTTAAAAAAAAAATCTATAAATTATAATAAAATAATTAAATAAAAACTAATTTATATGGTAATTTATTATTATTAAAAATGGTATCAATATTTTTAAAATGCGTTGAGGTATTTATATTTATATCTATAAAAAATGTTATTCAAAATGAGAAAACAATACGACTGTGAAAATGTTATTAAAATGTTATACATAACAAAAAAAATAACACAAAATCAGTTAATAATTGATCCCAGCACATTAATGAGTTTCTCAGCGTCGATTCTAACGCCCTTATAAAGTTCGGCAGGCGGTAAGATGTATATGAACTCCTTGATAATGTCTTTGTTGACTTCTGTGTGTATTCTCTTCCACTCGACGTTGTTAGCTTCTTTGTTGCCTAAAATCAATCGTTCGTCTCTCTTCTCTCCGCACTCTTCCATCTTCTTTTCTGCTTCCAGTATCTCCTTTGTGTCTTTGGGCATCTCCATACCTTTGAATGTGTCGGTTACTATTTCGCTCATGAACTTATCGACTTCCACGTCGTTGTAACTGACCAACGCATTTGAAACAACTGCTTTTTAGTACTTAAAAACGTAATAAATTTTAACATTAAAGAACAAACATCTTGATGGGGTAATACCGACCAGGAATTTATAATACGCTTTGATGACTTTGTTATCTTTAGAATACTTTTTCAGTGCCTCCTTAAAGATGTTCAACGCCGCAGTTTTCCTTCGGAAGAAGCAAAATTCGACTTCAGCAGCAGCAATATAAGCGTAAGGTTTCAGTTCTCCTTTCATCCCTAACAGTACTTTCCTGAACGTCTTCATTCCAAGACACCTTCCTGCCATCTTCAACTTATATATCTGTTCCAAGTCACTTTCGTTGCTCAATAAGTCAAGTCCTTCTCTCTCTCTCCCCGAAATGAGATAACAGAAGCTTTCATATAACTTCAGTAAAGGACAGTCGACCGCATTTCTTCCTCTCCTCAGTATGTTGATAGCTAAATCGATGTTTCCTCTTCTTTGGAAATATTGTGCGCACACTATCCAAGCTTGTGGATAGCGGTAGAAGACCATCAACATCTTATTCATCATATAAAAGATTCGCTCCTGTTGTGCTTTCATCTCAAGCGACTTCGGACACACTTCATACTTCAACTCCTTCCCATTCGACGTGTAACTCCTTTCTTCGGCTCGGGGTTGTCCGTCGAGGGTAGTCTCGTAGTCCAAAACGTCGACATAACTACTTAACACCTCTTTCGTCCCCAACGAGACAACATTTGTCCCATACTCCACCGCATGTTTCTTCCTCAATTTATCCATTTTCGAGAGATACGATGTCAGTCGGACGTGGCTTGTCTTTGTCGCTTCAGATATCATCTTTTCGTCCTTTTTGACTTGTTCGTCCGTCAAGAATTCGTCGTACTTTGCTAACGCATCTGCACGGTCCGTCATCGGAATTCTATTAATGTTGAAGTAGAGCTGTCGATTCAGAACTCTTCCATACTCAGTTTGGCTCAAGAAGTTGATGAACTTTCTGTATATCGGCATCGCGTTTATGTCGAGCCCAACTAACTGTATCGCAAGCAGGAACGCGCTCTCTTGGATCTTTTTAAACTGCCCCTTCTCCAAATCCCCGATAGTGAGTGTCGGGTCTTCGTCGTCAAAGTTCTTCAAGATGTAATTGATATACCTCTCGACTATATCGACGTCCGGAAGTTGTAACAAGCACAGTCTGAAGATGTTCTCAACTTCTCGGTTATTCCCGTACTTCATTTCCAAGTCGATATACTCGCACCAGCGATTCACAGCGGTAGGGTAATCTTTCAGATAGCGCTTATACAGTTCTCTTCCTTGGACAAGTTGCTCTTTACTATTAAAAAAAGGAAGTGCGCTGAATTTGCTTTCCCACGCCTCTTCATTAGGGACGGCTTGCATCTGATTTTCTCAGTTTACCACGAAAATTTAAAAGAAAAATATTATAGTACTTTTACTATTAAAAATTTACTATACTTCTTGCACAGAAAAATAATTTACATGACGGGGCACTCAGACGTTGTTTCAGTCAGTTGCTCAACACATTCTCTTGCTGCGACGTCGAAGAGGTGATTTATATTTGTGAAGTCTTTGGCAGAGGTTTCCATGAAAGTGCAGTTAATAGACTCTGCAAAGGCAAACCCCTCTTCATAGGTCACATCTCTCTGAGTCTCGTCTGACTTGTTACCCACTATCACAACATTCGCCTTCTTCTGTACTTTCTTCTTTATGTCGAATATCTTACTCAAATAAACCGGCAGGTGAAGAAGCGTGTCTTTATCAGTTATCGAATAGATGACCAGAAAGCAATCAACCTTTTCGATGTTTTTCTCGCAAAATGTGTTGTTTGTGTCTGTTGTGTCGACAAGTCCTAACGCGTAATTTGTCCCGTCTATATTGATTTTTGTCGATTGAAATTGACATCGCTGTGTTATCTCGGGACGAAACGAGTTTGTTGTGTACCTGACCGCGATACTACTTTTGCCAACTTTCTTATCGCCTACCAACATGCACGAAATTCTTTTCATGTATTTGACAAATTACAGTTCAAGTCATTCAATACTTTACTATTCTTGATTTATTTAACACTTAAAATAACACCCTTATTTTTGTTTTGGCCTGTTTTTACTGGGATATTAATCCAATTTTAGCTGTTTTTCCCTTTTTGGCTTGTGTAATTTTTATTCACATTATACAAACTCTAAAAAACGGAAATTTATTTAATAAACTCAAGATTTCCCGATTTTTAGACCACTTGAATTTTGTTTATTGTTATTTAAAGTGTTAGTAGAATTACTATTTATTATTGTCTTGAGAGTTTGAATTTTTTTTTATAGTATTATATAGTATTATATAGTATTATATAGTATTATATTATGTAAACTCTTTAAAAACCATATTTTTAATATTTAAATGATTCTTAAAATAGATAGAGTCTATTTTGTCAATACTCTTAACAATTGTGAACAGAAAATAAATCAATTATCCAAGTCAGTATTATCAGAGAATGAAAAACGTATGTTGTTATCATTAAGAATTTCTTTGAGTGTATCTATTGAGTTGTCTTTCATTATATCGATAGCATTGAGTTGTTGAGTGATTTGTTCTGCTTTTTCGGGTGTGAATTTATTTTTGTGTTTAATTTCATTCTTGATGATTGAAATTCCCCTGAGTAAATTGTAGAAAGTTACCAACTTTTTGTCATATAGAGATTTAAAGTTTTGATATTCAATAATAGAAAGTAACCGGTCCAATAACTGAGAGTCGGAGTATGAGTTATCTATTTCAAGTTTTTGGACGTTTTTGTTCACAAACGACTGTTTATGAACAATGCTTTTTGTTCTTTTTAAAAATTGTGGTTCGATCATTCTTGAATCTCCACTCTCGAAATTGATATATTCTACACCGTCTATTTTCGTTATAACACTTGGGGTATAGACCTCGAAATTTAAAAATCTTTTTAGTATCTTGTCAACTAAAAGTCCCCCACCTGTTGCACACGTAAAATTAGAATTATACCCGATGTTTACAATATTAAAAAACGAATTTAGTACATTTTTGATAGCATTTAGATGATATCCATTTCCAACCACCATAACGTATTTAATTGTATTTCTGAGAGAACTTGGCAATGATTCGTTTAAAAAAGTAATAAGTGTATTTAAGTCAGTGTCTATGTAATCTTCAAATTGACTTGTGTCAACACTTATAGCATGTTGTTCACCCAAATAAGCAGTCACAACAGAATGATTCTCACATAACCCATTAGTAATAACATTACAACACTTATTAAAGTCTTTTGGTAAATACTCAGTGATTCCTTCATCATTTAGTAATTCTTTAACATACGACCTAACTTTATTTTTATAATTTATCCCACCAGTGTTGAGCTCATTAACTGATTGAATTCGCGCAATGGTGTTTTCGACTGCAACAACACACAAAGAAGTCTTCTTTGAACCAAAGTCCATGATCGCATAAGTCGCACTCTTAGCGCCATACTCTTTGAAAGTGAGTTGCATTGAGAGAGATGCAAATGTCGAGACGATAGTAACATACAAATTAATTTCCTTGCCTGCTCTCACAAAGGCCGTTTTGACGTTCTCGGGTGTTGACTCGCGAAATGACATGACTGCAAAAACAGTGTTAGTCATTTCTTTGATTTTGCGCAACATGATACAGATGAGTAATTCGTATGATACGGTTCCATAAACACCCATATCATACGACTGAGTGTTACCATCGATACCCTCAATATAGACTATCTTTGAACTTAAATTCTAAATTGTGAATTCTTCTTCAAAGTATTGTTCTATTTGAAATTATTTAATTAATTAAACTAACTATTACAAACAGTTTTAATGGAAAATGGAGTGATACGTCCATAGTCATATTCAATCGAATTGACAAGTTTCTCGGTGTTGTATGTATCAAAGTAACATTGCGACCACACTCCATTCTTTATTTTTGCTACTTTTATATATTCTGTTCCCCAGTCGATGCTGGCAACGTTATTTTCGTTTAATTGTACTACACTTGACATGAATTAAAATCACTTTTTTAAGTTTCTTTTTATTAAAAATCATTCAAAACAGAAATCTTAGTTGTATGACCTCTTATATTAGAATTACAATTCCTAAGATATATCATTTAAATATAGTGATTAATTTTACTTGATGTAAATTCATATAAAAAAATGTATAGAACATCAAAAATAGTACAACACAAATTACAAGCCGGAAATGACGGAGTGAATTATTTTTATGACAATCCATAACACACATATAACTCAACATTTTTCATCATCAGAGATATCATCTTTACTGTAATTGTTGTAGTCCATTGTAAACTTTGGGGGTATAACGATTGGCACTCTCTTTGGGATTGGACGTTTCTTCACTAAGGCGGGAGGTTGCTGTGTTTCACACGTCTCACCACCTTCACTCTTCACTACTACTGTTTTGGTCATTTTTTTGGCGACTTTTCCTCTACGCGATGTTCGTAGAGCTTTAACCTCGGAACTACTTGTCGACCCTGTACCGGACTTTTTCAGCGATTTGGTGCTTTTCATCAACTTCTTTCGTGCGGCTTTTGCAGAACAACTTTGGTTCATTGCAATGTGACTTTTTCAGTTCGTGTATGGCTATAGAACAAACAGAGCGTTTTGAAAACAAATTACACTTTTTACATCTTGGAAGTCAACCAATCGAGTGTAATAATATAACATTTTGAATAACACATTCACATTCAATCAACATTTTACATTTCCTGAATTCTTGAGCTAATATTATGGATTACTATTTGAATTTACTAAAATTTGTTTTCATTGAAGTGTTGTTTTGGAACTTGCAATTGAACATGATGAGGAACCAAAATGCAAACAATGGTAAAAGGACATAAAACACAATTATTTTTGGTTGTTTTTATATCTTTTTTTATACTAAATTAAAAGTAGTGTATACACTTCATCGTAATGGTTATTTTAAACCGGATTTGCAGACGATTTAAAATGTTAAAGTACAATTAAAAGTTGAATTCCAAAAGTAATATTGTATTTTTATTATTCCTAAAAACTTACAACACATTTCCGTCATACAACTTATTTTGTTTTATGGACAAAATTGACAAATATTTAAAAAATGACCATTTAAATTGTAGTCTTTCTATTTGAAATAGACTTTTGGTCTTTTACTATGGTAATTTACGATTGAATTTATACCATGTTATTTCTAGTTTGCAATCTTATTTTATATTTATATAATATGATATTAATTTTATAGTAAATTATAAATAAAAATATTATAACAATTGTTATTGCAAAAATAACTATATTATATAATAATTATATTAATATCAGTTTTTTTATTATTTCATCCATTTTATGGCAACAAGATACATGTTATTACATATCGTATCATTATCGAACAACTAACAATTACTTTTTTAAAATTGTCTGTCCCTGTTTTTATTTGGTTCTTTTGTCTATTTTAAAAGATAACTCATCAAATAGAAGTGGTAAGTTACAAACATAAATAATGCAACAAACACGTACAAAAGTAATTCAACGAATAAAGACTAATGAAAAGAGTCTTCTGTTTTTCTTTAAACAGCTCAAAAATTCCTTAAAAAATCTTAAACAAATTCTTTCATTTTACTTTGCAAATGATGTAACTATCCCTAAGATATGAAACACAAAAGTAATGAATAAAGAAAATATAATTACAAAATAAGTGTCAAATGATACGGTTCGCAACATACTGTAGTATTATTATTATCAACACAATACACTGGAGATTGTGATCCACAGACTGATTGTGGGTAGCTATTGACGTAATATCCTGTTGAGCTGTAGTCTTCAATTGTCGAATTATTTTGTCCTAAGAAGCTTAAGACTACTGGATCATATGGTTTCAATCCGACCACTGAAGTTCCTTTTCCACAGAGTGAAGCGACGTATTTATTCATCGCAACACCCACACTATATAAATTGCTCTCGTCGAGGATAACTGAGTTGCCAATTCTCACACTTCTGACTTTAGACATCTGCAACGTTTTCTTTGCGCTCTTCACTTGTTTCAGTTCAAAGACGTATCCAAAATTCTCTGCGAGTGCTAAAAGGCTATTGAATGACAAAGCGGCTCTGTTCAATTCTTTTCTCCTTTTGATGTTCTTCAAAAGCTTTTTCTTGTCGGTGCCGCTCTTCATCTCTTGGGAGTCGTTCGCGAACTGAGCAGTGCATTGAGCTTCTACCATATTTCCAAAGCCAAGTCGTGTATTGTTAGTGATGACATCGTTCACTACAAACAGTTGCATTGCCTTTGATGCAAAACGGGAAGGACATGCTATTTCAATTTCGACGCCATTCATTATCAGAAGAGAAAGGACTGCGCCTTGTTGAATAGCTTCAAATGACTTTGATTCGCGTTTGAGGAGGGTCAACTCTTTAGCTTCTTGTGGTGTTTGCATTGTGATGGATAAAAAGTCCGTCGTGTTTATATTCGGATTCCCACAGCCAAAATTTTTGGTAAAATGGCTGATTGCTGATAATTGAAAATGTTTTACCTTTTGTTTTTGTTATTTGATATATTTATATAGCAAACAGAAGAAAGGAAATTGGGGGCTGTTAAGCCAGTGTTCCCTTACTGTTATTATGCCGAACAAGTCATTTTGGTTAGAGGATAAGTAATGGATAAAAGCAGATAATCAAAACAAATTTATTATTAAGGTATTGTATTTATATCGACTTTGATTCATTATTTTTGTCGTTCTTTTGGTTGTACTATAATTATTACGTTTTTTATAATTTTTATATAGTACATTTATTGGGTTCAGGAGAAGAAATATGTCGTTTGAAGATGAACTTTTGGGAATAAACATTCGATTGTTTTTTAGTGGAAAACTGTTATGTTCTTTCCCGTAAAAACACATTACTTATACGAAATATTTGATAGAACACAAATTAATGTTTCTGATTGATTTGTTTGCAGTACGGAATTCATTTATTTTGTCTGTCAGCACAAACAACAAAGAAAACAAAGATAACCATAATTTAGTGTTAAAAAACAGAACAATCTATTTTTAAATAATAAAAAGTTTTATTATCAAAAATACACTCGAATTGGAAAACACGCTCTCAGATTATGCCGAAAATATCATTGAATTTTGCAGAAAACTGCCGGCTGATCCGCATTAATTGACTTTGAGTTTGGTTCAGCCAAACAATTGTGGCTGATCAAAACAGCTTGGCATGATTTTTTTGTCAGCCAAAGAAAAAAATTTGGAACAACAAATAATGCAACCAAAAATAGGAAGTCTGTGACATTTTCGAATAGAACAATTTAATTATCAGCCAAACTAAAAACTTGATTTAAATTGTTGTCTGTTCAAATCCAGTTATTTTACATTAACAACGCTAATAAATACGCCAAGACATTATTAATTATGGTATGGCTTTGATCTTAATAAAAGTATAATTTGTTCAAAGACCATAACTTCGTTTGATATATATTCTTTTTGTACTTCTTTCTTTTAAATAAGCTGTTATTTTTCCTCTTCACCTTAAAAAAAAGAAGTACAAAAAGAATAAAGCGAAGCTTTAATATATATGTTCATTTATTATAAATTATTAGTTTTTGTATAGTAAATATGATAATAACAAATTACTATTTATTTAACAAATCAGAACCTCCTATAAATATCGTATCAATCTTAATAACCACAACTTGTTCACAAACCATGAACAAATGATAAACTATAAATTTATATAAAACAACTATATACACCAATATAGCTTACTAATACTTTAATAACAAATTAACTTATAACTAAACTTGATAGAGAAACAATAATGAAGACCAGAAATGGACTGAAAACGACAAATGGATATTCCCACACAAGCAGTGACGTTTATAAAAGGCGCGATTGATTCTTCTGACTCTATTTTAGTCCGTGAGTTTTGTCGTGAATTTGGTATTCCGACTGAATTTCGCCTCCAGATATGGAACATGTTTCTTCAGCCCAAGAAGGAGTTTGTAGAGACCAAAATTCCGATAACTGCCGTGAAGTATCGACCACAGTGGTACAATTTCAGTAGTACTGAACAAGAGGAAGCTGTTAAAATTGCATTAAGTATTCAACCTGTTCAAGTCCAACCTTTTTTTAATGGGATAGTAGATATAGCTGCCGTGGTTGTCAAACTTTTTCCACGCGAGAGTGAAGAACTTCTTTGTGGGATGACGAAGTCTTTGCTCTATAAATTTCAACCGTTTTACAAATACTTAGACTCAGTCATAGTGACTGGGTTACAGAACTTGATCCACATGCTCTTTTTATATCATGACCCGTTACTTTCACTACACCTTGATATGTATCGAATTGAACCCAATGAATATACTAACTACTTTGGCTTTAATTTGTGTATGGGGATGTGCACTGAATTTAATGATTTAATCAAACTGTGGGATGAGTTCATAACATTTCCAGATACTACATTATACGTATACTGTATTGTGGGATACCTCATATATCTCAAAGACGACTTTTTAGACCAAGAAACTAATAAAAGTGGAGCAAGTGCAGTGAGGAAGGTCATTGGGAAGAAATTAAGACGAGAAGAAGTGAAGACTGTAGTTGCGTGTTCTAAAGCTATTAGACTGTCGACGGTGTCTTCTTTCAATAGAACACTTCTTGGGGTCATGAACAATTTGGAGAGTTATAAACAAGTCTTTTCAAAGTCATTGAACTCTTCACTGTTTTTGACGACGTTTCCCGGAGACGTTATTAACGACACGACGGGAAGACAAATTCCGTTTTTGTTTATCGACTGTCGCCGACAAGAAGCGTTTGAGATGGGGAGTATATTGGCTGCAATTAATATGGATTATCTAAGGAGACAAAGAGAGTCAAAGTACGTCGACAATGTCTTCAAAAATGAACTCTCCGTACTAACACAAAATAACTCGACGTTTCATGTTGTCTTATTTGGCGATGGAGAAAGAGTTTCTGGAGTGCCCGATATTAGTGAGTTGAGTATGATTGGGTTAGACTTTGTCAAAAGAGGAGTCAAACGTGTTTCTATTATGAATCAAGGATATGTCAAATTCCATAAAAACGCGTTAGATGGAGTGAAAGGATTTCAATTGATGAACCACGACCCAACTACATGTTCTTTCTGTTTGACTGGGAAACCTATCGATTTTGAAAAGAAGGAACAACCTAAAGAACAGTTCGCACCACATAAATTCGACCACCAGCGAGCTCTCAGTTTCACACAGACTATTGCTAACAAAACGATTGAAAGAACTCAACACATCACCAACGATTTGATGGAATTCTTGTATGGAACTCCACAGAAGAAACAAGAGAAGAGAATTGACTTGAAGATTCCACAAAAGAATGACATGAAAAATGAGTTACAAATAGACCCAGTTCTTCAGCACAAAGTAACCGAAATACCAAAGAAAGAAGAAGTAAAAACAGTTCAACTGTTCGACATTCCGAACTCATCACAACTTGAAACGCCAAAGACAACCAAACAAAATGAAGAAGATGACGATGACACGTATTTGAAAGAGTTAATCGCAGAGTCGTCACAGTACGACTCGTTCTTAGACGTCAGTGCAAATGATGAGCCAAATTGGAAACCGTTTGTCTCTCCACAAATTCCACACCATATAATTTGGTTACACACATTATTACTAACACATTAGGGTCATAACAGTGCTCACAACAATATCCATACTAATAGTAGAGAAACGTGGCGACAACTTCTCGTTGCTCGAAGATATCAGTTTTGAGAATATCACCAAAGTAGTAATGAAGAAGTCCGAGCCCGAGAAATTTTCAATAGTCTATGGAGCGGAAAAGTGCACGATTAAAGTACCTGGAAGCTATACCCGGTTTGTTGAAGAGATCACAAACATGCAACAATAATTATTTTTTTTGTGGTTTTGTCTGATGGTGACGTTTTTGAAGTGAGAAGTACTGCTTTTGAGAAGTTCTTTTTATTATTTAAACAGACAAACAATTCACAAGTTTAATTGAAATACGAAATTAAAAGAAGTAGTTAAATATATTATTTATATAGTTTATTTTTTTTATTGGATAATACATAACGACAAGCACTGAAATTGATACAGTTAAAGAATAGAAAATAACACAAGAATAAATTAAAAGATGAAGTACATATAATATAAGTCATTGAGAATAGAACAGCTTCATTCTCTTTAGAAGGGGTAATCAAAGTACTTATCATTCTCATCACAAGGTTCTGGTGACTGTTTGATAACAACGTTCTGTATTTCCTCATCATTAAGGGTGTGAGGAATTGGGTTCTCTGGGCGAACTACAGAGAATTGTTGCTTCTGGGTGTAGTCTGAAATGTATGAGTAACTCTCGATATTGCAACTGTTGTCAAGAGAGTAGAGAACAGAAGCAATTGCTTTTCTGTAAGCAATTGGTCTCACGACTTCACTTGGGAATGCGGATTGTCTTGTTTCCATTTTCTGAATGAAAATAGAAGTTTGGTGAGCTTTATAAGTTCTTTACGTTTTAAATTTTTTGTGTTTCTTTATTTGAAAAGGAGTTTCTTGACTTTTCGACCCATTTCAAATGCTTTTAACCCGATTCAACGCGGTCGTTGTGACCATTTCTATTTCGACATTTCGGTCGAATAAAATACATTTTTCAAGAGCCCTCTTTATTCTGCAGAAACGTTCTTTTTCTCTAGGCACGTAAAAACACATTACTCGTGTTCCCGTATTAATAAAGAAATTCTACCAAAAATTACAACCAAAAACAGAAGTGTACTTAAAAAAGAATTATTTGTCATATTTTTAAAATCAATGGAATAATTCTACTGCTTTTGGACTTGTTGTGGTGATGTGGAAACATATTTTTTTGGCGGAAAATAAGACTTGAATTGAGAATATTCTTATTCGTGTTTTTTATTATTTGTTGACCGCCACCATTTTGGTGACAAAACGTGTTGTTATGGTTTGTCTTATATTTTTAATAAAAGAAATAATAATAAAAAGAAACTAACATGGTAATAAAAAATGGATTTTGTCAAGACTGAAATGCCAAAAAAAAAGTCGGAATTTTTTTTAATAATAAAAAGACATAAAAAACTCTAAATAATAGCTTTTATGATAAAGAAAATGCGGGATTATTGGCCACATTCAAATAAGAAAAGAAAACTTGGGTTCGGTAGTTTTGAAATACAGCAAAGAATGTTCTCTCTTTGTACAATTTTAAACACAAAAAAAACAGAAGTTTGAAAAACAAAACGTTTTTTGTTATGTGATAAATATTTGTCGAAAATAGGGGTTTTATTAGTAAAATTTCGGGATTTGATATAGGGTTTCAATGCATCATCTTATTTATATATTTCCAATCATCGAAATCTGAAAAAAAATGGATTAAATAAACTAAAAAATACTATCACATGTTTTAATTATTTGGATTAATTATAATTAAATATATTATTAACAATGTAAACAACGAAACCCCATTTTCTATTTGTTTTTTTCTTTTGTCTTTTAATGTAAATTACAACTAAAAAAAAACAAACAAGTGACTAACAAAGAAACAGTCATTCGAATGATTTTTTATTTTATTTTTTATAAGAAATAACTAATTATTTACCTTTTTATGATAAAAAAACATCACCACTTTATTCGAAACAACAAAAGTTTATTACTCAAAAAAACACGACCAACAAAAATTGCACATTTTTTATCTTTTCAGTTACTTTTAAGAATGAATGATCGGGTGATTACTGTAATAATAAAAAAAATTTGCATCTGATTATTGTGATACAATTATCATTTTTTTGTTGTATTTTGATTGTTTAGTATAAAACAAACGGATGTGATTTTATAGGCAACGTGTATGTTTCAATGGAAACCAAACCCGTTCCAGACAACACAAATTCTATTATTTAAAAAATACCAAAGATAAAAATTAATGAAAAATCACTTGACCAAGTTGTAACCATCCTTCTCAAGAGATTCGAAAATCTTATCTCTATGTTCAGCACCATAACACTGCATTTCAACATCGCAAAGGCAAATACCCAAAGTCAAAGTTGCTGGTCTTCTAGTCGTGAAACTAGTGACAGATCCTTTTTCTTTGTTAATAGACAACAAGAGCTGATGAATAGAATCTGGGACATCCAATATTTCAACTGTGAATTCAACCTTTCTTCCTGCTTTGATGAGGCCTCTTTCGATGACTTTACTGATCATACTAACGTCCAAATTACCACCAGAAACAACGCAGACAACATTAGTGTTCTCGGTGAGTCCCTTAATTTTCCCAGAGAGTAACGCAGCGACTGGAGTTGCTCCAGCGCCTTCACTCACTATCTTACATCTTTCAAGCATCATAACCATTGCGTGCGCAATACTTTCTTCGTCGACAGTGACAACCTCGTCGACGTATTTCATCATGACATTTGCTGTTAATGAACCCGGTTGCTTCACTGCAATACCATCAGCAAGAGTCTTAGCGCTTTTCATGAGACACAACTTATGCTCCTTTTTGGTCACTGCCATTGATGGACACGTCTCCGCCTGTACACCTATCACTCGGATCGATGGCTTGAAAGTCTTTGCAACGTAAGCAATCCCACTCAAAAGTCCTCCACCTCCAATAGCACCAACGATGACATCAGCATCTGCCAATTGGTCTAATATCTCAAGTGCTATTGTACCTTGCCCAGCCATCACATATTTGTCATTGAACGGGTGGACAAAAGTCTTTCCTTCTTCTTGGCAGAGTTTCATCGCATATGCAAGAGACTCGTCAAACACTTTCCCATGAAGAATCACCTCGGCACCATACCCTTTCGTCGCTGCTATTTTCGCCGTCGAAGCAAATTCAGGCATCACAATCGTCGCACTGATTCCTGCGTTACGAGAAGCAAACGCAACACCTTGCGCGTGATTCCCGGCAGACGCGGCGACGACTCCTTTCTTCTTTTGTTCTTCAGTTAACGTCGCGATCTTGTTGATGGCACCTCTAACCTTGAACGATCCTGTTTTCTGCAAGTTCTCAAGCTTCAAATACACTTTACAGCCAGCAATCTTAGAAATGGTGTTGCTGAATTCTAAGGCAGTGTAATACGCAAGACCCTTTATTCGAGTCGAAGCCGCGTAGACGTCTGATACTGTAATAGGGATATCTCCCTCGGGGATATCCCCAACAATATCATACTGAGTTCCTTTTGGGATGATTCCGTCTTCAGTGGTTGTTATAGTTGGTGTGGCCATTTTACTTGAATATAGAGTTGAGTGGGCTTAATAGTGCTCAAAAGGTTATACACAATAAATCGAAGCTGTGCTTTCGTCTTCTCTTTTAGTCTTTTTTTAACAACTTCCTTTCATTCGTTTTTTATATCTCCTGGTTCTTTTTATTAATATAAAGTATTATTATTTTAATATAATGCTAGAAAATGTTTTGTGTGAGTGTGTTATTTGAACTGTGTTTGTGTTGTAATTGGGAATTGGCGAGTCAAAAAGCGGGAAGGTTTTTTGGTTTCGTAGATGGGTGTTCGACACTGGTATAAAAAAGAGGTAGAATATTTCTGTCGTACAGTTCTCCACGTGCTCGTTAATTCGCTTGAAGAAAATGCTTTTGGAAAAGTAATTGTTCGAATTCAAAACGGCAGAATCAATTCAATGGTATAAAAAACAGTTGTTTTATAGTGATTTTCATTGAATTTTGAAAGAAATGAATAATATGCCAATAGAATTGAAAATATTATAATTTAATAATTTTAATACACTCATTACATTTAAATATTAACATTCTAATATACACTCAACTCTTATCGTGACACAAGAAGTTGTAAATGATTAATAAAAATGACTCAATGAAAACTATTAGACAATAGTAAACAAATTAAATATAATAGTTCAATCAAATGATTTTGAAAACAACACTGAAGTGGTTGCTGTTTGATCCTTTTCTAGTGCATCACCAAGGTGTGTTTCACTGAAGTCCTCATTTTGCGTTTTAATCATTGCGTCCATTTGTTTCATAAACTCGATCTCTTGTTTTACATCCTCTTCGTCTTCATCTGAATGACTTTCATTGTCTAAGTCTGGTCCTTCTTTGAGGTCGTCCATCATCTCGTCAAATAAGTCGTTGAACTTATTCTCTTGCACTCCCCCAGTCTTGTCGAGCCCATCTGAAAATCCAACAAAGCCTTCCGGACCGGCTTCAACTCCAAGTAATTCTTCCATTCCTCCTTTCAACCTCTCTTCGAATTTATCAGGTTCCATAACTCCTTTATACATATGTAGTATTTGTTTCATATCAATTTCTGTTACTACGTCTTCGATCAATTGGTTTGAAGAGTTGCCATTAACTTTATAACTCTATGATTCAGTCATATAAGAATATATATAACATGATAATAATAATATATATGTCTCGTGTATATATCGACTAATAAAGAAAAGACAAACATCAAAAAGGGAATTATAGTCTTTGTGCACATGATGGTCCTGTATTGAGACTTCTTGTCGAATTATATGGTCCAACCCACTTGTAAGAATCTCTCCAAGCTTTTCTTGATACAAGAAATCTTCAGTACTTTTTGTCATGAAATTGTAATACCGTGCAAATTGCAAGTTTGTCATGATTATTTGGCATTGCTTTGTTTCACCATATTGTTGTTTGCTTGTTGTAAAATCACTTTCTTTGACTAAACCATTCGAGACCATGTTAATAATAAGTCCAAAGAGCTCTGTATTTGAATTAAGAAATTGAGCTACTTTACTATTGATCAATGCAATTGTTCTGTGTTGTGCATTTCTTCTTTTATTGTCAAGTATATATCTGTTGAGGGCTTCAGTCATTTGAATGTTAATACACTCATCGTTGATTTGTGTCAATGGATCTGTTATAATAATATCGGTGAACATCACATTGCCTCCTTTGATATAAACATGGTGTAATTCATTCTGTGGAGTGATCCACTCGGGTAACAGTTCGGGAAATGCAGTCAATATAAATTCTCCATCATCATCATATAATTCAAACACCGCGTTTTGTGTTTTAGAGTACTCTATGATATGGTATAAGATCTCCCATTCCTCAAATCTGGAGTACTCGACATCACACACAGCAATAAAGACCTTTGTGGCCTTATTAAGTAAATCGGAATTTTCTGGAGTAATATGAGTTAAAGAAAAAATGTCGTGGTCGGTCGGAAAAATCAGATGAACTTCTTTGTGTGAAAAACACTGAACAACTAGTTGGTTTTTAGCCGCCTTGTGATAAACTCTGACTTTGTCTTTGTCGTGTTCCATTTATAGTTTTTAGTAGTTTCTTTTTAATATTGTAGTCAAGTTATTTTTTTAATGTTTTTATTAATTATTATATTAATAAAGTTTATATTTAACAAATATTATTTATTTATATAAATTGTCTAAATATATGTTGATATACAGTCAAGATAAAAAGTCGGATGCTGAGAAAAAGGCGGATGCTAATCTAAATATAAATTTGTTTTGGTGTTTTTCATTTTATTAATTATTTTAATGATTATTTATATTAAAATTTATAGTAATTATATAAATAGTAATATAAGTGGGATGCGGGTCTTAAATTAAAACTAAATATTTACTATATTTTATTTAAATATTTTAACAAACTAATAAATGAAGTTGAAACTCAGAACTGTTATTATCAAATTGAACAACAATATCACCCGTTTGTGCTTTTAAAGAGATTATTCAAGTGTTGGGTCTATTTTATTAATGAAAGATATATTCAATTATACATCCACATCAACTAAAACATAGAACAGAGAAAGTGGAGGGAAAATGATAGTATTACATGAGAATAATGGAAGTAAAAGAACTCAATTGACGCTTCTACAAACTTATAAAATATGATTTGTTTGGAAGAGGCGGTATGGTTTTAAAATTCAAGGTGATGTCCAAGCTTACTTCTCCAAATCATTCCAAAATATAAATTCACACCGTTTCCATTGTGGAATGGTGTTGTGTGTTGACTACAGACTAAATGATTGTTTAAACTTGTTTTATTTCTTACTACTTTTTATTTAGCATAACAGCCGATAGTTTTTTATGTCTGCTTATATCAATGCATATAATTATTTATTCATTGTGCTATATGGTTATGATAGTATTGAAAATAAACATTAAACATATAACTTATAACGTCTTGGGAGAGTTGTCATTCGTCAAGTCAACATCAATATACATTTAAAAATTAATAAATAAGAATTTATCAAAAATGAAAGATATGAACAATTAACTGTTCAACAACAAAAACGAATGTTGTGATTTAATTTTTTTGTTATAATAATAAAAATACTATAAATCAATCAAACTTTTAGAAGTATTAAGAATATTCATTTTTTGTACATATTATTTTTTGTTTGAAAAATAACCAATAGTTGCGAGCATCTGACTTTTTCTTGCATCCCCTTATTTCCCCCTACTGTAGTTTAAATATAATTAAGTTGTAGTTTTTCGAATTCATTATTTTAATTGAACGAAAATAGTCATTTTTTTACGTTTCATTCATATTCTATTTTTCTCAAAAATGCGATAATTTTTCGATAATTTTACCTATTTTTTAATTTATTATTATCAAAATTAGATTCATTTAACAAACAATAGAGAAAAAGAACAATGCATTTTTGGGTTTGGATAAAATTTAAAGAATTTTCATAATAAAACTAAAAATATTAAAAATAAAAACGTTTTTAAGAAAAATTAATTAGAATTATCGAGATTCTCCTTTTTTGTTATTCTAAATTAAAATAAGAAAAAATAGTATATTGATTTATTCAAACTTGACAAGTTGAGATTGTAATTACCGAAATGCACAACCGATATAAAAATGCCACGCCAATTTCCCACTATTTAAATTATAATAAAAAAAACTCGACATTTCTTATCAAAAATTCATTTATTAAGAAAATTCCATTTTTTTAATTACAAAAAAAGAAAAACGAAACGAAAGAAACTTGAATAGTAAATGCTAGTATTTGTTCTAGCCTCTTTCTTATTTATACAAAGAGGAGATGCGTGGTGTTGGGTAGCAAATTCAAACACAAACATCATCGAATGGAGTAGTTCAGGTACATGTGGTTCGAACTGGTTTTCTATAAGCACTGGCAATAATCTTGACACGTTTACGTTAGGTTCCAATGCTCCCACGAAAACCGGTTTAAGGACAAATGACAATGACTATAATAAGGCAATCACATTTGCTTCCAACTCGAAAGTCATGTCGTTCTTCGGATACAATTACAAATACGTCTATTGGAATATCAACCTTCAAAACGCTCCAGAACTCATCGTTTTCACTTTTTATAGGACTTCAAATGGGCCTGATGTACAGGAAAACGTCTACGTGAGTGACAAAGCAGCTATTTTCATTGGTACAAACAATCAACAATATCTGATTTCTTACACCACATCGAACCGCCCATATCTCTACTTCGAAAAAGCAAGTGGTGCAACAACAACTAATATTTATATGCAAAAAATCACTGAGGCGGGGTGTAGATATGCATTCAATACTAATAACATCGACAAAATTCAAGCGGGTGATGGCAACTATTTGCGCGATATTTGTCAATTTGGAAACAATAAACATCGATACGTCGTTTGTCGGAACGGTGACAATGATCCACAATCAGATTGCAGTTGTTACATTCCAAGTAGTATTGCGACTGCTTCGATTAAAGATACTCTTTTTAATTATCCAGACTGTATGTATAACAGCACTGATTTTACGTTGACTATTTTGGCAAATCACACGACAGTCAAGTTTGACAAAGAGCGTGGAAATGAATGGAAAACACTTAATATTCAAAGTCGTAGTAATCCAATTGGATTTATGTTGGGAAATAACTTGATGTTGAACGAAGGTGTGACTCTCCCGACACAACAAGTCAATGTATCTCAACTTTACACTGGTACGTCATACACTTTTACTGTCAAAGGGACAGTCACATTCCAGAGATTCAGTGGTCTTCATTCTTTTGGATATTTTAACTTTAACTCGGTGAATGTAAATGCAATGGATGAAGGTTCATTGTTATTTATTGGGAAAAACCAAGGTTCTCTACCTTCTGGTATAACATCTGTCTGTGAGAACGGATTGTATACACGATATGCGAAGGGGTCAAGCTCAACTTTTGGATGCAATTGCGCATGGACTAACAACGCTTATGACTATCCTGATTGCCCTATTTCAGCAGCATCTTCTGGCAATTTAATGTCACTTTCTGTTAACTCACAAACATACAACGGAGGTAGTGTGTCTTGGAATATTTTCACATTAACAATGACAACAACTTTATTGTATGGTAAAATCACAGCAACAAATTGTTATTTCAAAGGAAGTGTATCGATTGCGGGTGATATTACGTGTACTTACCTTTACTTGACAACTGAAACTAACATCACACTCATGGAAGGGGCATATCTCACTATTAATAACGTTAATGCACAAAACCAAGTCACCACAATTGACGCGAGAAAAGGGACATTATCTCTAAATTCTATTGTTCAAAATATCGACACTACCATATATGTTTCAACCACATTAAGTGTCAATTCAATTCAACTGACATCATCCGGTGTATTCAAAGTTTCTTATAATCTTGTTGTTGAAATTTTGACACATGAGAGTGGATGTACTATTTCAACAGATGGCATTTTGACTATTAATAAATTCGCCAATCAAAATCCATTAAATGTTGTCGCGTCGCAATTCACTGTTTCATCAACAGTATCCAAACTGGTTATCGGAAGTATTAAAACCAAAACGCCTATTTCCATACCAGAAACAATTGAATATATTTCAATCGATACCATCTTGGGGGAGTTGGAAACTACCAGTCAACCATTTTTAAACATTACACGATCAACAAAGAGTTTGAGTGTCGCAAAAATACCTACACCACCTTCTTCCTTCGAAACAGACGCAACAAAAATGATGCAATTTGTGTCGATGAAAAATCGAAAAATCAATTTTGAAGACAACACTACTTTAACTTCTCATTTGGTATGTGATAGGCAAATGGTTGTTCTTGGGAACACTAACATTGGGTGCAACGATTTGAATTTGGCGAGTAAATATTGTTCACCACAAAATAATGATGGCACTATCGTGTATAAAGACTCTCTTGGAAATATTGACTATTCATGCCCATGTTACACAAAGACGGGCGTGGACACTACTCTTGCAATAGTTGATGTTTCTCAATATACAATCAGTGATGAAGAACAGTATAATATAATTGATATCAACAACACAGTTGTAACACTCACAAACAACAACCCAAATGATCCAGATTTTAATATTCATTTTGTGAAGAATTCTTCACGACTTAGTTTGTATGGGGAAAAAAACGCTGCTTTTTTTAATATGAATACAAACTACTATGCGACAATTGTCATCAATGGACCAATTCTACTTGGTGCCACGGCTGGCTTTGGCTTTGTTTGGGAAAATGAAATTTCCATTTCGCCTACCGGTCTGTGTAAAGTTGTTTTGAAAGAAGCGTCCAACGAAAGAACAACTTGTATTAGTTGTAATGGCCATGTGGATGTGACCGGGAATTGTGTAGTTGACAATGGCACGCATACTATTCCCAATTGTGTATCTCAGAACCAAATAACACTAGAAGAAATAACACAAAATGTTTGCGAAGCGTGCGATGATGGGTTTTTCATTGATAATTTTGGATGTTCCCGATGTGGTGAGAACTGTACTAATTGTAAGAGTAATACATCATGTGTGGTATGCAAAGATGGGTATTTTGTTGATACAAATGGAATGTGCCAACTTCAAGACAATTGTGCGTTGTACAACCTTGACAAATGTTTGAAATGTGAAGACAAGACTAAACTCCAAAATGACAAACAAAATTGTTCAACACAAAATGATAATTGTATTTCATATTCAAGTGAGAATTGTGTTATATGTGATACAGAAAACGGCTATTATTTGGGAACCAGGGGATGTCAAAAACAAGACGACAAAAGTTATTCGTCTGTCAATTCAACAGCAGTTATTTCGTGTTCAGTTGGATACTATTTATCAGATCAAAACTGCGTGAATTGTTCCAAAATGAATTGTCTTTTGTGCGACATGCTTGGAGGTACATTATTGTGTTTTTCGTGTGCAGAGAATTATTATTTGAACTCCGCAGGTCTGTGTGTTTCAATGAGTTTAAAATCTTCTTTAAAAACGATGGATGTTCCAGCGTGTTCAACAGTAACGAATTCATATTGTACTTCATGTGTAAGTGGGTCGTATTTTAATGGCGATCGATGCGAGAAATGCCCCGACAATTGCACTTCATGTTATCAAGATGAGTGTTACACATGTGAAGCCAATTATTATTTACATGCAACCAAAACACAAAGCGGTACAGAGAACTTTGGTTGTATCAATGAAGAGATTTCGAATTGCTTGGAATATTTAAGTGGACTTTGCATTAATTGTAAAGATTCGTTTGTTCTCATTGATCACCAATGTGTTCAATGTAACGAATCGTGTACAAAGTGTCTTGAAACAAAGGATGAATGTTATGAGTGCAACAGTGGATTTATGTTGAACGACTACAAATGTTTACCATTAATTGACACACATTGCGACAAACAAATACCAACCAAAAGCGAGTGTGCAATTTGTAGTAAATCGTACTTCAGAAATGGTACTTCGTGTAGTAAATGTATTGACAACTGTGGGACGTGTTATACTGAAAATACATGTACACTGTGTAACGACAATTTTTACATTAATAGTAGTGGGGTGTGTGCGAGCAGCTCTGTCTTGAAAAATTGCACAACAAAAGACGCATACGGTTGCATTGGGTGTGAAGACGGCTTTTTCTTGTTGGACCATTTATGCGTCCCATGTAATACTTCGACTGAGAATTGTTTGTTATGTGATTACATTGACGCCAAATGCAATATGTGCCAAGACACTTACGTGTTGAACGACAACCAAATGTGTATCATCTTCTCTTCTTTGTCACAATGTGTCGAGGCAACAAATTCAAAATGTACAAAATGTGCTTTTTGGTATACAGTGAATGCTAATGGAATGAAATGCGATGCATCTCCGGTATGGTGGGTTATACTCTTGGCCGTGTTAGCTGGTCTCTTTGTCGTTCTTCTTGTTGTATTATTGATCATCTTCTTGGTTTGGCGAGTGGTCAAGAGAATCCACAATCATCGACTCATCCAAGAGCAGAGAGAGCAGGTGAGTCACTTCTCGATGACAAAGTCGAATATTCAGTGGGTTGCTTTGACTTCAAATTGCGATATATTAGTCAACAAAAGAGTGATCGACTTCAAGCCAGACATGACAGAAGACGTTCAAAATATCGAACTTCCAGTTGGAGTCGAGTCTCGTGATGTGATTTGTATAGGAAATGGGTACGCCGGCACCATTCAACTCTCTTTCTTGACAGTTGATGAGGTTGACTCTAAGTATACACTGCGATGTAATCCACAAGAGATGACACTGAAAAAGGGTGAAGCGTTTGAGGTTGAAGTGTTTTTAACCCCGTTATGTTCTTGTTTCATCAAAGAAAAAGTACAGTTACGAATATTCAATATCAAGACAAACAAGAAGGTCATTGAGAACATAACAATCGAGACGTCCACACAAGTCTCAACCAAATTGGACTACGACGAAATCATGGAAGAGAAGCAAGTTGGCGAAGGAAGTTTTGGTGTTGTCTTCAGAGGATCTTTCCGAGGTAATAAAGTAGCAATTAAGAAACTCAAAATGTGTGATGCTGAAGAGGCTATGGAGGAGTTTGGGAAGGAAGTTTCGATGTTAGACAAATTTCGGTGCAACTACATAGTGCACTTCTATGGAGCTGTCTTCATCCCAACAAAAATCTGTTTAGTCACTGAATTTGCGGATTATGGCAGTCTTCAAAACCTTATCAAAGAGAAACCAAAGCCGAAAGACAACATTCGCATTAAAATGGTATTGGACGGAGCGAGGGGTGTGGAATACTTACATGCAAATGGTATCATCCATAGAGACATCAAGTCAGATAATATCTTAGTCTTCTCATTGGACGGTGGGGTCGACGTTAATGCGAAATTAACGGACTTTGGTTCATCTCGTAATGTTAACAGTTTAAAGAACAACATGACATTCACCAAAGGAGTTGGTACGCCGATATATATGGCACCAGAAGTACTCAATCAAGAGAAGTACACAACGTCCGCGGACATCTTCTCGTTCTCAATTTTGATGTATGAGTGCTTTGTGTGGGACAAAGCGTATCCAACAAGTCAGTTCAAATTCCCTTGGAACATTGCTGAATTTATTATTCAAGGCAACCGACTCACACAACCTGATAAGATGCCTGACTGGTATTATGTTGTGATACAAGGATGTTGGAAACAAGCTGCTGCAGAACGGTATGACATCAAACAAGTTGTTGATCTTGTATCTACAGGTATTCAAGAGTAAAGGCTTGGTCAATTGATTATGTGTTTTTCTGTCTGTTTGTATTTTGTTACTTATAATAATAATTTATTATAATAGTTTCATTACATGAACTATTACTTATATGTCATTTATAGTATTAGTAATTAATATAATTAATATAATTAATATAATTAATAAACACAATAAATCATTTATTTAAGTAAAAAAGCTAGAAATATAGAACATTAATTACAATTGTTGGGAAACATCGTCTCAACGTTGTTTGGGGTTGTTGATCGTTCGGGTTCGTCGTCGTAATTAATTGTGTAGAGACCACCAATCGTCTTTTCTTCGCGAGTTTTCATTTGTTTTTTTGCAGAGTTACTCCGTTTAATGGAACGCCAAGGGACAAAGTGTGTGAATAAGTCGACAAATTCGTGGGACCATCGAGTTGTTGTGTTAACACAAGTCATCAAGAATGAGTGTTGTCAGATGGAAGCGACTTTTTAATTGCAATTCTGTTCGACAAAGGGTTTAGTAATTTATTGAGTCGTATTTTCTGGTCTCTATATTTTGTCGAGTGACTAACTCTCCCGAATTGTTCAATTACCAATGGCTATAATTAATTACTTTTTTTCTATAGTTTAAACTATATTTGGCTTACAAATATTGTTCATCTTTTTGTATTTTGAAAAATAAAATGAAAGAAATTTACCTTTTGTTATAGTTATTATATTATTATTATTATGGTTAAATATATGAAAAAAAAGTCGAGTGGAATTGCATTTCTTGAGAAACACCCAAAAATTACTTTTTATTTTTTATGATTATTTAGAGGCAATTAATTATTATGGTTTTAAAAGTAGAGATTAGCTAAACATATTAATTAATATTACTATTAGATTATAATTTATTTTGGTATTGAAGCAAACAAATCGAAATTTGCTTTATTATTAATCAACGCAAATTTATTATTGTATAACCATTATACAAAATAATATAATTAATATAATTAATAATATTTTTTTTGTCTTACCAATTTTGGATTTTTGCATAAGATTTTGGTTTTGTTATAAGATATTTTTTCAAAAAAAAAATTTCATTACAGAATTTGTCTGAATAATTGTGTTCAAATTTATTCATTATTTACTAATTAAAATGATATTAATAATTATTTAAATTAATTAAATGATTTGACAACAAATGAATTTGATTTTGTCAATTGTTTTTGAAAAATATAACAAAAAAATACTAATTTTTTGAGATTTTTTTTTAAATTTTCGATTGATTTGAATCGTTTTAAAATGAATATTATTTATTAAATAATTAATAGTATCTGACAATTCGATCAATTTTTACAAATTTTCCGAGTTTTTTTTTGTGTGAAATGGACAACTCTTATAGATAATAATTTTATTTCATTATAATTATTTATTAATTTTAAACTAAATTATATATTTATAATTAAAAATCCAACTTATTTTTTTTTATAAATATAGTTAATATTATTAATTAGTTAAAATAATAAATAAAATTGTTATTTATTTAAAAAATTCAAAATACCAAACATTTTAATAAAAATAATTATTATCTATCAAACTTTTTTTAACACATAAAACAAATTTTTTTAAAATGTTTTTTAAATTAAAAGTATTAACTACTCATTATAATTATTGTATTAAAAAGTTCAATAAAATTTTTTCAAAATGTTGTCAAAATGTTATACCAACCATTTAATAAGTTGTATTAAAATCAGTACTTTATTTTACTATAAATTAAATTAACAACCAAATTCAAATCATAGTTGACATTAATATAATTTATTGTATTGAGCAGCATCCGCCCTTCTCTTTGATTTCTGGTGGGATTGGCTTTTTTTGTGACTTGAGTTGTCTAATAGCTTCTCCGATAGCACCGGGTAGTATATCATTAAATAGTTGGTCGATTCCTTGTCCTGTGACTGTTGATATTTTGTACTCCTTCATTGGGTGTTTTGCGAGGAAGGCATCTTTAGCTTCTTTATCAATTTTATCTTCCAACTCACATTTATTTCCACACAGTACCGTTGGTATTATGCCTTTATTTGGACCATATCGAACTAACTCATCAAACCACATATTTAAACGTGCGAATGAGTCTTTGTTTGATACGTCATATAAAAAGATACAAGTCACTGCATTTTGATAAAAAGCGGAAGTCACAAAGGACATCTGCTCTGACCCGCACGTGTCTTGGAAAGTCAATTTGACCTTCCTCCTTTCAAATATAAAACTTTTGGACTGAAGCTCTCGGACGGGTCCAGTGTACTCAACGTATCGATTTATGACAGTGGTCTTTCCTACACCAAGATCGCCTATTATCGCTACTTTAAGGGCTAGCTCATCTTTGTTCTCACTCTTTTTCTCATCTTTGTCAGACACCATTTCAAAATCGTCCATCTGAGTCATTGTGTACAAATGATAAATGAGTTCTCGAGATTTGTTAAAAATGTAGTAACTCTTCGACGGCGAAATTTCTCTGAAAATTTTTCATTTCCGTTCAAAATAACTGAAAGCAGGAGGAAAATTGGATTTTAAACAAAAAAAAATATGTATTGAAAATTTTGCGAATTCTTTGAAAAAGTGGTGCTTTGAAAAAACTTTTTAAAAACGAATTTTTCTTTTAAAAAAAGATATGATTACTGAGGAAATTTCGGGTTTCGAGAGGAAAAAGAAACAACGAAAAAATTCAATTGTTTTTGGGTATTAAAAACAGGTTAATTGTACGTAACGAAAAATTGCCTGTAAACGATAAAACGAACTTTTACTTCAATATATGTTAAGTGTATGTTATTGTTGTATGTTATTTTTCAATATTTTATTAATAATGGTTAAAATTGGCAAAAATACAGTTTGAATAACACTTTCCAAAATTAGTTTTTTTAATTAAAAATATAATTTCAATGAAAAAGAAAAAATCTATTAAAATATTTGTTTTAGAAATGAAAAAATAACAATGAAAACATTTTAAAGAAAGAATTACTTTTTTCCATTTTAAAAGGTATATAAAACTAAATTAAATTTTAATATTACAATAGTATTGATAATAGTTTTTATTAATTTTAAAAATTTACATTTTGTATTATAATATTTATTATATTGTATTTACTATTTTGTATTATATTTTTGCCATATTATTACTATTAAATATTGTAACTAAAAAATTATAAAAAAATTTATTCAGTTTTGTGGATAAATAAAATAAAAAGATACAAAAATGAAACAACTTCGAAACAAAAAATACAGTTTTTAGATATTTTTTACAATTTGTAATCTTTATCAATTATTATATTTAACTATTTATTTTTATGTTCTTAAAAAATTACTAATAATAACTAATAAATATTTAACAAATGATAATTACAAATTTATAATAAAAATTACAATATAAAGTGAATAAAATAACCATTATCAATAATTGGAAAAAACACATTTTTGGGACATTTTTTTTTATTAGATCATTGTTTCAGTTTTGTCGTATTATTATCAAACTTGTAGTGTTATTAATAAAACACCCAACATTTGAAATAAAAATGAACTAATATATCAAAAAAAATAGTTTATTTTTAACAAATATCATATCATTTTTTTCTTCCCAAAACTTCAACTCAAAATAAAACGTTTGGAGGAGTTGGTTTATCAAAACCGACCAAAGAACTAAGAAATTTACATACACAATGAAGAAGAAGATGACAAGCACGATGCGGCCGAAGAAGAAAGTTGCAAAGGGTTTGTTTTTGCTGCCTATTTGCATTGGGTTTTCAAGGTTACAGTGAGTAATGAGCAGGAACTCTTCGATACGATTTACACAAAACAATCAAGGAAGGTGTGTCCAAGGGTTTGTTAAAAGAGGCAGTTCTTTGCCCACCAAACATTAACACAAACGAATGGCTTGCCGTGAACTGTTTTGACTTCTTCAATAACATTTTGCTTATATATTCATCCGTTTCTGATTTGTGTTCGCCAAGTAATTGCCCCATCATGACGGCGGGTCCGTCAATGGAATACCTTTGGTCGGAAAATAAAAAGACTTTTCCGTTGTGTGCTCGTGAGTACTGCGATAGGCTTTTCGCGTGGGTTCAGACGTGTTTTGACGACTCAAAGATCTTCCCAGAGGAGTTCACCTCCAAGTCTCCAAAATTGTTCTTGCCGACGATCACAAAGATATTCAAGAGACTTTTCAGAGTCTATGCCCACATGTTTTATAGCCACGAAAAACATTTGAAAGACTTGGACCTCAGTGAGCAAGCATTTTTGGGATTCAGACACTTCTATTTGTTCTGCAGAAAGTTCGAATTACTCAGCAAGGACGACATTTCCCCTCTTGCCGAAATGGTTAGCCCAATTGACAAAGAATTCGATATTAAGACACTGAATTGACGCCCTTTATGTTTTGTCATTCCGTCCCAAGTTTTGATTATTTATTTTTTATAGTTATTTTTTACTAATATATTGAGTAACCAGAACGCAGTTTTTGTCATTTTTTATCAACAATAATGAGACAAAATGACACAATTGAATAATAATTATTATATTATTTTTTTAGTTGAAGGACAAATCAATTATACGTGGATAATTTAAGGCAGTATTTTAGTTAGAAAAACGAACATAGAATGGGATAAAGTCTTCAAAAAATAATTATTGAAGATTTTTTCGAATTTTATTTTTAGTTCCCACCCTTTTTGGTCTAGATTTGTGGTGGTTTAGTATGATACATTTATAATTAATATATAGTTTTTAAAAATAACAAAAGAATCAACGAATTATTCTATTCATTTAACACTGTCAATAGTTATAATATAACAACATTATAGTATAATTATAATAAAACTGAGTTTGTTTTAAACCCAAACTAGAAAAGCACAACGAAATGTCCAAAACGAAAACTGCAACACAATCCGTCGTTCCGCACCCACACATTCCAGTGAAACTGAGTGACGAAGATCTGATGTTTATTTTGGAGTTTTTTGTCTCAAAAGTGGACTTTATCAATTTTCTGTGCGTAACGAAAAAGTACCTGAAAATTCCAGAGAAATACCGAACAAACCCCATAAAAATTGACAACAAGACAACTTCTCTTTTCCCCAATCTCGAGGTTCAGAAACTTTATAGTTGGAACGACACACAACTTAAGGATATAAAATTGTACGAAATAGTGTATCCAGAAACCTACTTTCACTATTACTTGAAGTATTTTTCTGTAAGAACCAAAGTCCGCGCTCGCAAGATTATATATTCTGCTGAAGACAGAGTCAACTACGAGTGCATGAAAGGTCCTGGAGTCGTCCCTGAACAGATAACAGAGATTTCAGAGAAGTGTTTTGAAGAATGCAATAAGTTAACTTCGTTGAGTATCCCAGACCAAGTCTCTGTTATAGGAAGAAACGCGTTCGCGAACTGCACAAGCCTCAAAGTACTTAACCTCCCAGAGAATTTGAAGGTTATTGGAGACAATTGCTTTTTGGCGTGTAATAGCCTAACTACGATAAAGCTGGGGAAGAACAATGAATTTAAAGGAAAAGCATCGTTTGGAATTTACATGTTTTTAGAAAAAAATAACATAAAATGCAACGACGTGTTTTACTCCGTTGAAGACAGAAGAAAGTATGGAAACAAAATACCAGAAGTGTGCATTACATTGTCTGAAAAGTGCTTTGCTGGGTGCTTGTATTTGACTGCAATCACCGTTCCGTCCACCATTACATATATTGGAAGTCGGTGCTTCGAGGGATGCAAAGGATTGAAGGCCCTCAGTCTGCCGTCAACGGTGAAGGTATACGACAACGTGTTTGTTGGGTGTTCGTGCATTTCGGCACTCACAATACCAGGCAATTTCCCCAAAATCGACAACTCCATTTTTGAAAACGTCCAAATGGTGAAGTCTATTGAGCTGACGGACTGCACGCAGTTTGACGGTATGGTGTCGTATTCTCTTGCTGTGATTATAGAAAAAGGGGGTATTCCATGTTCAACCATTAAATTTACTGAGGAGGATAGAAGGTTGTTTGGGGAGACTGTCCCAAAGGGTGTGAAGGAGTTGGGAGAGGCATGTTTTTCTGGCGATTTTAGAGTTAAATCTGTTGTTGTGCCAAAGAGTGTGACTAAGCTTGGAGTTGGTTGTTTCAAAAACTGCTGTTCGTTGACATCCGTGACTTTGCCAAGCACGATAGTTGATATTCCACAGTCTTGTTTTTACCAATGTCCGGTTTTGAAGAGCGTGAAGGCGAAAGCGAAAAATTTAAATTATGGGAAATACTGCTTCTTTGGCTGTGAGAAGATCAAGAAGTCGAAGAAGATACCTCCCGAGTGTTTCGAGCAAGAACCAATTATGAAATGAATTTTGTTGATAGAATCACAAAACCATACAACACCTTTTAAATATTTCTAGTTTATTCATTTGTTTATTCAACAATAATTAATACAATTTGTTGAACAAAACAAAGTAACAAAGTGTGTTTGGGAGCGAGAAACAAAGGAATTAACTCAATAAAAAGCAATCATTTACCAATTTTGACGGGAAGGAGTCCAAACTCCTCTTTGGTTGCAATTCTATATTTGGAGTACTTATCAGCTGGTGAAAATCTTGCTGGGTGAGCAGATTTCACGTATCCTTTGCAATGCGGGCATTGGTCCTTCAATGTGTATTGTTTGCAGGCGTCACAGAAGTACAACAACATAACGATTTGATAATACAGTTTTAGGGTTATGTTTTCTTTTCTAATTTATTTTGTTTTTTGTGGAATTTCAAATAGTTAAATTATAGTTTTTAATACTACTAATCATCGAAATAAGAATAACTAATATATAGTTTAATTAATTATAATAAAAATTATAAATTAGACAATGAAAAAAAAATAAAAGGAATCTAATAAAGGATCTTATAAAAGTAAATAAACTAAAATATATTATTAAATAACTATAAGAATTAATTAGAATGAGTGACATTAAGAGAGAGACTCGAATAACAAACAGTATAACACAAAATCAAAAATCAAAGACGATGAAAAACTATAAAATAGGAAAAAATAGATTTCATCATATTATCGAGAAAGATGGGAAGCACACTGTTGCTATTAACACTAACAACCCTTTTGGTGTATTCGAAGCCAGAAACGTTTGAGACAGTGATGGATGACCTTAAACAACGCGAATATATGTACCAAAAGGAGTTGAATAAGACACAGAGCCCTATTGAGGAGTTTCGATTGACTCACTTAATTCGCGAGATTGGGCGCAAAAAGAGCGCGTCGACTATTTATCAACGACTCAGCGAAAAAATAGAGAAGACGACGGAGTCAATCACAAAGATGAGAGATCGCTTGAAGAGCGTCAAATCTTGTGTGAACAAAGAAGAACAAGACCGATTGAAAGAGATGCGCGACGTCTTATTCACACAAAACATCCAACTCAACGAACTGCAGGAACAAGCGAAAGATCTTCTCACTTCGATCAAAGAACCTTCATACGTCGAGACCCTCGCGCAGATACTGAAAACTAAAGTGGAAGGTCTAACGAAAGAAGCGAAAGAGACAAAGAAGAAAATGATCACGACACAAGCGGACATTACAACACTCAAAGCCAAAATTGAAGAAATGAATGGAAAGGCCGCGAAGACGATTGTGTCTGCTTTAAAAGTGTTTTATAACGACGAGAAGATGGAATTCATCAACGCATTACAACGCAAAGTTACACAACTCAGACAATTAAAAGCGATTGCGGAGGATATCGTCACGTCGATTAAAACAGCGAAGGAAGAGTTTAAGAATAAAGTCGACGCGGACGAAGAGAAGAAGTACACCGAGTCGTTAAAAAGCTTGAACGGACAGAGGAAACAACTCTTTGAAGACGTCAAAGAGATCGAAGAGAAGAGAAATTCTATTATGGAGAACATGAAGAACCAAAGCTTCTCGGACTTGAAGACGGGAATTATGATGGAACAATTGCGGTTGGATGAGATGAAGGAACGACACATGAAGAATGATATCATCGACTACGAACGACGAATTTTGAGTATGCAGAAACAGCGCGACTTTGTGAGGACGAAACGAATGAGTGAAGCCGCAGATAAAGTAAAGAAGGAGAGCGAAGCACTTAAAAAGGCTGAGAAGAGTATGGGGAAGGTCAGTTTGAATGCTTTAAGAGCGAAAGTGATGGAAGCCAAAGAGCACTTAGCTGTCGTCCAAAAGGTTCAATTAAGAGAGTTACGATTCAACTACGAGATAATGAAAAGGAAGAAAGAGTTGATGCAAAAGGACGTTGAGATATTGAAGAAGAGACTGAAACGAATACTGAAGCCAACCTTTGAGAAGAAACCGAATTTCTTAATAATGAAGAAAGCGACGGAAGAGGAAATTCATAAGATGGAGGCGAAAGTCACACTTGAAGAAAGTAAACTTGAAGGTGCGAAACTTGATATCAAAAAGTTGCTTGAACAACGGGATGAAATAGTTGGATGGATGAGAAGAGAGTTGAAGAGGAAGTTGCGTGGGATTACAATGAAGAAGAACAAAATACAGAACTTGGTGAGTCGAATTGTGAAGAACTCGATGAATGCGAGTAAGGCACAACTAAGATTGGCGACAGCAAAAATGCGAGATATTAATAAGAGTTTGCAACCTTTAAAGATCATCGAGAAGACGTTGAAAGAGAAGTTGGAGGAGTACGACGATGAAATTAAGATGCGAAGGATCGCGAAGTTGGAGAGGAACACCCTTGAAAGTGGGAAACAAATCATCGACAAGAAGGACCGAGTGAATGACGTGTTACTCAACTTGCGAAGAGAGGCGGACGCGGTTGATCAACAAATGAAAAAGTGTGGAGGGCAGAATGCGAAGTTGTTGTCGACGCGAGCAAAGATCTTTAACAAGATCAAACGAGTTGAAGAGAAGTTGAAAGAAGTTGGAGAGGTGGCCGTGAGGAAGGCGATGCGTTTGGAGGAATATATTGTTGAGAAGAAGAGAGTGTTTTCGCAGAGGAATGAGAAACTGTCGCAACGGATTGCAAGAGTCAAGAAATTGAAAGACACCGTGGTGTGTAAGATCTCAAGGAAGTTTTACGAGAGAAGCTTACAGCGAATAGTCGGGAAGAAACGTGATGAAGAGAAACGAATGAAGAAGAGCGCTAGAAACTTTGAGAAAGTTATTAAGGAGTTACGTAACCCTAATGGAAAGTATCTCATGAGCATCGTTGGAGATTCAGTTGATGATACTTATGTGTGCGATGTGTGCCAAGAAGTCGGGAATTACTATATAGACAAAGTCGCTCAAGGAATGGACAGAAACGTCTTAACGAAGAAAATCTTGAAGTTCTGTAAAGGGAAAAAAGAGGAGAGTGTCTGTCTGGCAAGCTTCATGAGGATGGATGTGCTTGACGTTAAGAAGGAACTACCGGGGTCTGGGAAACAAATGTGTAGAACCATTGGATTCTGCTCGAAACATTGGTAATTGAGACGATTTGTGTGTCTGTATTAATATTATAATAATATTATAATAATAATATAATAATATAATAATATAATAATATAATAATACTATTAAACAATCACTAAATGAGGTGTAACCACTTGTAGTCTTTATTTTAGAATTAAATGGTAAAAAAGAAAAGAGGATTTAAATGAAATAAAAGACAACAAACACTTTGTGGTAAACAATTCAACATATTGCTTAAATAAAAAATAGTGAAAAAAGAACAAGAACTGTTAAAGTTAATGTCAAATTTTCACAGATTTGGAGACTTTGAGAAAAAAGAACAACCGAAGGGACAGGGATATTTTAATAAGGGAGGAACGGAATTTTATTCAAACGACGGCGATGAAGCTTATAAGGCTGCTGAAAGCACTGCGTCGAGGGATAATGGGAACAAATATCACGATGCTGGGAAGGGAGATTTTGTATTAAATGTGACGATGTACCAAAATGGATTTGTTGTGAATGACGGACCACTGAGGGAATATAACACGCCAGAGAACAAAAAGTTCATAGACGACGTTAAAGAAGGATTTATCCCACAAGAATACGTTGAAATGGCTCGAACGTCTAATATTGCTATCAACTTAACAAATTCCTCCAAAACACAGTACGTTCCAAAAGAAACAAAAGGAAAAACCAAAGAGGAGGTGCATACATACACTGGAGTTGGAAATGTTATTGGGAGTACAGAGAAGGGACAGATTTTCCAAGCACCTTCCGAAGCACCAACAATTGATATGACACAACCCACAGTGAGTATTAAAGTCAGATTTGTTGATGGGAAACAAAAGGTGTTTAAAGTGAATAAGACAACAACAGTGAGTCAGGTATATGCTTTAGTCAGAGTGGAGTCAAATATCAGTGGGTTTAGACTTGTTGGACCACAAAACAGAATTATTGTGATGTCGGAGATCAACGTCGTCGACGCCAAAATCGCAAATGCAAGCCTCACACAACAGAAGTAATTTCCAGTTTTAAAAAGATTGAGGTTTTCATCAAGGTGTTGTACTATAACGAATACTATTATTTTACTAACTACTTATACTAATATAATAAATTATTTAATAATACAATAATTCTATAAATAGATGTACCAACCCCAATCAAAAGAACTTAAAAACACAAAATACGATGGACAGATATGGGAGAAGAGATTACCACGACCGAGACAGAGACATGAGTTATGACAAAAGGTATGATAGAGATAGGGACAGATCATATTCAGGATATAAAGAGAAGGCTATTCCATATGATGATGTTGTTGGCAAATACCCTCCGCCCGATGTACCCTTATATACTGAGATCTATTCGATGCCACAGAACGATCGAGGGTATAGATAGATTAATATTTGTTTAATTATTTTATTGTACGACATGATCATTTGGTTTCTCTACAAAACAAACACAAAATAAACTTCAATACACAATAAAAAAACAATGAGCGCACAACCTTAGAGTACAAGAGAGATATCAATGAGTTGTAAAACTGTATTTGAATATAATTTTAATATAGTTTATTTAATAAATGAATAACAAACTCTTCTCAACAAATTTGTGCTCGTCTTGTGGCATCACTTTTGAAAGGACTCGGAACATACTTCGTGAGAAATTGAGAAGAACTTTCCAGTCCTTGTCATTCCCTCTTGTTTCCATCATATTCAAAGCTTCAAAAGTAATGTCTCTTGTGCACTCAAAGAGAACTAAAGTAGGGTTCACTAATTGACTGAAGTCACACTCCGTCTCTTCAACTCCAACTTTACAGATTTTCCCAACTAAGTACAACACTCCCATCATCTCCTCTACACTCACTTGTTTCACATTCGCTCGCATTTTCTTCACAATTTCAATGGTGTTCAAAGCATCTTTTGTGATATCGTCGTGAATTTTGGTGTCATCTTCGATCCGTTGAATCAACTTCACATTCTCTCCACGAAACTCACACATGAATGGGGACTCATCGATTTCTTTCCACCCCCACCTCTCTTCCACTTGATACACAATCAAGTGTCTCATTAAGTCCACTACACACTTCTTAGTCTTTACCATAGAAAACTGTGGGAGTCTCTTCTCCGAGAAAAAGAGTCTGAAATTGTTCTTTGGAAATATCAACGACCCGGTGACCATATAATACACTACGCATCCAATGCTCCACAAATCAGATTCAAATGTATAGTTCCCGTGGTGTAATTGGATCTCTATTGTGTTATTTCCTTTCACTCCCAATTGTATTAGAAATACAAAACACTGAACAACAAACCAGGCGCCATATACGCTGGAGTCCCCGCCGAAGTCTTCAGTGGGTCAATATAATTATCTCTTTTAGTCAATCCCAAATCCGATATTTTAACAACTGGGTTTCGACTAATCAAGCTGTGGGCTAACAGCATGTTCGACGGTTTGATATCGCGATGTGCAAAATGCTTTTCAAGATGCAAATACTTGATACCACAGAGGATGTCGTTCGTGAACGAAAAGACTTCATCATCGGACAACAGTGGGTTAATCCCTTGTCTTCTCCTGACGTCGATCAGTTGTTGGATATCGCCCGCATCACAAAATTCCATCACTAAGAAACAGCAGTCGTCCACAAAGTAATCAAAAAAGGAACAGATATTTGGGTGATGAAACAACTTCATTATCCGTATCTCTTTCATCGCCATTTGCCGTAACACATTCGGATTCATATCGTTGCGAAAGATCTTTTTCACGGCAACGTAACGCTGATTCTGTTTGTCCCACGCTTTAGTCACGGCTCCAAAAGATCCTTTCCCAAGCTCATCGAGACTTTGGTAGTTGTCTTTCTTCCCAGGAACATCGGTGGTCTCCGAGTAACATTCTTCGATGAATTTGTGTTTAAACACGTCTTCCCATTTCATCCGCTCTTTCGATGAAAATTGAAGCATTCGCCCAAGTAAATTCTTTAACTTGTCACAGTGAATGACTGCAAAATCAATTGCTTGTTGCTCTTTTAAGAGTGTGTTAAACTCTTCGACATCGTCTTTGGGATAGATGGAGTGCCCAGTAGCCATCCAATACAAACAACATCCCAATGACCAAACATCAGCTTCACTTGTGTACTCGTCCTCGCTGACCTCCGGTGCAGAGAAGAGAAGTGATGAAAATGTTCCTTGAATACCAGGTGTTATCGCAACGGCACTTCCAAAGTCGCACAATTTAACTATTGGAAACGGCGATTCTTTTGAGTTCTTTAAAAGGAAATTTTGGAGCTTTAAGTCGCGGTGTAAAATGTTCTTCTCGATAATTAAGTACTCTAACGCTTTGAACATGTCTGCAGCAAAAAAGTGGATTTCGTCGTGCGACAAACCCTTTGGATTCGCGTCGACGTAGTGTTGCATATTGTCCTCACACCAGTCCATCACAAGACATTTGTAGACGTGCATCTCGGTTTGTGATATAAACCAATCATTCAATGTGACGATATTGGGATGTTTCAACTTCAGCATCAAGTTAATTTCACTGTCTATTTTCTCCATTGGAAAGTCGCTGTCGTCCCGTATTTCTGTTTGTCAGTCACCATTCAATATATAGTTGTAATATAATTTTTTATAATTATTATCTAATTTAACTAAATAAATGGAAACCTTTGATTGCAAAGTAGTCGCGCCCTTTCTTATACTTCCGGACAATCGCCGTTCCGCCGTAAAACTCTTCGCCAGTGATAAGTGTGTATCCGCGGCTTTGAAATGCATTCATCATCAGAAATGATTTTTTTCAGTCTTTTCAAATTCCATTTTATAATTATACTATATAATAAAATATATTATATAAATAGTTTGGCCAAAAAGGAAAAAATAGTTTAATTTAACTATAACTATAACTATGATTTGTAAGGAACAAAGTAAAAAAAGATTATTTGAGGGTTTCTTCAATTTCACAAAAACGAGGAAAATGTCAACCGCACGTGGAACCAAAACAAAAGTCTCTTCAAAACGAAAAAATGATTTGTCGAAGTCTCTTGATTTGTCACAAATTGATGAAGGGAAGCTTAAATTGATGCAAGACAAGATACTTAATTTCTATTACAGTAAAGGAAGACAACTCCCGTGGCGTGAAACAACGGACAAATATCATATATTGGTGAGCGAGGTGATGCTCCAACAAACACAAGTTTCAAGAGTGTTAGAGAAGTACAAACAATGGATGCTAACATATCCTACACTCCAAGAATTGTCAAAAGCACCACTCAAAGACGTTTTGGAGCTGTGGAGTGGCTTGGGTTATAATTCTCGCGCGAAGCGCCTTCGCGATTTAGCGGTGGAAGTTGTTACAAAGCACAAAGGGGTGTTTCCGAACACCGTTCAAGAACTTTTGAAACTACCTGGAATTGGGCCATACACTGCCAATGCCGTATTCATCTTTTCAGAGAACCGTGACATCGCGACTGTAGACGCTAACATCCGCCGTATTTTAATATCGGAAATGGGCATACCGGAAGACTCTGGTGATAAAGAGTTGTTTGCTTATGCCCAGAAATGTCTTCCACTTGGGAAAAGTCGGGATTGGCACAATGCTCTAATGGATTACGGTGCATTAGTCGCGACTGGAAAGAAGACTGGGGTGACATCGAAAACAAAGCAGAGTAAGTTTGAAGGGTCGAGGCGGTTTTATCGTGCAGAATTACTCCGAAGAGTTAGAGCAAACGGTGGGGAGCTTGACATTGGTAAGTGTGAGGAAGTTGTCAAGGGGACAAAGTACACCGTTGACGACGTACTCAGTGGTTTAGTTCAAGACGGGCTGCTTATATATAACGGGCACGTCGCCGTTCTGTCACAATAATCTCTGTTATCATTTATTTATTTTCTTCAAATAATGGAAGTTTTTAAAAATAGTAGTTTAAATTTGAACGTATTATAATAATATAGTTTATTTTATTATTATTATTATTAATTATTTTTATATTAAAAATAATAAGGTTTTAAACTTAATTCTTTTTTATTCTGATGGCGTTCCAGCATTTTGTGTTTTTTCTTAAAAACAAATTCGATTAAAAACTTATCCATATAATTATTTTTTTTAAATTGGTATAATATCTCAAAATATAACGAGATTGTGGGATAGTGGAACGAGAAACGCCGTCTCTCCACTTAATTTTTAAGTCGCGAGAACTCAAAAAGAAACCCCATACTGCTATATGACTTCCGAGAGCGCGTCTGACATTTCGTTTTCGTCTATTTCGGAGTCGCTTACGTCGCTCTCTTCCCTTTCTCTGTCCTCTTCAGATAACATGGACGAAAAAACGTTGATTGCCATTATTTGTACGTCCGTTATTGTTGGGATATTGTTGATCATCGCTGTAGGTCTCCTTGTGTATATCATTTACGTCAAGCTCACAAGCAAAAAGGATTATCAAAACTTGAACTAAAATTTTACTATTGATTTACTTTTAATTAGAGTTGTTTAGTTTTTTAATTTATTTCCTAAATAAGATTCTATATAATAAACTATAGTTCTTTGTATAGTTTTAATGGTTTTGATTCTATTGAGTTAGATTTGAAAATAGTCAATCAGTAATACTAGTTAATGAATTATAAAATTTAATAAAAAACACATACTAATAGTAAATTACAAATTTTAGTTGAATTGTAAGACGAAGAAATTTTTGATTTTTTGTGGTTCGTTGAGTGATTTAATAGAGAAAGGATTCTGTTTATATTTAGGAAGGTCATAGACGTATCTTAAACTCTGATGGAAATTTAAAGTCAAGTCTGGACTCATCCAAAATGCCGAAAAAGCCGTGAATAAGAAAGCACTTTGAGAATTACCAAGAGAAATGGTTGATTTTGAAGCATTCACCTTTTTAGTGATTTTACTCTTAGTCTCTGGGTTAAAGCAGAAGAGGAAGAAATCATTCTTTTTATCAGTTTGATGATATTCTTCTGATGTGTATAAAGGTTCTGCTGAATAACACCCGAAGATCTCATTTGTGGTGTTGACAAAGACAAAGAGGAGATTACTCTTAAACATTACTTTGGCATTGAAAGTTTTGTAGTCGATTGAATCCATTTTGGAAGTAAAGATAATTTCATTGTTAGATAAATTGATCCATTTGGTCAAACAATTCATAAACAAAGTGTTTGTGAAATGTAAATCATCTTCCTCTTGAGTTTTTGTACACTGCAGTTGTGAACAACTTCTCTCGTTTCGCAGCTTCTTTGGTGTATTTGGGACTGACTTCGATTTCCTTGTTTGAGAAGAGAATATTGAGATTTTCTGGGTATAGACCTCTTCACTTTGATCCAAGTGTGTTCTCAAATTACGAAGTGACGGCTGTGGAGTTTTGGAAATACACTTTCTCCGACGCGTGTTTTCAAAATTGTCGATACCAGCAGACATCTTCTCAACGTCCAAGTCTTCGAAAACTACAGAGAGTGAGATAGGAGATAGTTTGTGCTCTTTCTGTGGTATAACCTGGTTGTTTCCCATTGTGTGTTGTTCTGTGAATATCAGTTAGGAGCTTTTAAATACTCTAATAAAGGCGCTAATACAATGCTTTTTGTAAATTCATTATTCAAAACCGAAACAGTGGAAGCATAGGGTGGAACTTTTTGGTGTTATTTTCTTTATTAAAATTATTTAAACCAAAATTTGGGGACTTTCTATTAACGAAATAATTTGAAATCGTTTCTATATTTGTAAAAGCGTCATTTTTATTTTTTGTTTGTGGTAATTTTTGGAACTATTAGGTATAGTAAATAATCTCTTGTCAGTTATATCCAATTATTCGGTAATAATCCCGTTATTTATGGTGTTTTTACATTAACAAATGGTAATAATATGGTAATAATTTATTTTACAAACATGGTTAATTATTACGAAAGGTTTGGAATGAGATATATTGTTTATGTTGTTCAGCAGCAATTACAATCTTATTGTATTGACATAACTATATATATAGTAATTAATACTATATTTTATGTTTTAATGAGAACAAATCAAAAGAAAAGATTCAAATGAGTTTTCTATTGTAAAATAGTGTTGAATTGTTTACTTTAAAACTTTGATATGTATTATTGCGATTCGATTTTGCAAAAATGGCTGAAAGTACTGGAAATAGTCAGGAAGTCACCATTTTTTTTCAAACAAAAAAATCTCAAAATAAATTGAATTGTTTTTAATAAAAATCATATTTTTGGAAGATTTTCAATGAAGTCTCAAAACCAGCGTTTAGGGGTGTTATATATTATAACTGCCGTAAATAGCAGGGAAATCCAGCAATAAAGTTTCCAAAAAAATTATGATTTTAAAAAAATATATATATAATGTTTTGATATTTTAGCCTTCTTTTATATAAATAGTAGGGAAAAAAATACTTTTGAACCCTAAAAAATGTGATTTTATTTTTTGGGGGTTATTTTAATTTAATATTTTTAGATTTTTGTCACGAAGTTACACTTTCGGAGAGTTAAATTTGGAAACTTTTGAAGGTTTCTTTTATTAATAAATCACAATAAATCTATTTTAATAATAATTTTTCCAAAATAAGTTATAATGTCAACATTTGATTTATTCTAATACCAATTATCAAATATCGTCATTTGTAATTGTTTATAACATTATAGTTAATTTTTTACTATATTATTATTAATTTATAGTTAAAAAAGTGATATTTTTTAAAGTATTAAAATGTAAAAAAACAATAACTTTTTTTTAAATGGTTTATTTGTCATTATTATAACAAAACTATTATCTTCAATAGTAATATCTACTATTCATATAATGCAAAATATAGTATTATTTTTTTCAAATTAATAATACATAAAAATTTTAATAATAATATATATAAAAACGATAGTTTTTTTATTTAAATTTATAATACAGTTTTTAATAACAATAAAATATCACATTTCAGTATCATTAATCAACCTCCTCGATAGTTGGACCCTTGGAGTCTTTCTTTGGTGCTTGTGGAGCAGCTCCACCTTGAGCGCCTGGGAATCCACCTGGGAATCCTCCAGGCATACCGCCTTGTGGCATTCCCCCTGGCATTCCACCAGCAGCTCCTTGTTGGTACATCTTTGTAAAGATTGGTTGAACTTTAGCCTCAACCTCCTTTTGTTTTGCCTCATATTCTTCCTTAGAAGCGGTTTGGTTCTTGTCGAGCCATTCAAGAGTATCTTTTACAATTGTTTCAATTGCCGTCTTATCTTCAGCTGGCAATTTCTTTCCGACTTCTTCATTCAAAGTGTTCTTGACTGAGTAGCAGAAGTTCTCAAGTCCATTCTTAGCTTCAATAACAGACTTCATCTTATCATCTTCAGCCTTGAACTTCTCTGCATCGGCGACCATCTTGTCGATCTGCTCCTTTGAGAGTCTTCCCTTGTCGTTTGTGATAGTGATCTTGTTCTTCTTTCCTGTTGTCTTATCTTCAGCAGAGACATTCAAGATACCATTGGCATCGATATCAAATGTGACTTCGATCTGTGGGACTCCACGTGGTGCTGGTGGGATACCAGACAACTCGAATTTACCAAGTAAGTTGCAGTGATTAGTCATAGACGCTTCACCTTCAAAAACTTGGATCAAGACACCTGGTTGGTTATCTGCATAAGTCGAGAATACTTGAGACTTCTTAGCTGGAATAGTAGAGTTTCTTGGAATCAAAGCAGTCATAACTCCACCAGCAGTCTCAATACCAAGAGTCAACGGAGCGACATCAAGCAACAAGACGTCTTCTGTGGCTTTTCCTCCGTTTCCAGTCAAAATGGCAGCTTGAACAGCAGCACCATAAGCAACAGCCTCGTCTGGATTCATGCTCTTGTTGATCTCCTTTCCATTAAAGAACTCTTGAAGAATTTGCACAACTTTTGGAATACGAGTTGATCCACCAATTAACACAACGTCGTCAATACTTCCTTTGTCCAATTTAGCATCTTCAAGTACCTTCTCGACGGGTGAAATTGTTGACTTGAAGAGGTCAATGTTGAGTTCTTCAAATCTAGCTCTAGTAATTGATGTGTAGAAGTCGATACCCTCGAACAACTGATCGACTTCGATATTTGCTGTTGCTGCCGATGACAATGTTCTTTTAGCTCTTTCACATGATGTTCTGAGTCTTCTGACTGCTCTTGCATTGCCAGAAATGTCCTTCTTATACTTTCTCTTGAACTCGGCAATGAAGTGGTTGACCATTCTGTTATCAAAGTCTTCACCACCAAGGTGTGTATTTCCATTGGTTGCTTTTACTTCAAAGACACCATCATCAATAGCAAGAAGAGAGACATCGAATGTTCCTCCTCCAAGATCAAAGATCAAGACATTCTTTTCTCTCTCCGTCTTCTTATCAAGTCCGTAAGCAATAGCAGCTGCGGTTGGTTCATTAATAATTCTAAGTACATTAATGCCTGCAATAGTACCAGCATCCTTTGTGGCTTGTCTCTGAGAATCATTGAAGTAGGCTGGGCATGTAATGACTGCATTAGAAACAGTCTTACCAACAAAAGATTCTGCAGTTTCTTTCATCTTAGTTAAGACCATTGAACTGATTTCTTCTGGTGTGAATTTCTTCGTCTCACCCTTGTACTCCACCTGAATCAATGGCTTGTCATTACCATCATTGATAACAGTAAATGACCAATGCTTCATATCATCCTGAATTGCTGGATCACTGAAGCGTCTTCCAATAAGTCTCTTAGCATCAAAGACAGTGTTCGCAACATTCATAGCAATTTGATTCTTAGCAGCATCACCAATCAATCGTTCGGAGTCAGTGAAAGCAACATATGATGGGGTAGTCCTGTTACCCTGATCATTTGCGATGATTTCTACTCTGTCGTTTTGCCAGATACCAACACATGAATATGTGGTACCTAAATCTATACCAACTGCTGGGCCTTTGTTTGTAGCCATAATGTTTTCTTAGCTCTATTCACCCCTTTTTATACTTCTCAAGATCCACGAGGTTGCCACGTCCAAAGTTGTTAACACTTTCTCTTCCCGATTGTCTCGGCTAAATACGACTCTCTTACATGTAATGAAATTCATATACGTGGCGCTTTCTATTTTCATGGCAATTGACTAAGGAAAAGAGCCCGAATATTTATTATAAATAATAGGTAAATAGAATCATTTTTTAATAAAGGAGATAAAATACTATATGGTAATAGCTTTTTGTATTATAATTTTAGTTTTTAAATATTTTATAGGAGTTTTTAAGTACTGATTTATATAATAGTATTATTTGTATTTCGAATACTATGTGGAATGAATAAAGCAGATTGACTTTAAGAATTGAATTAAAAGCAATCTTTTAGTTTTGGTATTGTTTGTTTTTCTTAACTAATCGAAGATTATGTATTTACAATTAAAATAATTATTTTTAACCTATTTGGTATTTAAAAACAAATAATGCTTATTGTGGAGATAACAACCAAATGATGTCTAAGACGTGTCATTACGTATTTGATCAATGACGAGTTTGCCGATGTCTTTCCTATAACGGCATTAATGTTCTTTGCTTTCGAATTATAGAATTAAATTACACACCCAAATTAACTATTGGTAACTATTAGAATAAAAGTACAATAAAGAGATAACTTACAAATGACGTTTTGAATTATTTCTTTTTCTTTGAATAAAAACGATGACTCACCCCATTTCCGAATGAGCATGGTGAGTATACATTATTTTCAGATAAAACATTTAAAATTCAATATCACTAAAATCCCGATTTTGTACTATTAATTCATCTTCTTTTCACCTTGAAATTTTTTAAATAATCTTTATAAATCAAAACTAACACTTCCTTCATTTTTGGATTAAATAATATTCAAAAACGTCAAAATATTATTCAGTTCCCTCAGTTCCCGATTGTAACAATTGAAATCCATTATAAAAAAAACACCTGAAAATGTACTTCACTTAGAATTTGATTCCAACTCCAATTCCTGCCTGGAGTCCATTACGTCCATCTTTTCCTACATTCACTCCAACAGTTCCAAGCTTCCCGATATTATAGTTCACTCCTCCGTTATACGAAACTCCGTCGTTCTTTGATTTCGCTACATTAGCATTGACCGACCACTTGTCATTGATTTTGTGAGTGACCCCAGCT